ACGCCCCCCGCCCCCCCCCCCCCCCCCCCCCCCCCCCCCCCCCCCCGCCCCCCCCCCCCCCCCCCCCCCCCCCCCCCCGCGGCGCCCCGGCGTGTAGGAAATGCAACTAGGATTAATCCCGTCGCCGCTCTTAGTATTTGGTAGAGTAAAGACTTATAAACTTGTGTAAAAATCAAAAGTCTAAATGCCTGAGTACCTTATTGAAGTTGTGTTGACATCAAGTTCACGATATCGATCCATATTCATGAGCCCGATATGTAAGGTACCTACCTAGGTAGGAACCCCTAACGTCACTTCAGAGGGAAATCCACAAATCAGATCGCAGGTTTCATACTTCATTTGAGTCTTGATTGGCTCAAGTTGTCAGAGCATAGGCGATATTAGCATGAGGTTATTTACATTTTAACCACTAGGAATAACGTACGAGGTGCGATATTAGTTAAGTTTTAACAACATCTTGTAAACTATTCGAAGTAAGTTATCTTGAAAGGTCAACAGAGTCAAATGGATTTAGGTACGCTCCTCCTGAATCTAAGAGATACCTTAGTACCAAGGTATGTAAGCATACCCTTTATCATGATTCTCAAGGGCATAATAATTATTTGACGCAGTGCTAATACCAGACACGTAACATGCCTACCTGCATACCTAGTGCATCTCCCTCGCCATCTACCCCTATTGTCCTGGATGACATGCTTCGTCCACCGCGTTATACTCGTAGCCCTTATAACCTCACAACTCATGTCGGCTCGCAATATTTCGACGTATTGGATAAAAATCGACTGATTCAAGGCACAGTGGCGTCTACTCCAGGTATGGTAGAGAGGGGAACTAGTAAGCAGCCACGTGGCCCCGATTGGGCAGACTACTTTATGCAACTACCAATATTTTGATTGATATCCCGCTTATCCAGCTACAAGCTCTTGGGAGCTTCAGCTATGGCGAGCAAATGTAGGCTCTAGGCCGAGGCTTCGTTGCGATTGGGTGATCAGTGCATACAAGCAGATCTGAGTCAGAAACTCGCGTTCCCCCTTACATTGAGATAGAGCTTCTGTTCGACTAAGGAAGACCAGTCGAAAAGCTTTATCATTCAAATGTTGAGTTTGGGGACATTAAGTATCCGTTGGATGACGCCGGGGAGAGCTCCCGACGAAAGCTAGAACGACCCATGGCCTTACCCGTCCTTCCCCTCGGGTCTTACAATGCATACCTCCATTGTAGGGGTCATTGCTGGAGAATAAACAATCCCAACACTCTGGTCCCGGGTTGTCCCGAACCACACGCCTGCTTCCGTCGCGCTACCACGGAAGCGGGAACCCCTTCCCACCTTCACCGCATGCACAGTTAAGAATCAACCCTGTAGGTTCGTTAGGGTTCGTCAAAGAGATCTCGGGGATTTTATGACCGGCTGAACCGATCCAGCACGAAGCCGGCTTGGCGCGCTATTCAATAAAAAAACCCGCGTTATGCCATAGGCTAGTAAAGATCTACGGTGTAATGTCGGTGCCGGGTCCGGTTTGCTGGCACTCAACTTCGGCCAGTACTGAATGTAGTTACAAGCCCTATTGATATTGAGTTGGGATGTATGTATGATTCATTAGTGTGCAAACTACCTGGTGGTCGCTTTGCAGGCCGCAGCAAATCCCCTACCCATCGTGTAACTTTTATATTGATGTCGATCGGACCGTGGGGGCTTGCAGACGTCACAATGGGTCCCTATTTCGCCGTCCAAAAGATCCGGACACTGTCTGCGCAATTCGGGTATGCCCCTCAGGAGATTCTGAAGCTGGTGACGCAATTGACGCTGGTCAAACCATTATGCTGTAGCATATCCGGATAGTGAATGACCGAGAAGATATGTGATATATCATTTTCTACGCCAATTTACGATTCAAGAAGCCTTCCTAATTCTATGAGATGATTCTCCCATAGGAAAACTCTGGGTATTGAGTCTTAAATGAGAATTATTCATTATTTAAGTGCTTATTCATAAATTGGATATAGTGAGAATTTGCTTGAATTTGAAGGCATAATCTCAGATTCATAACACAGGTAAGTGAATTTCAAACTTGACTACGTGGTTCCTAGTAATTAGGTACAATGGTAGAATGTTAATATTATCAGTACGAGAATATGTGCAAGGGCAAAGACTGCATTTTCGCTCTTGCAAAAGACGCCATGCGGCAGAAGACGTTCATCCTCCTCTACGACTCTGTTCACCTAGTGTCCATATCTATAGGTCATTTCCCCCTCTTCCTTTATCCAGTCGACTGATGTACAGCCTAAGATTATTATATCCATATTCTAGTTTCATGCTCTTTATCTGAGTAGGACAATACTACAGGCTGTCTGAATTTCGCAAAGGAAACCTAACAGCTGGACAGGCTCGAAGATATATCATAATTGCTTCACTTGGTCGTAGATAAACGCTGTCGATGGGAATGATTTCGAAGGCGAAGATTGACGCCGTGATGGCTTCGGCGATGTTGATGGCCTCCGAGACATACCAACCAATCTTTCTCATTCTAACCCACGAAGAGGTCTGAATGGAGAGTCGGGGATGATAGGTGACGGCCTTATTAGTCCATAACCTGTGCAACCTCGCATGTACTATCCTCTGCAGGTTGAGAAGTAAGCGCAATGCCGCCGATTACAGGCCCTGATTGAAGGAAAGCTGTGTCAAAAAGGGGCCTGTCCATGTTAGTACACGCTGCTAACCGCAATTAAGCTTGCTTGCCAACCGCCATGCCAAAAAAAGAAAGACTGAAGGTGATGTTATGCGCCCTGCTCACAAATCGACTAAACGCCGAAGTAACGGCCCAATGAATCCGCATTCAAGTTGTCTTCCACCCACAAAGACCGATAAAATGGTCTTCAAAATCCCGACCCGGAAACTAGAGATTATATAGTCAGATTCGTGATGGATATAGTACGATAGTTGATCGTATGCTAGATGGTGGCAGACCTAGGTAATCTTCACCCTGTCTTACCAGTATTGGGGGGTATTAGACTTCTGACACATAGTCAATATCTTGCCTAGGTACCTAGGTACCCAAACACATAGAAGTAGACTGTCACTGGGAGCCCTGAACTTGAGTGTGTACTCAAAGGTCGTGTCACCCCTATTGCGAAAGACGATTTGCTGAGATCTCAGTAACGTTCCCCGGCTTCTCACTGAGTTGAGAAGACTACTTGCCAAAAACCTGCGGATAATCCATGCTATCTTCGCCAACGTTTATTCGAGTCCTTGCCACATATGTAAAGGGCATTAGAGTGCTAATGCGACTTTCGCTCCTGGTTCCCTGCCCACCTCGGATGTTCAAACATCTGTGCTAAAACGAGTCATATCACCGTTCTCAATCTCAAAAGTGTGCTGTGATGATACGGCTAATGCCTGAATCACACATAATCGTGCAACATACCTTGAGTGCATGTTGAAGATTCTTCAGTTGCCGGGTATGCTCTGCAAGGATCAGTGCTTGAGGGTAAATAAGAAAGGACAGTATCATGGCGATATTTAATAACAAGTGTGCTCGGATGCGTATGAGACACGCCCAAAAAGGTGTGTGCGCGTGACGAATGGCGTTGATATACCCTCGAACTGATTACGTGGCCAGTAGGAAAAGTCATCGAGGCGGTCGTTGACTCGTTGCGGTCCGACTCGAAGCAAAGTACGGTCCGCCTTGGCAAATGCGCGTAACCGGTCGATTATATTGATCTAGCATTGAGTATCGTGGATATCGAGATGAAAAAAAGCAATGATCCGCCTCCGCAATGCTTGATTCGACCTCAGGAAGTACCTTGAATTGATGGGATCAACTCATCAGCGATTCGAATCACGTCTGGAGTTCGGAGATTCCCAATCCTCTTCAAAATAAGGAAAACCCCTTACTAAGATCACCAGCCACATTGTCATGCCTCCTCGTATCTTTAACAAAAGTGTGGAGGATTCACTAGTCGTTGAATCCTGAAAGGATTGATATATTGATGTTGAAATATAGGAAGACTAATCTCGGAATCTTCAAGAATTGGTGTCAAGGATGACCTTTTAGAGTGGTGTTCTACCAAATTGCCAACCGGTCCAATGACTACACCATGAAATCTATACCTGAATTGTCGCCCCCGGCCTATTATAGATGTCTAGTAACATTTGTACGAAATACTTCATCGCAAGAACAAGTTTAAGGGAGCGCATGCGTCGAACTTTTGTTAAATAGGTAGACGAACGACTACCATATTTATTTAGATCTTAGTTTATGGATCTCCGGAATTTAATTCTATGGATAATGATGCTAATTGATTTTGCTTGCATACTCGCATGTGCTCCAACGGAGATATACCAATTCCAAATTTGTTTGTCTTAAAATAGCGATGAAGCGCATTTTACTATATTATCTAGGTAGTCAATCCAGGGCAGTAAGCCGGTAAATATGGCTACAGAAGTTGTAAGTAATAGTTGGCGAGATTGTTCACCGACTGAAGCTTCTGTAATGCCTCGACGGAGACGTGGAGCGAATTCTCTATATCCCGAGCCTGGTTGGTTTCCAGCTCGTCTTTCCGGACTTCTAGGTGCTTTGCAAGTCTAGTTGCGCTTAGGTAGATCGTAAGAGGCATAAATGTGTGTGCCTTGAAGTAGCCATGGTGTTCGTGTTCCTTCGCCAGTCGAGCAATCTCTTGAGCTGCCCAAAGCCCTCGCTCTTGGATTTCCCAGATCAAGGATTGGTTTTGGTCGTTTCTTGATAATGACTCGACAACCCGGCACAGATATATGACAGCCGCGTGAGCGACCATATATGAGAATATAATCATGGGGTTCTCAGCTACGGTCATCGAGGGGTAGTTGACTTGGAGATTATTAAGCCGGCGCGTAAGCATTCCGTCTAACCAATCGTGTCTCGAAGAGAAATCGAGGGGGATGTTGCTGTACAGTGTTTCTATCGTATATATTTGCTTATGGGAGAGCGCTCGACTGCAGATTGTGACCAGGATAACGCATTCCGCTAGTGGCGCATAAGGTCTTATTTCTGCCGAAGACATGGTCTCTGCTAGGAAGCACTCCTGTGGTACGAGACCCCTCTGGAAATCAATATCCAGGCATGGAAGACGTGTGTAGACCTATTAAGATTAAGAATGAGCAATAATCCCCGCAAGAATTTCTTGGTGCTTGCGCTGCCGCTTATGATGGGCCAGAACTCACCACCTCCTCACTTAATGTCATAGGCGCGCCTTCGCTGACGCTGATAAACCGGTCAAGGCAATAAGCCACCCAAAAAGTGCGCCTTTTCTCTTCGGTCGATATCGGGTCTTCCTCGTGCTCCGGTCCCAGGGGTTTGGGTCTATCAAGGTCGTAGAGCCTTAAAAGTTGCACCAAACGAAATACTCGGCCGGCACTAATCCAACCGCGACGGTAATTCGTTCTGGAAAACTCATAGAAAGTGATCAGAATCCACGCTTGAACATGTTCTATATGGCAGACCAAAGCGTCATTGCCATTCAAATCCAGCTGATCAAGCATAAACCGAGTCTTGGCGTACATAGTCTCCTGAAACCCGCCAAACTGGCTCGAGAAGGCGGTAGCCGATGTCCACATGGCATATTGTAGACATTGGCGTGCCTCGCTCATATTATGCCCATCGCTCATCCATCTAAAAGTTTTCGGCTGGTTTAGGATTGGGATGATTGGATGAACACGGTCAAAGTAGAGTTGTATCCTGTCAGTTGAGTAAGTCTCCGTAACCGTAGATAGTTGTTCTAGAACTCAAAAGAACCTACAAATCAGCTTTTGCGAGATCTGGTAAAAAAGCATCGCCGATAGAAGCCGGACTTTGTTTCGGCGATGGATATGATGCTGCGATGGTAGGCACGACCGGCACATCAGGGAACAGTAGCGGAGAATGGGGCACGCCCTCTGGTGGTCCCCAAGCTAGAGGTATCGGATTGACCGGTGGATGTTCATGTTGGTGTATGTCCCAGTCCGGTACTGTGTTGACAATGAGCTATGATCAATGTACGTTGTTGAAGATGTCTCAGATGTGTCGGGGATGGGCCACCGTCTGACAGGGGAAACTCATGAAAGAAGCAAGATGTAAGCTCTAAGCACATACAAGGAAACTGGGCCGTAACATTCTCTTTTTCTGGAGATTCGGTCGTCAAACCGAGCTCGTGTCCATCGCCGTCCTCGTTTTGTGATGTAGAGAGACGACGCTCTAGTGCTACTAACCCAATATTTAGCACTAGCAGCGACATCGTGTTGGAGATCACCTACCGATACGACTACGGAGAGCACCTATGCTCCCTTTCTTGGGGCCGCGAGGTACGCGACGGTCGTTCACTTCGCACGGAATTTGGGCATTTGCGCAAGCACCGCATTGTGGACGCTGCCTGTCGCACCGAAGCTTCTTCTTACGGCATTCTTTGTGATTCATCCAATTAGTATCGGGTCCGAATGAGACGCCGTAGCAGGTCTGTTCTAGATTCCAAGGTCCTCATCCTTCTCTTTGGCGTCATACGCCGATTTCTTACTTGTGTTGCCAGGGGCTGAGACGTTAGAACGTACCTTCACAGGCATATCCAGGTTGCTGACGTGGCTCGGCCCGTCCATACATGGCGCTCTGTTTAACTCACAAATTCGGGGGCTCGAGCAAATTTGGAGGACGTTGATGAAAGAAAGAAAAAAAATTGAAACTTATCTCATAACTTCATATCATAATGGCTGCTTGAAGACTTCATCGGTAAAGCCACTGGTTTTGAGGGGATCTCTAAGCCATTAAACAGCAACGTGACGAGAGAGTCGTCAGGATTAAAAGATAATTGCCAAGAAGGTATGAAAGGGCTGGCTGCTTACGCCACTTCGGGAACCAGTTAGCGACTTTGCTACAAACTGAGTGGGTTGTCTTAACGTCGTTGTCCACATCGGAAAACTTTTCATTGACTGTCAGCTGGCTTCTATCTACGCCATTACTCAAGTGGGAATTTTACATCAGGTCTATACCTAAACTGTTCAATCCTGAGCTAAATCTAGCCAATCTTTGTGAGGATCAACATTGGAAACGGTCAACGGCATAGCCTGCATAATCCCCTGTATTTCCCGACACTCGTGTTTTCGTAGTATCCCGCGCGTATGAGATGTTTGGTACCGGTATCTCCCATATTTCTCAGCCCGGAATGCACTCATCGATCCGAGATCTGATGAAGGGTGCAACGGAACTACCCTGGTGATCGAAGGGTAGTAGCATTGATACCCTGCATCTTGTTCCGACTACCGACATAAGGCTCATGAAGAAAGCCTCTGCCCCGTTTTGGCGGTCTCACGCAGAATCGGCAAAACGACTTCCGATCTCATGCACCACCAATTAACTCCAAGGGATCACCTGGTAAGAGCTTTGAGAATATCATTCTAGGCTCATATAGCCTCTTTATAAGATCATATCTGATAGTGAGGTTGACTACCTTGACTAGACTCAATATATCCAGACCAAAGGCAGTCGATCAGTCAATGAATTGGATTAGGCTCTTGATCGCTCCCAAGTAAAGCAAGAGACCCCATAGCGGAACCATCCGTTAGCGAGCACGTTCGTCATTTTAGTTCATTCCCAAGCCAATAAGATCTAGGGGAACCGTTGTGTTGGGATTGATGGTGCCCCGGGATTAGAACCGATCTTAGAAGGTCTGACGAGAAGCTCCACTTTTCTATACGTTCAGGGTAGATTATATGTAGATCGCAGCCAGGGCAAAAGAGAAAGTGAATCATCTTGTTGATGAAGTAGTTGGTTGATTGGTTATTAACCTTTGAGACATTGTCTTTCTCCCTGACCTAGTCCTGGCTACCAGGTAGGTAATGTCTTACATGAGAAGCTTGCTACTAACATGCCTACAATTCTACATATAACGAAATGATCGCAACTCGTGGAACCGAGCTGCCTAGGCACATAAGTTATAGAATAGGTGAATAACTTATTATTGTTCCTCTCAAGCATACGAAGATATGAAGTCGAATCAAAATAAGGCATAGGGAACGCCGTCGACAGCAGGATGAGGATCCGACACTCTAGTAATGGTAATAGTCTTTCTATGGCATGTAGAGCACAGACGCGCACTAACGCCTACCTACCTATGTAGCTACCTAACTAGGTAGGTGTATAGGACTTAATCATATCGCCACGTTTGATGAGTCGAGCAGGTTGCATCTCGTCCTGCGAGGCGCGTCTCGACGCATTCCTCCCTTTCAACCAAAGGGAGTTTTTATTGCATGATGGTACCGTCATTATAGTCCTTAAACGTCTTCGTGATACACTTGGTTGAGGATAGCCTTTTGTCGACATCCTTAGGACTTGGTTCGTTTTTGTCCAATGCATGTGCGGCCATCTTGCGTTGAACTCTCATATGGTCTGCCGAAGTCCCGATAGTTGATATCATCGCTAAACTTCTAAGTACTACATAACTTCAGCCATCTGCTCAATAGGGCGCCATGTGTATTCTAGGCTCTCTGGAACCTTGTTAATATTGCTGCAGAGGGCGTAAGGTTGCAGAGTGGTATGCAAGGATAGACCTGACTTTCCTGCCGCCATATTCGCCACAGCTAAGTTAGGGAACAGCGTCTGCTTAGAAAGCGAACAAATTATATAAGCATAAACATGTTGTTGGGCTGATATTTCGATCTCTAGATCGAAAACCTCGCCCCTTGATCAGAGTAGTTGACGTATCATTTACGCTTCGACAAAACTGTAGCCTTAACATAGTATCATCCACTTAGGGAAGGTAGCATAGGTAAACATGAAGGTATCCCCGCTAACTCCGATCCGCCATATAAGGTCTGATCTCTGGCAGATAGAAGTCAGGGAAAACCGCTCATGTGTTAATGCTACTATATTGCACTATAAATAATCAAAACTATCCCCTGCATTGTATAATCGAGATCCACCGCCCGCTATATTGTGTATGAGTTACCTATAAGGGTAAAGAAGGGGATAGTTTGGAAAGCAGTGCAATTAAGTATTGTTAGCACATAGGCGATCTTTTCTGACTTCATTCTACTCTAAGTGGAACGCGTGCCATATGTCGAGGGATCTGGGCCGTGCTAGTCAGTGGATTGAAGTACAATTTCGACGAGCGTCGAGATTGGCGAGCATGTCCCTGAGGTTGTAGGTTAGTTTACCAAAAAGTTGTAAGAATTGTGAGCTATTCTTAAGCCCTATTATGGACGGTTCATGTAATACAGGAGGAGGACTAGGTATGCTCAATACTGGCTCATCCAGCGCCATCGAGTCTAACAGCCATATTAGTCATCACTGACACCCCACGTAGTACGTAGGTAATTGTTTAACTTGGTAGTGGACGGGAGAGCCGAGAGGTTGGTGAGTAGTGAAGATGGCAGGATACCTATGAGAATTTCTTCCGGATCCAATGGAATATTCAATGTATACCTAGTAGCCTTGTATGACTATTCTAAGATGAAGCCTACTCAGCCACTATTTTGTAACGCTTCTACTGTGCTGCTGTTTGCAACAAGGCTCGAAATGCCATCCATGTGTGTGCTATGACCTCCTGGTGCACCGTGCTGTTAGGGATATCCGCGTTCCCGAAGGCGCGTGTCCTGACAACTGAATTCGTCTGAACGCGTTCGATGGTCTTTCTACTTACCTTCCTAGGTGCTTGGAATATGGATATCTCTGAAACAATCCCGAATCTGGACGCGATACCAAGAAAGCCAATTTATTATTATTTGCAGGCTTCCAAATCCCCAAATGCTTTCCTCAACCCAGTGGTGGACATAGACACACATTTAAGTCTACTTAAGGTGCAATATCAAATGGATGATTTCAACTTGGCGAGGTGAGTAGGAGAGGATTTCAATTGGTCGCAGAGATCTCTCAAACGCGTTTGTCGTTCTGAGTGGCGCAGAACAAGCCTAATGATCGACTATTAGTGTCGTCGATGTGTAGAACACCATAAATCCGCTCAAGCTTATATCATCTCAGCACTAAGCGGTATCTTCACAAAATTGCTCTTTGTCAATCCTTATAAACACTATGCCTAGATGAACAACTTTCTAGCCGCGAGCGATGTGATACTCACCACCAAGGGGCCAAGGCTAGCGATATTCAAACCTGAGCGATGCATTCTAACGTCTGACATAGCGCATGATGAACGCCGAAGTAGCCTATCTTGTAAGTATCGGGCGGAGATGGCGGAAAATGAGCCGAATGAGCGCTGATCGAAGCCAAGGTTTCAGGTCAATCTCTGCCACCCATTGGCTCATCCCGACGTCCGACATCTTACTAGATCCTAGAGTCGGGCCTGATTCCAGTTCTGAAAAAATAGGCGCGTTCAACGGGACGGTAACAGCCCTTAAATCCCCGGGAGGCGAAACTTATATCTTCATTATCCCGACAATTCGAAATAATGTTGAATCACTACAGGGAAGCTACCCAATATGGGGCAGCTCAGGGGTCACTAGTGGCCCGCGGAGGGCGGACGATGGCGCTACAGTGCCGCTAGATCCTCTACCTTCGAGGGCCGCAACACTTGTAATGATATCCTTAGCTGCTTTTTCTATGCCACAGCGCACCGGAAAGGAAAATGAGCCTGCTAGCTACCCGTCTAGGCAAATCACTCACCTGTTCAAAATACGTCACGGAGAGACAGTGGCTTGGCCTCCCATAAGGCGGCCGTAGTCTGCAAAAAGATTATGAGACAGAAGGGCCGCCACAATATTGAACTTTTAGATCGCCGACATCATTAATTGCTCCTTTCTAGCAAAAGATCTGATATCACGATACGGACACATGCAGGTATCAATATTTAGAAGACACATGCCGATATATGCAGAAATAGGAACGATAGCAAGATTACCATGTACGTACTTGTATATTTGCGTGCTTATGTGGGCTGGCTATTAGATATCGTCGGCGACATGGGCCATGTAGAATCGATGGCTCGCCAGGGTCTTTCTCTTTTCATCAGATTCTACGGATTTCTATCATCCATGTTATCGAGATGGCGAGTACATCCAGCTCGGTGTCACACGCCGAGAACCAAGAAGCCTCTAACATAAATTCCGATGACAACCAGATATCGCACTTGCCACCATCAACGACGACCATAGCCACCTTCTCATCATCATCGCAGAACGAGCTGCATCGGACTTTGAACAGGTCAGAGGAGAAGCAGTTTCTTAGCACAGAGCTCGAGGGACGCCAGCTCCCCAACGCGACCGCTGAAGAACACAACGTAAATCTAGATAGACCGCAGGTAGTGACAACTTTATCTAGCTTTTTAAAGTCACATAATGAACTTCATCGAGCCATCGAAAATCCTGTGGAACACGAAACCGATGGGATAACTTCCGAAGTAACATTAGCCTTCGATACCAAGGCCGAAGAGCAGCAACTTTCTGATAAGGAGACCAAAGAGCAAGGAGTTCCCGGCCTAGATTCTAAGGAACCTGGAGGTGGTGAAAGGAGCCTCCAGGACGAATTAGGGCACAAGAAGGAGGTGGATAGTCTCTCTAGTCCAATATTGGTCAACGAACAAGATGAGGAATATATCCAAGGCCCCAAGCTGTACCTGGTCCTGAGCTCGCTCACAATCGTCTACTTCCTTGTCATGCTAGATAATACCATTCTCGCGACCGTGAGTATACTCCCAACGCCTATTGGCTGAAGTAATACATACCTATACTGATGACGTCTTAATAGGCCATCCCGTATATCACCGACGAGTTCCATTCTCTACTGGACGTTGGATGGTATGCTAGCGCTTACCAACTAATATCGTAAGTACCCTCTCTGATGCTAAGGTAGACACATGTGTGTATTGACAAGAACAAGGTCAGCATTACAGCCATTGGGTGGTAAAATCTACTCCAAACTTAGTTCGAAAGTACGTTGATTCTCCTGAATTAAATGGACAAGCGAAGGAATTCATTCTTACGTTATCTTACAGTGGTCTTTCCTCATCTACCTCATCCTGTTCGAGATCGGGTCGGCTGTATGCGGTGCTGCTAAATCTTCGGCCATGCTCATCGGCGGGAGGGCGATTGCGGGAGCGGGTGGATCAGGTCTCCTGAATGGAGCTTTAATCATTCTCAACTCTTGTGTTCCGCCACATCGCCAACCAGGTACTTCCACCTTTCGCTATAGGACATAACTTAACTAACCGGGCTTCAAGCTGTCGTTGGCATCCTAATGAGCCGTAGGTCAACCAATCAACCTCGATGAACAAATAGCAGACACTAATAGGGCGTCTAGTTGGTCAATTAGGTATTGCCTTCGGACCCCTTATCGGCGGAGCCTTTACCCAGTACGTGACTTGGAGATGGTGTAAGTAATCCCTCAATTAAGTACCTCCCTAGCTTACTAACAACTTTTAGGCTTTTATATCAATCTTCCTATCGGCGGCGTTGTAGGTCTCGCGATAGTCTTCATTCGCGTTCCAGACCACATCAAGAAACCCGACCCACGCCAAGTACTCAAGCACGCAATCATGGATTTCGATCTTCCTGGATTCATCCTTTTTGCGCCGGCGGCCATAATGTTCTTTCTCGCGCTCCAGTACGGCGGACACCAATACCGGTGGGATAGCTCGCAGATTATTGGCCTCTTCTGCGGCGCGGGAGTAACCTTCATCATCTGGCTAATATGGGACATCTACCAGGGAGATAGCGCCATGGTACCGCGTTCGATGATAAAAACGCGCGTCGTGTGGGCCAGCTGTATGACTGGCTTCTTCATGGGCGGGACAGTCTTCCTTACAGCCTACTACCTACCCATCTACTTCCAGGCCGTGCTCGCCAAATCGCCATTTACAAGTGGTGTAGCTGTTCTACCCAATATCCTAGCACAGATGGTTTTCGGACTTATATCCGGAGGCTTAGGTAAGTTGATGGTTCTGGCTCGTCTCTTGATCCAAACCGATTCCTAACTTGAGCACAGTTCAGAGGATTGGGTATTTCCCACCATTCATCCTAGCGGGTACCGCTCTAAATGCCATTGGATGCGGCCTTTTGAGTCTTTTCGCACTATACACCCCCACGAGCCACTGGATCGGGTTTCAAATAATAATGGGAGCTGGCCGTGGTCTGACTATGGCAGTCGTATGTCCTTCCCCTTACCCCCGGTCTCGTGGTTGCTTTGAACATTCTGATGAAACCACTAACATTCTCCTTGCTTTAGCCCTTTCTTGCAATGCAGAACAGTCTTCCGAAGGAGATGATACCTAGCGCGATGTCAACCTTAGTGTTCTTACAGAATTTTGGCGCGGCTGTGATGGTCGCCCTGGGACAGACTATTCTCACCAACAGCCTCGTCACTTTGATACCACAGTACGCCCCGGGGGTCGATCCATCTCTTATTATCAACGCCGGCACGACATCCTCAGCTATATACCAAGCCGTAGGCGCGGAGAAGCTACCAAGCGTTCTTTTATCTTATTCGAAAGCTTTACAGCGCGTCTGGTACTTCACCGTTGGTATTGCTATACCACCTTTCTTTATAGGTTGGTGCTTTACCTGGGAGAACATTCGCAAGAAACCTAATGGGACGGACTTACGTGAGTCCAGTGAAGCTTTGAAGTGATGAAGGCCCTTTTCGGATGATATGAGAGGCTACAGACGACGTCTTGCATTGGTATTGGCGTTTGGGGGAAAGGGAAACGAACCGAGGCTCTGGTACAGGAAATCATAATACCCCCAACATATTACATTGCTATTTCAAATCATATTAACTTAATTATCAAACCTCATTGTATCAATGAATCACCCTACTGTTTTACTGTATAGCAGGTAGGTACCTTCGGGCATGTTTTAGGTAAACAAGACAGCACAGCCTATATGCGTATGGTATATTAAAGCAAGCGATAATGGTATAATCGAAACAAAGGAAACAACTTCTAACTTAACGATGCTTAGGGATCCCGCCTTGAATCAGAGCGTAACGATAACCTTGGTGGCGGAAACCCCTCTCAAATTTGTATCCATCGCTTCTTGGATAGATTCCAACCCTCTCCCAACAACCTGCGGTTCAGGTTTAACATGGTACTCTCCGCTAGCAAGAGCCTTGGGCAGAAAATCTTGGTAGATCATCTTTCCAACATCATCAGCTATCACATCCGGAGCCCAAATAAACTTCGTCTCCACCCCTTTAAACTTCGACATAAGAGAAATCTTAACGTTCCACCATAGAAAACCCAGCATGACACCCATCACTTTCACGACGTTCTTCGGCATTTTTGCGGGGTTGATAGGGACGGTGGTTTGCGCGACGAACTTACGGCCATTGCCCGGCACCGCGGCTAAGATGTTAATGCATGCCTCAAGAGACCCGTTGCCTATGGCCATAGCGCCCGCGCAAGTTTTATTCTTTAGAGCCGCGATGATCGTAGCGACCGTATTAGGGTCCCTGTAATCGTAGACTTGAGATGCGCCCAGCTCCTCCAGGAGACCGAAATTCTTCGGCGACGCCGTCGCAATGACCTCATACCCAGCGGCCTTAGCGAGCTGAATAGCGCTACAGCCGACGCTACTCGAGCCACCCCACACGATGAACGCCGGTTTCTTGTCTTGGGACTTGAGCGGCGACGTCGGATATTGCAATGCATTGTATTCTCTCATGAAGAGGCCACAAGCGGCAGTGGATATGCTCATGGGAAGCACACAGGCTTTTTCGTACGGCAGATCGTCGGGGATCTTAGTCGCCAAGTAACTCCGTAGTACGGTGTAGTGTTGGAATGCACCTTCTGGAGCACCGGCTGAGCGCTTGTCCAGGCTAGCAGCGAAACCCAGTACACGATCACCAGGCTTGAATAGCTTCGCTGCCTCTCCCCCTTTGCCGACCTCGACGACCTCGCCAGCAACGTCGCTGCCAAGAATGTGCGGATATTTGATCCAAGTGAACATTTGGTCGCCGCCATGCTGCTTGGTGTAGTCTACCGGATTCACAGCGATGGCAGCATTCTTAACGACAATTTCGTCCGGGCCGGGAGCCGTGTACGGCGCAGGTTTGACTTCGAGGGGGATTGCGCCTGCCTTTACAAGGTATGCGGCATAGTTCTTGGGAGCCATCGTATGTATATGTAGGTAAGTATCAAGTGCAGATGATCCGGGTGATAAAAGGGCTTCAAGGCCGTATAGATTAGGAAGACAAATGCTTTCGTAAACTTCAATATGAGACGATGTGAAGCAAAGCGCGAGTTAGGAGCTGGCAAAGACTCAAGGTTGAGTATGATGATACAATTCAAATCTCGATTTCTTAAGGAGTCTAGTAAGATATATATAACAATCTACTTGTTACTAACCCTCTGTCACAGTCTAGTCGTCCAAGATGCGTTGAACTTCTCTGTAGCGAATGTACAATGTATAATGCGGGTCTAAGTTGAAGATCTCCCAATACCAAGCCCTATCTAGTCTAGTGGGACCCGGCAATTACAAAGAAGCGGGTCCCGCATCGTAGGGCGACAGGGATTCCGGATTTAAGACTTCCTAATCTGGACAACTTCAAGTCATCGATAGGCCATTATTGCTTCAACACTTAGAGTTAACTCCGGCAGAAAGTCAATTAAAGCCGAAGCATGACAGCGTATCTAATGGAAATCGCTCCCAGGAATCCGACTGTGCTACACACTTGCATGTTAAACACGTGTATTATCTAATACGATTGGATTAGAAAGAACTGTCGTTGGTATTGTATTATTAAGATTAACCGACCTTAATCATTCACTATGCCACCAACCTAGTTCATGTCCCTGTCGCTTGCGACCCCTCGCTTCGCGAAGTTCCCGAATGTCCAGGAGTTAATCTCTTCGCGACGCCGGAGGCTAGTGTACTTAGGCTTAATAAATGTGGAATTAACTATCAGGAAATTCCAAGATATACGCATGATAGTAAACTCTTAAAATAGTGATAGGTACTAGATACCCAGGTAGGTCATCAATGGCCTTACCTTGACTAAGGTATTGCTGATGCAAAAGGGAAATTTGCGCCAGGTGACAGTCATGAAAGATCAGATGTTGGTCACCCAAAGTAGGAGTTTTAGTTAATTTTTTAAAATATAGCTAATATAATTGAAGACGGGAAATTTTGCGAGATAGTCCGGAAGTCATACAGGCCAGATACTGATGCGCGTTCTATCGTGCAAGGTATTGGTAGAGCGCAACGAGACTTTAGGTATCTACCTAGGTATACTGGAATATTCCGATACTGACAGGTTGATGAGCGACAAGATGAACGAGGAATATCGCAATGATATACGGTTCAATTAGGTCCATTGAAAAAAGGTAACGGCGCCATCGCTGTCCAGAGGGGGGAGCCAATTGCGGATACTCAGAAGAAAATAACGAATCGAGATAAAAGCCCATCGACACCATCGAAAGAAACACAAACAAGTGGATGACTTCAGGGGGACACCATTAAACTAAATGGCCACAACACATAACTAACTCTGGGACTCACTACAAGTCATAGATAACTACCTTCAAGAGACCATCTTTCCTCTTTAAGTACTCCAACGTTTCCCTTCGCTGTGTAAGAAATGTTGCCAATCATAACACGGCTAAGGTCAACGAAACGGATCACATAGACCATAAAGGGGAAACAATTGAATCAAATATATTTTCGAAACTATGTCGAAGACGGCTTGGACTATTGTCAAGTAGAAATCCGTAGACACAGGAAGTAGTTCACTATTGTCAACTTTGATATCAAACCATCATTGGCATGAGACAACCTTTTCATATATTCGCACAGTCGGGGCTTTACTGATAATGGAGCTGCTACCGACCTAGGTACCTGCCTACCTAGCCATTTCATTCCAACCCTTTCCGAAAATTCGCCTCATTTGGTAGGAAGCTTGTCGGAATGCTTGGCTAGCGGGAAACGACACCTCCCCATAGGTACCTATGCACATATCCGTCCTTACATCGTCGTCATCGCTAACATCATATTCGCAAGGCAAACCAAATCAAGCAAAAACGATCATAATCACAATCTCCAATCCCCTATTATTCGCTCCTACATAAACTGCCTAGCATCCTAGTCATCTAGTCTACTCAAGCAGTCCAACCCCGCTCTCATACACACAACTACATCCCCCCACAAATATATGAACTCGTCCGCGGCACCTCCAACCCTCAACTCCGACCCTTCTATAATAACCATAAACGTAGAAACGTAACGTAATCATCCTCTCGTAACGCCGTGCTAGGTCGTAGAAGGAGCGAATATTCGACGTACAAAAAACTGTTATGTGACCCATACAAGTCATACAAACTATACAGGCGTTCCCATTCTCTCCAATGTCAAACGTGGCGTGCTCTTATTTAGTCCAACCGTGTTATCTTGTTGAGCGCCGTATGGTACCTTGTGCGGTTCGAGTTTATACGTTCGGTCGCCTAAAATTGTCCAAATAATCATAGCACAAGGAACTTTATATAAGCGGGATATCACCACACGATGCTGCCGTGTCACCAGCCCATTAATCCTCAGGCGTCTTAGCCTGTAGCACCGAAGCAGGTCATCATCTTGCCTTCTCTACCTCTCTATACAACACCAAAAAGCCATACTCGGAGCTGAGGACTCGAACCGGGATACAAGGTCTATCTAGATCTTCACCATCGTCTCATTCACATTCGTCCTTAGATGCATGTTCTACTGGAACGTGCCTCTAATCTTGGCGTAAAGGTCCGTGTCGAAGAAGTTATAATCTGCGTCGAGCTCGCAGAATTCGTGCGCTCTTAGCAAACGCTCAGCCGTTGGGCGGTCTCTAGGGTCACTATTTCCTTGTTAGTAAAAACACCCCCATATTATTAAGTCACGAAAAAGAGTCACGTACACAGTGAAGCAGTCCAACATGAACCCCAGAGCATAGGGGCTAATAGTGTCGCGTACGTCGTCCGTAATTGGCGGCGTCTCTCCGTTCGCGATCTTGTAGATTGCACCAACAGCCTCTTCCTTGCTCCAAGGTCTCCTGCCCGCGAACATCTCTAAGACGACGCACCCTAAACTCCAGATGTCGACCTTTGCGCTGTACCCTTCGCCCTGGGATCGGATCACTTCCGGCGCCATCCAGAACACAGAACCCTGCATCGAGTTGGTCTTGTCGTTGCCGTATATATTGTCTGTTTTCTTGCTGATGCCGAAATCCGAAATCTTGCAAGTCCCGTCTACATCCAGCAGAATATTGTCGGCCTTTAGATCTCGGTGCAGAATACCCTCACGGTGCAGGTATGCTAGACCTGAGAGTGTCTGCCTAGTCAACGAGCTAACCACCGGCTCCTCAAATTTTCCGTGTTTGCGCAAACACGACCCAATACTACCACCAGAAATATACTCCAAGAAGATGCTAATGCTTGTCTCCTTCCTCTCGCAGCCGAGATATTGCACAATATTGACGTGATCTAGATTCTGCATCGTGTCAATTTCCTGGTCCAAGGCCTTCAGAAGTTCCTTCATCTTGTTTTTATCTCCAGCCGCAGCTTTGGGATTGACTTCGACTTCCTTGACGGCCAGGAATTCACCTGTCGTAGCATTCATACCCAAGTACACACGTCCGTAGGTACCCTTACCGATGAGCTCACCCTTGAACCATCGGAATGTCGTTTGCCGCTTTGGCAGAACGTCCTGTGGAATTTGCGGTACAATCATTGACCCACGCTCGGGGCGAATTTGAACGACATTAGCGCCAAACATCTTCGTACTCTTCCGGCGTTGGATCATCGACGACGCTCCGGCCCCGCCACTGGCCGTAGTTGTGGTGAATCGCTTGTTCGCTTCATGAGCCCCACGCGCTACCTCTCGGATGGACTTCATACGGCCAAGACCGCTTGAGCGCTGCATGTTTCGGGTCGCAACCGAAGCAATCGAAGGGGGACGCTCTAGCGCCTTAAGAGTCGATTCGTCGGAACCGAGTGTGTCGCTCTCATTATACACCGACGATCTCGTAGTACCAGTCCCGGTAGCAGGTATAAGTGGTTCAATGTTCAAAGTGGATGCTGCTGCTTTACCATTTCCACTCGGAAGCTCCTCGTGCTCATTTATGGGCGATACCGGCAACTCATTCTCGTCTAGCACAGGCTGATCCAGGTCGAGTTCCGGGAAGAAAGCATCAAGGTTGCTGAGCAAAGCCTCGGGAGGTGGACGGTTGGCCCACACACCACGATCGACGAACGACTTCCGGCGATTAAGCTTGCTATCGTCAGACTGCCATTGGTCCGAGCCCGGAGTTCCTGGTGTGCGGCGGTGAGAGTCCCGTCCGCTCCGGATACTTCCATCGTCGTCCTCCAAATCAGGCGTATTAGACGAGCCTGGAGAAGCATTAAATGTAACCGACAGACCTTTCTTAGACCTCGAAGTCTTGACCCTCAAGTTCGGTTTCTTGCTGTCACTGGATTCCGAGTCGCTATCGAGGACACTTGTCTCGTTGCGGCTCGGTTGTTTACGTACCGCCTTCTTTGACGGCTGTCTCCCCCTCATCGGAATAGCAAAAAGACCATCGTCCGAATCGTCGCCCGACTCTTCGTTCGTTGGCTTAGCAGGCGCTGCTGGCTTGGAAAACTGCACATCTGTCTCGGTGAAGTCCACATCGGGGCCGTGGGATTTTCGGCGGGGGGGACCTGTAGGATTTCCTTGGCTGGCGGGAGCTCCTGGGGCGGGGTGTGCCGTGCTCGGACTAAGATCACCGGGAGAGGGCGCTCGTTGTGCTATTTCACGCATTTTAGTAATCGGCTCTAGCTGTGTTGTGCCCCGGTTACCAAGAGATGGGGGGGTGTCACCGGGAGAGTAGTCTGGAACAACGAATGGTATGTCACCACGGCCCCAAGTTAGAGAGCCGGGTGAACCAGACCTTGACCGAGAACTGCTACGTCCCGAGGCTGTCGTGCCAAAATCAACGCTTGCCATTGCTCCCTTACCTTTCTGTTCCACTATTTCCGCTGCTGGTGCAGGTACGGGCGCAGGTGCCGATGTATTTCTGGGAGACACCGACCGTTGTTGCGGTACCGCGGTTGATGGGCGACCTAGTCGGCCCCAGGCACTTCCCATATTCACCAAAGCGCCAAGGGCCGATCCTGCCGGCGGAGAAGGGGGCCCACCAGGTCGATTCTGATATGCACCTTGGTTCGCCGCACCTGTCGAAGTGGATGGCCGCCTGGGACTAGGAAATCCATCTAGACTACCTTGGGATGGCCGCATGTTGTGGCCGGTCTTCTTACTCAGTGAATTCGCCTTGATTAGGGTAGCGGTCTCAACGACTGGCGGCGCGGGTGCTTTCCTCTGCGGGAAGAGGTTATCCGGTTTCTTGTCGTCAAATGGCGAGAGACGCGGGTGGTCAAAATCCACATTCCTACCGACAATTCCAGTCTGGGGAGATATTTCATGAGGAGAAGATTCTTTAATGGCTTGCCTTCGTTTAGCAAGATATGCTGCTTGTTGCTTTTCCACTTCGGCTCGATACTCGTTAGCCTTGGCGGCCAGTTCGGCGTCATTTGGCGGTGAACCGGCTGAAAGCGTATTGGTCCTCGAAGTGGGAGGCGACGAGCTTGACCTGGTACGACCATTGAGGTGAGCATAAGCGTCCTCGTTTATGTTAGAACCAGGGGCTAGATAACCGGGCGACAGTGCCGCCGGGTGGGCGAGACCGCCATTGCTGGGTTTGCCGATCTTAATGAAGAATTTTAGAGTGCCGTGAGCATCGCCCTTGTTGCGTTTATGAATCCACAAGCTCTGATCCTCCAACGCCTCGTCATGCGTTTCGCGACCTAACTCAGTTAAAAATATCTCGAACCCTCTTGGGTCAGGGAGTCCTAGATGTGTGCAGATATTAGAGCGTAGATCTGCGGCTGTATCACAGTCGGTGACATCGCATAGTCTATAATTCCAGCCATCCAATGTGACGAGGATAAATACTCGAGGCCCATTTTTATTACGTCTGAATGTCGGGGCTGAGTCTTGAACGGCTTCTGGTGGGGGGGTTCCAAACCGAGGCCTCAGCAGGTTGGGACTCGTAGGCGAATTTGCATCGTCAGGCGAAGGGTAGGAGCCATCATCTTTCTGTTTGTTCTTTTTCTTTAAAAAGCTTAAGAAGCTCTTGTTATCCCTCGCAGAAGACGGTTCTGCCGAACCAGGCCTGTTATCGTTTTCAGCATGTTTTCCGTCGGCATTGTAACGTCGATCGCCGCGACTAGCATGAATCATATCCCCAATCCCACTCATGCCATTTCGGAGTAGCTGACCTGCTTCAGGCGGGACACCAGATCCGTATATTGCCGCGTTCGAGGAAACGGAGTCGGTGCTATTTCTGGATTTGTGATGAAACCTGCTAGAGGGAGACAAGCTTCCTGAAGAAGGCTGAGGCTGGGGTAGGAATGCGGTCGATAGTTTCGGGCTAGATCCAGGGCTGTCACTTCGCAGCGCAGCTCGGTAATTTCCATCTCCATGCTCACTTAAGCTTGGGCTTAGCTTGCGACTGCTTTCAATATCAATATTCTTTAGCATGGCACGGTGGTTGGAGTCCGAGCTCATCGGGTTATTGAGAGTTGGCATAGTCGTAGATCGAGACTGAGAAAATCCCCTGATGCTGGAGCCGAACTTGATAGGAGTATTGGGAGACTCCGCGTCTGTGCCAGCACTCTGTGCATGAGCACTAGCAAGGGATTCCTTACTGGCGTGAGATGGCAACGATTTGGCGCTGTCGACTGGTTTCCCAGTAACTATACTTCGTATAAGGCGGCGCATCCGCTTCCCCTCTTCCCTTTCTCGGGGCTGATCCCAATTGGTATTATTATTGACACACTCCTGCGCCAATCGGGGATAGACGAGCTGATGCATCATACCAAAATTTCCACGGCCGCCCTTTTGACTACCAAGCTCGAGGAACTGTGCTCCGTGAATGTTGAGGTTCTTAAACGTCTCTTGCCATTCTTTGGAGAAGTGGTTCGCGGCAAGCCATAACAGTACATGATCTAAAGGCCACTTAGCTGCTAGTTCGGGAGGAATCTCGGAGTGAACATTGGTGGAATTCGAGGTTGTCGACAACATCCGGTTATTAAATGCATTGGCGTATAGCAGCCCACGGTTGGGATCATCCATTGACATAGTATTCATGCTGCTCATGGTATTCACGCTACTCGTCTGGCTAGAGGGCCAGGAGCTTTGGGTAGTGCTTGTTGACTGGGTCGCCGAATCATCCGGGAAGAAACCAGGTATACCAACACCCTCCCCGTAGGTATCGCCTCCCGGTATATACGTTGCAGATACCATCGCCTCATTCGCATCGTTTCCGGGTCTGTACGTGCCCGACATAAGCTCGGCCGGCGGAGGGGGTGGAGGGATGGAAAGAGTCCCATTTGAAGCCTGGGAATGGAGTTTCGGATTATATGTTGGGACAGGACCGCCCGCAGGCGGAGGAGGAATCGCGAAGCTGGGCTGCCCATTGTACGTACGGCCCCAGTTGTTTTGCCACGGAGGCTGCGGACCTAGAGCGCTATTTGGCGGAGGACCGGGCGGCGGAGGCAGCACGACGCCGCCGGTTGCTGAAGGGGCACTCGGGTATCTAGGTGGCGGAGGCGGGATATTTAACATAGTATTAAGCTGCCCGGGCTGACCAGCGATGGGTGGCGACATGGGCGGAGGCGGCGGGACCTGAAACGGCCTTGCCTGATTCTGTTGGGTATTGGAATACATGTTGAATATGGGATACGGAATAGCACGGCATGAATCGCTTTAGCCGAGCGTATGGCTGCGAACGAACAGCCAAGTTCGTATCGGGATCGCCCAGTGTGGTTGTGATCGAGTATCCGGAAGATCGTCTAGACAATGAGGGTTCAAAGAGAGAAGTCGAGTGATGAGCAACAACAAGACTAAGCAAGAGAAATAGTAGGCGAATGTAATAATGGGGCTTCTTTCACGATACGAGAAGATCGTCAAGTGTCGGCCGAGACGGACGGACACGGTCAACGGTCAACGGTCGAAGGTCGAGTGATCACCAGCCTTCCGATCTCGTCCTCAAGATAGATAATCGAAGGGACAATATAGCAATCGATGAATCAATTCATATGTTGAGTAGTTTTCCGAATGGATGGGAGGGCAGAATGTCTAGTCAAAAGAGAATTCTGCGTGAGGCCCCGGTCACGATTTGGGTAAAGTAGCGACAGCGATAGCAGCGAGCACCATGGCTAGGTAATTAATGAATATTGATATTATAGTATCGAATTATAGTTGTTTTACAATATATCGTATTGATCGCCGTTGTTGTCTTCGTTCGTCGTTCGTCGTGTTCGGCGTCGTCGTCTTTTAGCGGGGAGATATATTAAGTGGGAAAGTTATGAAGTTGGTTATTTTAGCGTGGATGTGAATGTGTAGCGTTGGTGTCTTGGTGAGTTAGTGGGTCAGCATCAAGGTTGGCAAGGACGAAGATCAGTTGTTTGGTGCGAACCCTTGGAAGCCAAGAAAGCGTCAAGGGTTGTTTTGTGTTTTACGTCGGTGGTCCTACCTACATGGAAGCATGGGATACACGGCTACCTCGTACATGGGGCTACTACGTACAAAAGTCGAGGCAGTTCCCAGCACTAGTCGCCTCCGCTCCGCAGGGGAAGCCTTTACGCTAGCCCTCACTCCACGTCGTACCTTCCTACCGTAGCGTGAAAGCCCGGCGGCTACGCGCTTACAGGCAACGAGGGGTGGAAATCATTGTGACGATTTGGGTTTAGTGCCAATCATGATACAGGTATCGTACATACATATGGTAGGTATATAGTACATATCCCGATGTACTCCATCTTCGTTTTCTGGCTTGTAATATCAACATGAATCTTTAATACGGAGTATAACATATAACATAAGATATTAGCAAGTTCAAGCATTTCCAGTACGAATACGTCTGAATGAGACCAACTCTAAGGCAAGGAAAATATGATTGGGGATTGGATGAGGTCAGGAAGGTGCAAGACAACCGTTACAAGGGGCGAGATAAAATTTTAATCCAGAAACCAATTGAATTTCCATCAATCACCTACAATGAATTGTGGGTTTCATTGGTTAGATATCCATTCTTTTCTTGCTTCCTCATCAACACGGAGACGAAAATCAAATTTGTGAAATTACAATTAACCAATTTTTCATCTTATTATTACGGAATGTTCTCCCTATTAGTCCATCGCATACCATTATCATCCGTTCTTCGAACGAGAAGCTCAAGTAGACGAGCAAGTAGATATACAAGAAACCATCTTAGGACCGTGTAACTCTGCAAGTTGACAACCATCAGTAAATGTAGATAGGTAGATGGAAGGGACGCGCATCATCCTATTTGCTTGATGCGCTGGATGCATCGCATTCGTCAACCCTATCCTATTCGGTCCATTCCTAGAGCGAAGCACCCGCATCTGCAGGACTGCGACATGGCTTTAACCTCAATGCGGGTAGATCGGCATGGTAAGTATCCCGAGACTTCGGTAGAAATAACTATTGGGATCTTATCTCACAAGTACCGATGCTTCTATTGCCTCTATGTATGTAACTGTTAAAACAGAATATCAAAGATGGTCAATAGGTCTTTTCATACCAGGTACTCCAGATGAGATATTTGATATAAGTTTTAGTGGCATATTGTAACGGGTTTCTCTTACCCCTTTTTTTAATAAGGCACCAAAGAGGCTATTTTCAAGGAACACTAAATCCAAAGGAATACCCAAGTAACATCGTGGAAGCATCAGCTTTGGGTCGTAGGATCTCGTGGTAGTAATCTTTATGAGGCTCAAGTAAAGCTGAGCCACTACATCGAAGGCTAAGACGACGTATAAAACACATCCTGCGTCTTTGAGTTTCTCGCAAATTCCATCCACGTGTCTGTGATCGCTACTTTAGACACTTCGGGGTTCACCGTTGGGGGCCGATTCTTAAAACATTTAAGATGACTTAGGTACCTGATGTGCCTTGCAGAAAAGCGTCGGAATCGCAGAGACATGCAGTTTAATTTGTCTTGATCGAGATTATTCCCTCGTCTCACATGCCTGGCATTGTAAGCCGTGCAACCCAAAACCCCCAACACCTTGATGAGCATCCTCCAAGCTAGATGAATACCTGGTAGGTAGGTATACTTAAAGTAACCAGCATCGCAGAACTCAGCCGTAAAAGCCGCAAAAATTATTAAATACATATACTTCCACATATACTTCCACAACCGTGACGCCGATCACATGACGATACAATCTTTAAAGCTGGACATGTATGATTCCTGACATTGCTGTAGGTATCCGGCCTCCTCAGCTGTGCCTGCCAGGGTGTTGTGCGGGCGTATTACGCCCGTCACTTTGAGACTTTGTTTACCATCGCCGTGCCACCACCGGAGCTTTTGAATCCACGTGCGTTCTTCATCGTCTGTGCTGATCTCCCATTTGCCCGAGCTGACAGTTACGATGCATTGGTCCTTGGGGAAATGATATTCTGGCAGAAATACGGTCGTGGGGAAATCTCCAGATTCAGCCTTGGTTCCCTCAATTTCCATTGTGAACTCGCAATTCTTGAGGTCAAAGGTATAATCTATGATCGGTCCATTAGTAGTTATCGGTGCAGGGCGGACATAAGCTTCAGCAGCGCGATATCCGGGGGCGTTAGTCAATTCAGGATTTTGGCTCGTCGGAGTTGACGCGATTGAAGGGTTTGTCATAACACGCTTCAAATTACCAGGAGTCACCGAGGATTCATCATCAACTTCTTTTCTAGTAGTAACTGATTTCGCGAGACTAGAGGTTGACCGATTGAGCTCAGGCGAATGCGGGAGAGGAGAAACTGGCAACGTCTGGTCATCAACCGAAAAGATGGATAAATCTTCCCCATTCCATTGGTCACCTCGTTGATGGTCATTCTGAGCATAGCGTCAGTAGCTAAACAAAATCAATGAGAAATGCAGGTGAATCTTACCGTCGCGCAGTATAGCCACAACGTGTATCCCTCCATCAATGCCCCCTCAACAGCAAAGTGATTCGCGTCCATAGCCGCGGACTGGCTTGAATAATCGCCTGTCTTGTAGGCATATTTTTCATCCATATCATATGGGATACCAAATTCGGTGAGAATACACGGGTGGTTTCCCATATAGTCCTGACCTTCCTGCCTCATAGCCGCCAGCTGTTCTTTGAAGCTGTTTCGGATGGCCGTCTCGCCAATTTTAATAGCGAAAGCCGGGTGCCAGTAACGGCCACGAAGAACCCCAAAGACGTCTACATTCCATGTCCGATTCCACTTCTTAGTCATGAGAGTGATGCCGTCATAGTAATGCGGTGCGTAAACCATCCTCGGGTCGTCATCTTCGGTACCTTTAATACTTGGGGGTACTTCTAGGGTTGGCGGTTGGCACAGCATAATCGCATCTTTGTGGATGCCCCTTATAGCATCCCGATATTTGCGATAGAACGCCATGAAGTATGTGTTCGTGAATGTATGGAAGTCCAGTTTATCGCCACTGGTTGGGTGCTTCTCAAAGTAGTTCTTTCGTAAAAGCGCATCTGTGGAGGGATCCCATACTCCGTGTTGGGCCCAGACACATTCCCCTAGTCTCCAGTCAGGATCCCGTTTCCAACCGTATCGAGACTCGTCATAATCTGCTGGTAGCCACGCCTGTTCGCCGTGAGGATCGATCAAAACGCGCCCGGTCTTGTATGGACCTAAACCTCCCATATCCCACGTATCAACTTCGCATGCTCGCCCGGAGCCCGTCAGGATGGCCTGCCATAGGGTTGGGGACGACCCCTTTTTGAGTTGTTGTTCGCTTGGGATGACGCTCAAGTCCACGTGCCCAATCATCCCTCTGCCAGGCTCGTTTAAACTCTCCCACCCAAAAACGATATCATTTTCAATGCCCCCAGCTTCATGTATACGGTTCGCCAGGTGTTGGCAAGCACGTATGAAGTGTCCTTGGAGATAGTCCTGGATATTAATGCCATCAATTATACATTTCGGGGCGAAATCTCGTCCGCCGAAGAAGAGAGTGAATATCGTCGCTGCAGCTAGTCGGTAATAGTTTGTAGACCAGATCATCTTTGGGAAATTCTCGGTGTCGGGATACGTATTATGTACGATAGCGGCCTCGGTGGCGGCGAAGCTCTGGGGATTCAGTCCGCAAGCGTAAATCGTCCACATGGGTGCACCAGATCCGCCACAATACCGCGACCACTAGTTAATTATCATAGTTAGTATGTACCTGTGCACGTCGTTTCTATATATATCAGCATTGGAAGCACATACAACATCCTGGTGAGGGTCCATGAATATGTAAAAGCCATAGTCTTTGGCCGCTTTCAAAACATCGATCGTGTGCTGGATCCAGACCTCATCGTACCTCCCCGGCCCGGCAGCCTCGATAGCTTCCCACGTAAAGACATAGCGAATGGTATTGTACCCGAAACGCTTCAAGCGGGAAAAGTGAATGTGCGCATCTTCTTTTCGAAAAGGCCGGCTGTGAAATTTGACGTTGTCGCCATCGAAGAAATCTTGGGCGACATGCGAAGGTACGTCGGGTTGACTAGGGAGCTTAGCGTCGCCAGCGACATTGATGCCCCTTAACAGGACATGTCTCCCATGCACGTCCTGGAAATGGCCATCCTCGATAATCAATCGCAGTGAGGAAGCCATGAAGAGTCGTCCAGAGAATGCGAGATGCGAGAGTCTCAAACAAGCAATCGTCGATAGTTATGAAAATATGAAAATACCAGAGGCGACTCCCACGGAAATACTTTGTACTGTCGTAGGATTCCAGACCGATTGGTACTAAGAGGATACACCTATGCAACACGGAACACGGATGTTACTACGGCCCCGAGCCTAATCAACCGGCGATGACGTCTGTGCAAGGATTAAGCGAAGGGGAGTGCTTCGGGAGTACAGAGTACATAGGGATATCGTATCAGTCTAAAGGGATCAGAGGAAATACTAATCAATGATCAGTGGGAGAAATGAGAAGTTTTATAATCGAGAAAAGTATACAACTTAGAGTTGATGCATGTACTTAACCCAATTCGTTCAACTCTTCTGCTTGATAAACACGAATGTGCAGCTGATCGACACATATGTAGAATGTCGGAAGTAGAAGATAAAGTGACCTTGAGTGACATCCCACTAGTTGATTTACTAGCGCATGTGAGAGGTGAGAGGCGCCAACATTGAAACGATGCGACAACCCAATATGAGCCGATGTTCTCCCGGCATAATTCCATATCCATGCAAGCTTAGTAAGGAGCGAACTAGGTAGCTGAACTTAATGTTTCCGGAGTTTTGCCGCGGGCCACTTTTTATTGCTACACCAGAAATTGAGAGTGATACGTCAAACCAATAACTTAAAATTAAATCCGATGATGAAATGACACACACTCATCCCTCATGCCACTTCCGTCCCACATCTGGTCTCACCAAGACATGAACGCCGGCATCCCTGATGCACCTCCTCTAAGATGGCGAGCATCAAGGCCTCATTGAAGGCTATTATGGATGCCATTCGCCAACAAAAATGGGACGATGCTCTAGCACAGACCGAAAATGTCATCGCCAGAGATGCGCGTAATTACCAAGCGTACGTAGCCTTGTCTACCTATAGAACACTCATCACAGAATCTAACGTCCATCTCAGCCATGTATACAAGGCCTTCGCCTTGGACAAGAAGAACCAATCGGAACTGGCCGAAGCCGCCTACCTAACTGCTATCGGTATTCGATCCGATGCTCAAGCATGGCAAGGCTTAATTAAGATTTACGAGAAGCAAGGCTCGAAGGCCGTCCAGAAATATCAGCTAGCTGCTCTCAAGCTTGCAGAAATCTACAGAGATTCCAATGACATGTACAAGTGTCAGGACGTCGTTGACAAATTTATTGACTTCGCTCGTGCCTGTGGCGATCGAGCTCAATACGTCCAGGCCCTTCATCTCATACTTCCTAATAGTCCCATATATCCTGCTCTGGAAGGCCGTGTTCCTCATCCTGCCAAAACTTACGAGACAATAGCTCAGATCCTGGAGGTGGACGAGAAGAAACGCATCAACACGCTCATCGGTGAGCGCCGTACACGATTGGGAGCTAAGCTTAGTGAAGTCACCCTCGAGGTCAACAGAGAAGTTCTATGTCAAAGTGAGCTATGCAATATCTACGAACAGCTCACGCTTTGGGCTCAAGATGACGATGTCCGACGCCAATATGAGGAGAAATTGCTTCAATTTCGATACGACCGCCTTCTGGTTACCCCACCCCCAGGCAAACCTGCCGAGCTTCAAGTGGTTCAGAAGCTGGCGAATGATATGGTTATCATCAAGCACCCTTTTAAGCTTGCTTGGGACATAGCGGTCGAATGGCGTGATCACAAAGAGATTAAGGACTGGGACGTCAATGTACTCAATGAATATTGTTCCTTCTTCCCGGATAGTGATCTCTATCGCGTCTTGACCGGGTTCATGACGAGCGACTTGTCGCCTTTTCCGAAGAAAGCGGCAGAGGCTCCGGCTCCCGCCCAGATATCTGGGGCGGATGACGAAAGCTCAGATGATGAGGATGGCGGCGCGCCGACCTCGGTGATACCGTACACTGATGAGGACAGGCTCTTAATGATGACTGAGGGTATCTCGACTACTAAATCGCTTCTTGCCCACAGACTGATGGGCGAATACTACCAGCATCTCGAAGAGCACGAAAGCAATGTCGAACTTATGAGGAAGGCAATGAAAATCATGGTTGCGGAAACGGACAAGACGGGTAAAGTCTTCGCGAATGCCAACCAATCTTTTATGCTCTATTTGGGTACTGCATTGGTGTTCTATCAATCTCCGAGAAATCACGGCGAAGCCAAATTCCTTTTTGATAAGGTGCTAGAAACAGATCCTACATCGACATCGGCTATGATCGGTGTCGGTCTAATTTATGAGGAAGAGGAGGAGTTCGACCAGGCGATTGATTTCCTGGGACGAGCACTCGAAGGCGATAGTGGCAACCTCCGTGTACGTGCTGAGGTCGGATGGTTATATGCGCTGAAGGGAGATTATACGCGCGGCAAGGCAGAACTCGAATCACTTTTGCCACTGATGCTGCGTGCTTCGGTTTCCAAGGATTTACTGGCACAGACACAGTACCGACTAGGTTGCTGTGTTTGGAATATTGATACTTCGAAATCTGCTAGGAAAAGCCGCACTGGTGCCTACGCGTACTTCCTAGATGCGTTGAAGAGTAACTTCAACTATGCGCCGGCGTATAGTAGTCTCGGTATCTACTATGCAGATTATGCCAAAGACAAAAAAAGGGCTCGGAGATGCTTTCTCAAGGCCGTTGAGCTCTCCTCGGCTGAAGTCGAATCTGCTGAAAGGCTTGCACGATCATTCGCCGATGACGGGGATTGGGACCGAGTCGAACTTGTGGCACAACGAGTGGTGGATTCGGGCAAAGTTAGGCCCCCTCCTGGATCCAAGAAGAAGGGGATTAGTTGGCCTCTATCTGCTTTGGGAGTGGCTGAACTTAATAAGCAAGATTATGCCAAAGCTATCGTGTCATTTCAACAAGCATTACGAATAGCTCCCGCAGACTACCATTCGTGGGTCGGTCTCGGGGAAAGCTACCATAATTCTGGACGATATATCTCTGCGACCAAAGCGATTCAAAATGCCCAGAAATTTGAGGAGCGTGAGGATGGCGACAAGCTCGGAGATACTTGGTTTACTAAGTATATGCTCGCTAATGTTAAGCGCGAGCTTGGCGAATTTGACGATGCTATTTCTCTATATCGCGAGGTCATATCGGCACGACCGGGCGAAGAGGGTGTCGCCATAGCTTTAATGCAAACCATGGTTGAAAATGCCCTGGATTGTGTTGAGAAGGGCTTGTTCGGAAAATCAGCCGAGCTAGCCACCGAAGCTTTATCTTTTGCCCTCACTGTTCCCACTCACATAGCTACCACGTTCAACTTCTGGAAGGCAGTTGGCGATTCATGTTCTATCTTCTCTTCTGTCCAAAGTCACATACATGATTTCCCTACTGACAGCATTCGAACACTACTCAACCTAGGCTCCGAAGAAAAATCCGCCTACGCAGCGTTAGAGGACGTTGATGGTGTGGGCAAAGGTGTTATCTTAGCTGAAGGCATCTTTCCAGACGACGAACAGCTTGGAGTGGATCTCACGAGAAGTCTTCATGCAACTATTCTGGCTCACAAGCGAGCAATCTACGAGTCGGCTAATGACATTCATGCTCAAGCTGTTGCATATTATAACCTAGGCTGGGCCGAAAATCGAGCTCACCTCTGTCTTCCTTCCGAGCTTCGTGTCCAATCCAGCAGGTACCAGAAGGCTGCCATTCGATGCTTCAAGCGCGCTATAGAACTTGAAGCCGGCAACCCAGAATTTTGGAATTCGCTAGGTGTTGTCACGAGCGAAATCAATCCCTCTGTAGCGCAGCATGCATTCGTCCGGAGTCTATTTCTCAATGAACGAAGCGCACATGCATGGTCGAATCTTGGGACTTTGGCACTGCTTCAGAATGATATTCAACTCGCAAATGAGGCCTTTACGCGAGCTCAATCCAATGACCCTGATTATGCCCATGCCTGGCTAGGCCAAGGCTTTGTTGCACTTTTATACGGTGACACCAAAGAAGCGCGTGGTCTTTTCACTCACGCAATGGACATCTCGGAGTCATCTTCACTTTTAACTAGGCGTCAGTATCCAACGTCCTTATTCGACCATATCCTGACAAACCCCCCGAATTTAAGCGTTACGTCTCTTATCCAACCGCTATTCGCTCTCGCCCAACTACGACATCTTAATCCGCAAGGCCTTTCTTACCAGCATCTTTCGACTCTATATCAAGAGCGAACCCACGACAACCTGAGAGCGATAGATACACTCGAGAAAGCTTGCGAACAACTGGAGGCAGACTATGAAGCTACCGAGTCTGCAGAGTCTCTTGCGCGATTTGCCTTAGCTAAGACAGATCTCGCGCGGTCGTACCTCTCAGCCGGTGAATATGCGAAGGCTTCTGAGTGCGGGGAGATGGCTTTGCAGTTGAGCAGCGATGAGTCTGCGAATGAGCTTACGGCTGAGCAACGCAAGAGAGCTCGACTATCAGCACATCTGACTGTTGGCCTAGCTGAGTATTTCTCTGGGAATGTCGAAGCAGCCGTGTCGTACTTCGAGACTGCGCTTGACGAGTCTGATGGCAACCCTGATGCTGTCTGCGTTCTAGCTCAGATGTTGTGGGCTACGGGTACTGAAGAAGCTAGAGAAAGGGCACGCACTATACTATTTGACGTGATTGAGAAGGACTCAACCCACGTACAATCCGTACTTCTCCTAGGGATCATCGCGTTGCTAGACGAGGATGAGGAGTCGCTAGAAGCCGTGACTTCAGAGCTCCAAACACTTCGCACCAGTGATAAGGTCACCGATGCAGAACATTCTCAAATTGGAGAGGTATTCCGTGCCGTTGCTGCCTTATCGGAGAACAGCTCGGATGAAGACGTCTTAACTCAACTCCAAAACGACGTTATGTTATACCCACATTTACCATACGGATGGTCTAGGTTAGCCGATGTTAGTAGGGAAGAATATCCAGCAGACATGGCCCTGAAGGTAGCATTGAAAGCTATTCCACCAAGAGGTGAACTTGGAGCTGTGGACCTTGCTGATGCATATGCTGGAACCGGGAAAGCCGCTGATGCTCAGACTGCAATCTTCATCGCTCCCTGGAATAGTAGTGGTTGGGAATCCTTAGGTAGTGTGGTCGCCTCCTAAAATCGCACTACTGGTTCTCGGTATGTTACAACCCTTTTCCCCCTCTGTTACCTGGTGTTATGGTGTTGTGATGATATATGGATACCCTAAACATGTTTCAAGACGGGGCTGAGATCTTCATTGATGCATAAATATCCAATCTGATGCGGGACACCACTCATCGAACTTTATTTTTCCAAAACTATTTCTCGGATGGTTAGCTAACCACTCTTTAGGCACACTTGATACCACCATTCAACGTATGGCCGGGCTTGGGTTGAATGTATGACGTTGAACACATATTGATGAATGAATGGTTGAATGATATAAGGAATAAGAACTCACCTTATGTGAGAATGGATGATGGCTATGACTACGTGCATACCACGGCGCAGTACCAACCTGATCCTTGAGATACGCTTTGGAGTCACGCCCGTAGCTATTAGCACCTTAATTTAGCATTATTTCAGATGTAAGGTCATGAACGTCACATCATTCTTACTTCGTGCCCATCATGTAGTAACGTACCTAGTAAGTCATCGTGAGATATGTACGTACCTACCTAATTATGATAGAACTCTCGACAGGCTCGCATCGACAGAGGTTAGGGCCTCAACAAGTCGAGATAGGTGAACACAATGCGACCGTTTATATCCAATCAATATGTCGAAGAAGCCTTAATTGCCTCAGGTCCTATCAAATGAGAATATCTCGGCTGACTTAGTCTAACCATATTCGATGCTTTGCCACGTCGAATTCAAACATAACTACCTTCTGGTAGACAACACAGTATCCAGTCAACCCCATTCCTACCTAGGTAGGTTATGCAATAAATAGGCTCATACCCACTCAACCCACTCTTATAGAGTAGCATTGTCAATAAAGGGAATGGTCCTACGGATGCCTACACTGGAACAAAACTTAGCTCCCAGCTGAAACTACGATCAGCACGTCGCATCACCTTACCAAATATTCATAGGCTACTAAATCTATAATTGATTGGGGAGTTGCGGGTGAAAGGTGCCACGATACAGACTCAGCAGGTGGGGGGAAAAGAACGCAGCTGCGTGAGGAGCTCTTAGTTCTCCTTTCCGAGGATTACGACGCATATATAGGTAGACAATGCTTTCTTCCTAAGCTATTCGAAGGCTAGCCGCCAATAGACCTTCCAAAGATCGAGCTCTGGTTCTAGTAAGTGGTCTTCTTTCATCTTGCAAGTCCTTTCTCTTCATGATGGGTTGTTGCTCCTCAAGACAGACCATGGAAATTTCAGGAGGGGGTGAAATGCAGAATATTGCTCAAAAGTCTAGTATAAACGTAAATAATCTCTGCTCGCGATGTACGGAAATTAATTGGAGGGGCATAATACAGCAGGCGTGCGAGGCACCCGTACGACAGGTCATTCACTGGCCGCCCCAGGACGATATGTCTGCATCGCCACAGAGCTTTGAACCAGAAGAAAGCTATCTTCTCAAGATTGAGGTTTCGGAGTTGAAAGACAACTGTCCAGTTTGTCTCTTATTTTCCGCTCTTGCCAGGGAAGAGGAACGTCATGGTCATAAAGTTGAACAGTTCACATTTCAAAGAGAGGATGCAGAGAATTTCTACGGCGATGCAAATACACTGTATCCAAGACCTTATGGTACTATGGACTACCAAGATCCGGAATTGTCCATTGCCAATGAGTCATGGTGCAGCGATGTTGTTCTAGGTCTCGCGATACAGGAGAGTGCGATCGGTTCTAATGACGTTTCGAGAACTCTCCGGAAAATAGACCCGGCGAAGATCAATATCGACCTTTTGAAATATTGGGTTTCGACATGTTATGACCAACATGGAAAAGATTGCAACCCGGCCGAATCCGAGCTGATACCTTCCCTCCGTGTCATTGACGTACGTACGGGAATCATTGAGAAAGCCCAACCCAGATGCAAATATGTTGCTCTGAGTTACGTTTGGGGTAGCTCACAGCCGCCTAAAAATAACTCTCAGAATGGCCAGGGCCGAGGCCTGTTAGATATAGCCCCAGAAACTATTAAGGATGCGGCCTGGCTCACCGAGGAGTTGGGGTATCGATATATATGGATTGATAGGTATTGCATTCCGCAGGACGATCCCCAAGCTAAACACGACCAAATTCAAAGAATGGATCTAATATACCAACAGGCAGAATTGACTATTATCGCTGCTGCAGGCGAAGGTCCTGAGTTCGGGCTCCCAGGGATCGGTGATAGAAAGCGTGACGCACAGCTTTCCGCAAAAGTGGACAGGGATACTTACCTTGTCTCAACTGAGCCAATGTGCGAGTCTTTCTTTATGTCAAAGTGGATCACAAGAGGCTGGACGTACCAAGAGTCAATTTGTTCTCGAAGATGTGTGGTTTTCACCAAAAAGGAGATGTTCTTTCAATGTAAGGGGACGGCTTGTCGGGAGACAGTACGTGAGCCGGGAAGTAAGGATTTCTTCATCGGCAGGCTAGACGAAGGCCCAATAAGCTTACGAGGACAGAAATTGACTGTATGGGACCATATCGAGATGTACTGTCACCGGCAATTATCCTTCGACAGCGATGCTCTGAATGGAATTCTTGGAATCTTCCGGCTTCACCAGCAGAGTGAGGACTCAGTGTATCACTTTTGGGGGATTCCTTTCTCCGCCAAGGATATTGAGTCAGTCGAACAAGGTTTCCTTGCCAGTCTTTGTTGGACATCTGAAATTGACCCGGAATCTACGACTGGTGTTAGAGAGATTCGTCGTCAAGGCTTCCCAAGCTGGTCCTGGACCGGGTGGAAAACGCCAATCAGACGGGTTTTTAATGAATACAGGAGACCTCCGCCTTTAGATGGCAAAGTTTCGGTTCATTTCAATGATGGATCAATCTTGGGGTTCCAGGATGCTTTTGAGCGGAATATAAAGAAAAGCGAGTTTGAAAGGCTTCCAAAGTTTCTCAATATTGAGTGTTGGACTTTTGAACTTCAATCTAACGTCCTAGAACTATGCCAGGAGAACCCTGGTGATGGAAGTTTCGATGTATGGGTTTGGCCAGCCGGCAATTCCGCACTAGATGAGAAGTCGAGAATTGCGATGTCCCTATCACTAGATGGAGACATTCCACCTGACCTCTTGTCTAACTCGAACGGGCGATTATTGGGCCTTGTCTTCGAAAGCAGGGAGAAAGTCATAGTACCCAGGCATTCTCTAGAGTCATGTGAAGTTGTCGCAGATTTTGTGATAATAGTCATGAAGAAAGGAGATTATTATGAACGGATCGGGTTTATTCAACTCCATCATAATGGGCTTAATCGGATATCTACCACAACTTTCAAGCGCATCACACGACACGGCTCCTCGATCCATTCAGATAGCTCACTGTCTTTCCCTCCTATTAACTTTGATGATCACGACGTGTTTCGTATCGAGAATTGGCTTCCAAGGGAGTTCACTTGGCGGGAGATCAGAATTGGGTGATAGCATTTTCTTCTAGGCGTGGATTGAATGAGAACCATGCGTCTAGGCTTTATTTACACGACTCTTACCATAGAATGACTCTATTTTTGAGTAAGAAATCTTCCAAGAACGTGAGGTTTGATACTCCACATACAGCATTCCTTGATAATGTCCGAGTAGAGTATCCACATCAACGCATTTCCCTGCTGAGATTAGAATGGTGAAACTCCAAAGCTCTCTATTTCGTGCGGTGAAAATCGCGAGAAGTATGAAATTTAAAGAAATAATTTTAGCTCTCAGGGCCAAAGAAATTTATAGAGAAGCCTTAGGGACGTGTTAGTGACGCAAGTAGTCATCACGGGGTTTAGGGGGATTTCATCTCCCAAATCTTCTGGCCTGAATGCTTAGAACCTCGCATCTCGTCGCAAAATGTTAAATAATGTTGACTAGATCCTAGATATCAAACCCATTTTCGTACCATACTAACTGAGCATATGTATATACTGCTAAAAGAACCAGTGGTCTGCTTTAATATTGATAGTATTGTATTGTAGGTAGTGGTAGGTGGCTGCATTTTGATAGTACGTCTGACCATGAAGAGGGAACAGAGTGTGCACCATGAAGCAATGTGCATGGGCGGAAGATATGAAGTATAAGAAAATAATGGAGATTGGGATAAAAAGGAAACAGATATGAGAATTTGAACGTGAATGAAAAAAAAAAGTGAAAAGGTCAAGTAAATGCTACAAGAAAAAAAAAAGGCAAGTGGTTGATTTGAACAGCGAACCTCTAGGCAAAAAAGTTCACCAGGAGTGACTTCTTAAACCCTGATTATGAAAGACTCGGTACAGGCCGAATTTTTCTACCCACCTTAATGCGCTGGACCATGCAGGCCGAAATCACTACGCGGCAGGTGATGAAACTTTTTACAATTATAGATTATATGTCTACCTACGCGCAGGGACCAATCACGCGACATGGCATGCGTTGCCCTGGCGGCTGGCTTGGGATGAAGTCATAGGCCCTCGTACAGCTATGACCGTCGTTACCTTACCTACTTACTCGGAATGACGTAGTTGAGGCAGTGACTCACACGAAATCCATGATAATAGTGATAAGAATCTAATGTACTATGTCGTTACTATACGACCCTTGAGACCATACGTGAAGCCTTTGAGATATTTTCGTATATTAAGCTTCAACGACCTGCCTACCTACAGCTGACTTTGTATACTCAGTTTCTCAAATCGAGATCTTATAGTAGATTATTATTTCTTCCATTCTTTCCATAAAGAGATTCCCTTTCTGCCGTCCACGCGGACGAGGACACAGTCTTAATGCTGCCCCGTAAATCATAAACAGTTGAAACTGCTTCATGTTTCCTTAACAAGAACCCGACTAGTACTTCTATGGACGCGCTATCTTATAACAATCGACGAACCAGAAGGTTTAGATGATGAAGGAAATAGGGGGCGAAGGTGTATCAATTATCCTATTCAACCTACTACATAGGTAGTGTTATGTTTACCCAGCAGGTCATTACCCCCATTCAATAGGCAGTCTCCCCACTTGATAGGACAAGGAATAAGGAAAGACGCAGATGCACATAGAAGCAATATTTGGGAAGTGCCACACAATTGTATGAATGATAAGAAGTGTATACACAATGGCATGTTGTATGCTTAAGCCCTACTGATGACTAAGCAAACCCTATTTATTGATTACCTAAGCCACTTAGATAGCGATTTGTTGGGCGAAAGTGGGAGACCGACAGCTGAAACATATTCACATAGGTAGTGAGACTAATTTCTATCATAGGACAATTAATTACTGTCTAGAAACTTTTGTTATTAGCCCGTGGAGCAGTAGTCTATTTACATAACTGCTAGTGGAAAGAACAAGCAAGCGGGCGACCGCGCGTGGTATCTCAAGACAAGCGAGAAGTCCACGCCAATCATGACTCGTGAAATTTTGCCAAACTCCATGCCCCTATTATTCCGAAAGAATAGCCACACACGAAATACACCACTGTCTGGCACCCAAATTAGCCAAGTTCTCATTGACCAGCACCCTCCACTGTTGCAATTCAATCCTGTAAATGAACCGTGTATAGAAACGTTCAACCAAGGAGTTGCAACCCGGTTGAAGACCAGCTTTCTAAAACCCAGTATAATCAGAATGTTCTATCCGGTCTTATTAGAACTCCTTAAGGACCTCGGTCCTCTTCAACTTAACGTTTCATGTTCATGCTAAGAACATGAGGAAGAGGGATCGGTGTTTCCTTCTTTGGCTTGAATGCGGCCTTCTTGTCAGTCTTGGCCTTGTCGTTGTTGGCAGCCTTTTGCACCTTCGAGGGTGTATCTATAGCAGTCGGTGCCGGAGATGATTGTGCCACGACTGGTGCTTGAATAGGTGTTTCCTTGAAGCTCGATGCCTTTGCCGCGGCCGACTTAGAAGTCTTAGCTCGCTTTGCAGATTTTCCTCGAGATTGAGGTTCATGCGCAGTAATAGGCTGTTCACCTTCTTGACTAGCCTGTTTTCTCTTAAGCTGTCCATTGACTGCAATTGACTGCTTAGAGTTCTTCGAACCCTTCGGCTCACCCGCCGAGATTGACGGGACGCTCTGCCATGTGGGAGTGGGGACTCCAATAGGAGTGAAACGAGGTTTCAGACCTTGGGGCTGCTCTCGTATAGCCTTGGGTATCGCCGCGTAGTCGTCGGTAGCGGTAGCGCTAACGGCACCACCCGGGCCGAACTTAGCAATGCGACGCAAATGTACCGTCGAATCAATGCCGCGGTTCACTAACATCTATTAGAAATCCTCTATGTATGAAGGGTTATAATGCACAACTTACAGGCAGCGTACTTATCACCACCCTGTGACGGGATGAGAAGTTGAATTTGCGTGCTAGTAGCATGCGATTCTAAGTCCAACCCATACTCATCTCCTTGGTGACTTAGCAGCGCCTCTCCAGTTGTTGCCTTGGATAGGTCGATCTCCATATCCTTTAATACCGTGATTGGTAGTGAAGCTGGCGCTGTAAAATACCACACTTGCTTGCCTTCTAGATTGGTATTATTGAAGAAATCAGCGACTTCCTTGGCGGGGTTGTCGGAGGAAGCCTTGCGGAGAACGAAATTAGAATTATCAATCCATGCGGGCCTTGACCTAAACATTGCAATGTCAGTCTAGAATACTTCATGGGTGTCAAGGGGGAAGAAAACTTACATTTGGGAAGTCGAACTTTGGGCAGTAGAATTTCCATTGACAGCTACCGCGTTGCCATCAACATCCATGGCGTCATGGGTAGATTCCTCATCAGCGTCAGAGGAATTACTCTCGCTATCATCATCGCTAGATGACTCGGTCTCGACAGGTTGCTGTGCATTCGTCGCCTCGTCTTCGCTTTCATCCTCACTAGAAGTATCACTCTCCGATCCACCGTCGTCCTTGTTTGCTGTTCTTTCGTTGGCAGCGGTTTTTTGTGCGGGGCGATCACCAGAGTCAGAGCTCTGAGAGTCGGAGTCGGATTCAGAGTCGGCTTCGGATTCGGATCCGTCAGCGCCGAGCACAACGGATTTGGCGGCTTTGGCTGTAGAGGACTCATTCGCACTTGGTGTAGACTTTGTCGGTTGTGATTTCTCAGGAATGGGCTTTTGTTGGACACTTTTGCGCTTGCTTTCCTGCTTCTCAGCATACTTCTTTCGAGCAGCCTCGATGTCAACCTCGCTGTCACTGTCACTCTCATCGCTTCCATCAGAGCTGGTATCGTCACTCGCATCACTATCGCTAGCCTGGGCGAACTTCTTCGCACTTTGTGGTTTATTAGAATTGGGCGTAGAGTTTGTCGCAGCTTTCTGGTCGCGGACGTGCGACACCAGAGAGGCTAAAGACGCGATGGGAACGCGAGCACGATGCTTCGCCATCGTGAATATCTGCACCGGGTGGTGAACAGACGGTGTGAAATTAAATACGGTAGGTGAGCGCAAAATGTGACGGAGAAATGAGGTTAGAAGGTTGAGTAGGAAGGAATGGAGGAGTGTATCGGATCAAAAGAAATCCATCCAAATGGTAAGAGCGCTCGGATGAGAATTGAGAGCTCAATGTTTGGATGAGGTAAAAGTGGGAAGGTCGTGGTTGAAAAAAGATTAAGAGGTGTAGAGTGAACGAATTGACTTTCACACCATGACCGTCCAAAAGTTTTTTTTGGAGCTTTCAAAATGATAACGCGCGGGTTCACTGATTAACGCGCGCTATCAGCCGCGGGGCTGGGGACTCGATGTGGGGCAGATGCAAGTCGAAAGTTCATCGGAATATCTTAGATCCGCTTACATAATGATTGCTTGCCCCTCCATCAGCGACCAATAAAGAAGGAGTACTCAACAGACCCCAGTCTAACCCAAGCTGTACTAGCTCATAGAAATTCGTCACTCAACTCAACAGAGCTTCATACTTCATACCTCATTACTTCATACTTCAATTCGACTTCTGTAAAATGTCTACAAATAAAAGGCGGAAGCTCAATACAGCAGAGCCTCAAGAGGGTGCGTTTAAAGTGTACAAAGCCATCATTCCACCGATAATAATGCTTATAGAACACTAGCTGTGAGCGCCTTCGCTCTTCGTAAAAAGCTTCTCAGTCAGCAGACTACGCTCACTCCAGACGAGACAGTGAGGGACGAAGAAGTAGAATCAATTCCATCACCAAAAGTCGCACGGAATAAAAAACTCAAAAGTTCAAAGAAATTGGGAGAGAACTCAAGTGTTCAGACAGCAACAGGTCACGAGAAAGCTTCTAGTACTGATCTGAAGGATCCACTGCCGGACAATCTGTCGATAAAAAACACTACTGTGGCTGATTTTCCAGGCGCTCTGGAAAGAAGCCCCTCGCCTTCTACCACTGATGATGGAGATGAGGTCTCAAACAAGCTAGCCAAGGTCCTGCCTGTCCAGCTCTCCAGCTTCAAGCCATCTAAAAACAACTACCAAATACGAAAGGATGGTAAGATAGTGATGAAGCTATCAGACGGAGAGGTGTGTTTATATTTCCCCCCATTATTGGGTCTCTGGCTGATTAAAGTAGCGTCTAGTAATTCTCGGTAGCTATGGCATACGTGTGACATCTGGCGAGATGACCATTAACGGTGCCACCCTAAGGAGCGCGGACAAGGTATATTGGGTAGATGCACCATATTGTCATGCACTGCCTGTTGTTAGGTGCTCAGAAAGTGCGACCACAGAGTTGCTTCCTCATCCGAATGCTACAGCCCTCAGGAGTCTCGGGAAGCTCTCTCCTTACTTCAGAAAACTTTGGAATGAGTCTGACCCATCGTCTCTGGCTAAGAAAACCACTATATCCGAATCCTCGTTTCAAATAGTAAATTTCCCGTGAAAAATCATATCGTGCCTTTCTGACAGTGTCAATAGCTATACACATCGGCAGACGGTCCAAAGAAGACGTTACTACAAGATCTTGTTTCCCCGCCAGAGTGGAACAGGGAGATCGCCAAATTAGTTAACACATCTAACTCGAGACCATGCTCGATCATGATCACAGGACCCAAGTCTTCCGGAAAATCTACTTTCGGGAAAATTTTAGCGAACCGACTTATTACTGATACATTAAGACGTTCTAAACACCAAGCTCATCGTGGGGTGGCTGTGCTTGACCTTGACCCAGGACAGCCTGAGTATTGTGTTGCTGGCCAAGTCGCTCTAGTGCTCCTAGCCGAGCCTGTCCTTGGCCCCTCATTCTGTCGTCCGTTACCTGGCTCGGAAACCCGAATAATTCGGTCCCATGCTTTAGCCTCCATAACTCCCGCGTCAGATCCTGAGCTATATCTGGAAGCAGCTATAGACCTTGTAACGCATTATCGGAATGTCCTAGGGCGATATCCCCTTGTTATCAACACCCCGGGATGGATACAGGGCACAGGACTAGACTTATTAACTTCTCTAATCACCAATCTACGGCCCAGCGAAGTAATATATATGTCCGAATATGGCCCTGGCGAAGTGGTAGAAGCACTACAGGAATCCTGCAAGGTCTCTGGCTTTTCAACATTACCATCCCATGCCTCCCAGCTTACTTCAAGGACAGCGGCGCATTTCCGTTCCATGCAAACCATGGCATACTTCCATACTGAACCTGGAAATGCGGGTATTGCTGACCATATTCTATGGAATCCAAAGCCGCTAACAACCCTTGCGCCTTGGCAAGTCAACTATAAAAGTTTAAACCGTGGTATATTCGGGATAATATGCTATGATTATCAAGCACCTTTGGATTTACTGGCTGACGCAATTAATGGCACTATTCTAGCAGTTGTCGGTGTCGAGAATGTAAAGGCATTCAGACATACTGCAGAACACGCGAGTTTATCTGACGACACAACTGCTGATATGATGGAAATTGATGGCAACGGTGCGCAGCAGAAGCCGATGTCGTCATTCTCAGACCTATTGAAGAAAATCATCATGACAACGCCAGAGGGCATTCCCTTTATCGACACTGCGGATGGAACTACCCTCGATCCGAGATTTTCGCATTCCCTTGGCCTAGCGCTTGTTCGTGGTATCGACGTTGAAAATGGCATACTTCAACTCCTAACACCAGTATCATCGGAGAGTATAGAAGAGGTTACGTCCAAGGGAGGTGAAATCGTTCTGGTGAGCGGTAAATTCGATACGCCGAGTTGGGCTTATACCGAAGAATTATATTATAAAGCTCATAGAAAGGTGGACGATGCTACCGGTATGGATGGGCCAATGCATACTGCTGAGGATGACGCGGATGACACCTCCGATGCCGAAAACGGTGATTTCGGAGTTACTGATACAACCCCCGTTCCATGGATAGAGATGCTGCATGGAAGCCAAAAACGTGGCGCTGGATCGAAAGTGTGGAGGGTAAGGCGAGACCTGGGTCGCGGCAACGCTACCCACTAAATACCATGTAAGACAGCAAGATCTATCGTTCGATTCGCTCGATTCTCTAGGTTTCCACCGCTTCTGCAGCTACTAGGGTCAATGCAGGAACGGGATGACGGCTGCAGGGACTTAACATTAACTGGGATATAAGGTCGATTCATTTGGTCCCAATGCTACGGTACTTCAGCGTGGTACATACACTATGCTGCACGACGCTCATTTGTTACCGATCAAATGCCCCGGCTTTACACACCTTGCATGGCATGCACGGGGGTGGGCGTAGCAAATGTACTTGCAAAGTCGAATTCCCCAATCCTCTTTTGCATGAACCAATTGTAACTTTTGAAATTCGGATACGGTATATATATAGGTACGATTCAATTTCTACGAAACAAATCTACATCGCGTTTAATCCACTACTCCCGGCGGCAACACAGCAATATAATCCAACGGGGCCGTCTCGCGACCATTCGCCTTAGCATCAACGCGCACCACATCACCCTCCTTAATCTCAATCCCCTTAAACGTAATCCGCGTCGCCGAATGTCCGTCAATACCTCTTGTTAGCGTGAACCCTAGCCTGTCCTCATTATCCCCAATCCACTTCCCAATACTCCTCTCGTTCAAGAACAATTCGTACGACGCTTTTCCCTCGTATAGATCATAGTACGCTACGGCGAGATCATACACTCCCGCCGTGTAATTGAGCGTCGCGCTCGCGCTCGTGGCGCTTGAGTTCCCGACGCTCTGCACGATGCGCAGGCTCGAGGCGACTTCGAACGGGTTGACGGCTGTCACGCGGTAATTCGTCAAAGTCATATTCTCCGCTTCGATCCGGTACGGGTGATTGTTCACCCGGTCGTGGTCGTCGCCGATTTGCGACAGCGAGTTATAGAATTCGTTGATGCTGTCCCGCCATACGATCGCGTGCCCGGCTTGGTAAGTTAGTCGGAAGAGCATCTCGTCGAAGCGCTGCTGGTCAATAAGCCCGCGTAGCTTAGACCATTGCTCCGGGAAGCTGGCTGCTGTTTCGGCGCCGGCGTAGTCTGGGGGTTGTTAGTTGAAAAGTAGGGTAACGGTAGGAGACTACGTACGCGCATCATAAAAATGCTGAATAACCGTCTTCCCGCTCTTGAGAACATGAGTATACGGCACATGATGGAACCACAGGAGCAAGTTATCAGGCGTCGTCTCAATCTCCTCGAACATGGCGGCGACTTCGTCAGGGTATTGGCCCGAATATCCGGTGCCGTTGCTGACAGTGCGATCCATCCCAATGCTAAATGCATCAGCTCGGGTCCATTGCCCCCATGGGTTGTTGTCCATCGACTGCGGGTTTGGTCCATAGTGAGGGCCAGTGATATCCGTCAATGTCTGGATCCCCAGATTGCCGGTATAGTTTTCATAAGCAGGCCACGACTCCATCGACATACGCGTGATAGTTTCACGCACAGTATCGTCCAACCCAAAAGTCAACCGTGTCCAGTCTTCGAGGATCGCCACCTCATTAACCGTCGGATCCCACGCGATTCGTCCATACGCGTACAAATTCGACATGGCAAGGTGCGTGCCGAGCCATGTAGCATTATGACCCACGTTTACGACTCCCGCGTAGCCTGTGAGCCCCGTCTTGTTAAAGCGCTTGCCAGACAGGATATCAGTCCCAATAACGGACTTTTCACCATCGACGCGCAAATCAAAATCCAAGACTGTCTTCCACAGCGGCGGTAGATAAACTAGATGGCACTGTTGACCGAGGTACTCTTGCGTGATCTGCAATTCGATTGCCGTCGCCGTCTGCTTCAGGTGCGCAAACAATGGCGACGCTGGCTCCCGTACCTGGAAATCGATCGGCCCGTACTTGATTTGGACAATCACATTATCATCGAACTTACCGTCGAGACCGCGGAAGAAGTCCACTGCCGCGTTCGCACGGTCGTCCTTCCAGTTCGACTCGTTCAGGTTCTGGTAATCGTACACGAAGGCGCGGAACATGACGACGCCACCGTGCGGCTTTGTGGCACGCGCAAACAGGTTTGCGCCGTCTGAAAGCGTGCGGTTGTACGTTTCCGGCCCCGGCTGCCCCTCGGAGTTTGCCTTGATGAGGAAACCAGCCATGTCCGGGACCTGCACGTATAGCTTATCCGTAATGTTGTTCCACCACGCGATCACAGTGTCGTCGAGCGGGTCGAAGGTGCTCAATCCGCCGAAGGTCTGCGGCGACGCGAAGTTCAGCGAGATCCCGACCTTGACACCCCACGGTCGCATGGCGTCGGCGATGCGAGCTAATCCGGCCATGTTCTCGTCGCTCAGGAGGGTAACGTCCGCGTTGACGTTGTTGACGATTATTCCGTTCACGCGGATCGAGGCTAGCAGGCGCGCGTACTGCGCCACGCGCGTCATGTTCGAGAGGACGGTGTCGTTCGCGAAGAAGATGGATAGGCCGGCGTAGCCGCGCTCGATGGTCCCGTCCATGTTGTCCCACTGATTTATCCATCGGATCGCAGCGCTCGGATTCGTGGCGTAGGCGACCTCGGTGAAATTCGCCTGGGCTAGCATGGACAGGTACTCGAATGCGCCGTATAGTGCGCCGCGTTCGTTCTGGCCTACGATTTCGACTTTGTCGTTCTTGACGCTGAGCCAGAAGCCATCTTCCTCGAGCTCCGGGGTCTCAACTGAGATACCCGACTCGTTGAAGGCCGCGATTGTTCCTACGACCACGGAGCCGCCTTCGCTGATTTCGTGTGATACGTCAATTTTCTTGCCGAGAATTCCATTGATGCCACTTCGTAACTCTTGCCCCGCGCTGTATACGGGACTCGATTCGGTTGTGTTGAGAGCAACTATGGCAGGAGGAACCGTAGCTTGTCTGGCAATTTCATCGGGTAGTCGAGCGTATCGCAACCACGCATTCAATCCATCCTCTGCGGCCGCGAGGCCGAGAGTAGCTAGAAACCAGAATCCACGCATTCTGTCGTTCCCAGCTCAATTGACCACGTTATGTGTACGCGTAGAGATCTGAACCCGGTCACCTAAAGACACTCGGGATCTTCCCGCTTATACGTGATTTTCAACACCAGCTTGATGGAGTGCTGGGCCCCCGTCCGGGGAAGTTCGCCGGCCCACATTCTCCAAGAACCAGGTCAATTAACAGGACGTCGGTGTTTAGGCTAAATGCGGCCGGTATGAATAGCCGGTTGGTGGGCCTTTCCCTGCTGACGACGACGGCATGGTTTGCGGGAGGGTTTTTTTGGTGGTTTGTCGGTCTATCTGCACGCGAGCTGTGGAGTCTCGACCCCAGTTTCTTTCTCCGCAGTCGTGGAAATGACGGCCCTGATGGGATAAATGTTGGGGTAAGATCGCCGAGTTTCAGGGGTCGACGCGTAGATCTGACTATACCTAAAATGTTGTTTCAACTGCGGAGATGGATGGGGATGTTTGGTTGAAACATACCGACTACTATCGTACGGTTCAAGAAGGTTTGGGCTTTCCCTCTGGCTTTATGTCTAAGGAGAGTCAAGAAGTTTTGTTTCTTCGTAGCTCGAAACGACACGAGTCGCTGGGCTTTCTTGCCTACGTTTCGTCAGACATGACTCCGCATTTAGCTAATCTTCAAGCCTAGGCAACATTTCTTGTGGAGCTTATGGACTTCTCCACGGCCGATGTCAGGCATGAGCATGGTACTTGATTGGCGGGACGGCAGAACGATAATGTAACGCGATAATCTACTCCGCAGAGCCTTGGATGGAGAATGCTAACTTCACGAAACATACGGAGCCTCTGCTTCAATCCATGTTGTCGTATTCCTAACATTCTAAGAGTCTAATTTTTATAGCCCCACGTTGTCCCGGTATTGGTCTTGGTATCCAATGTCATCGCCATTCGAGGAAGCACTCGGGACCTTTAACGAGGAGGTCTAATCGATTGGTTTTTTTTAAATATAAGTAAGCAGCCCGACCAGCGAAGCATCTCTTTGGACTTCACCCTTCTATTATCACCCAGGTATCGCCCATCCTCGGATGGATGATATTACATCGAACAATCTGCGACTGTGCAAGACATTGTCCAGGGGTATCGTGGGAAAATAAAGATATACACCACCGATCCATGAACAACTCAACGGGACTGCGCACCCCAAGAAGAGAATCATAACCGTAAACTCTTCGGTCGCGAAATATCTCAACAACGCCCTGCCTCGTTTTTTGTAGCACCCAACAACCAATTGGCATCTTTATGTCATGACAGTCCATTCCAGTCGTCAAATCCTCATGATATCACATAGTTCAAACAAAATAAGACCAATTGGTCCAAGAATGAAATTGAGCGAGAAACTGGAAATGGTAAGAGACTTGAAACAGAAACAAGAAAAATTGGGAAGAATGATTTCATAAGAAGGGTCCGTCTTGAACCGGTCCGTGGACGAAACTTAGGTAATCCGATATAGCCTCGCGCTATCGCCACTCTCACCTATGTCTGATTAGCATTTGCGAGGGCCTAGAGTATCTCAGATCGAGAGGAAGTTTGCAAGGCAGGATACAACCTACTCTTTCTCTATTTCAGGCGCAGTTCTCTCGACGTCGACGAGCCTGGTCCTTGTCTGGGCGACGCCGCATCGGAGTCGCCGAAGTGAGTTCCGACGCACCGAACGTCAACACTAGTCCTGGCGTAGGTAGCAGCGCCTGATGCCGACGCTTCTCCTTTCGGGCTGCTAGTTGTTTGCCGCTCAACAAGGGTATTGTCGATTGAGCCAACAACCCCTGAATTGGCCCTTTCCCGTGAAACCCCAAGGTGTTCTGGCGGAGCTGAGAACAAGTGGGCGTTCGCAGGAGCTGTGGTATCTTGGCAGTACTGATGGACTCGTGTGCTAGTATATGACGGGTCGGGTGCTCGTTGAGAGTCAGACCTAGACTGGCGTTAGCAACACACCTGGTAAAAAGATCTCACGAGGGAAGGTCGGCCGGAACTGAAGTAAATCTATGGATATTGGACTTACCCAACGGAGCCCTGGACCGCTTGGTCCGAATGAGTTAGCGCCATGTCTGGATGGCTATACTACTAATTTAGATGGAATAGGAGCTGAGTTAAAGGGGACCAAGTGGAGAGAGAGAGAACTTAAGGTGAAATGAGAGAAGGGGCGAAAAGAAAGGGATTAGGATGCAAATGACCCGGTATGGTTTATAACCCAGATTATAAGGGGGCGTGGTCAACGTTATGAGCAGGAATTCATTTCAGAGTGCGGAAATGTGAGAAAGCCTGACAAGAAAAGAAGAATCAACATGGCAAGATGGGCTGGAAACATCTGGGCTTTTAAACGGGATATCATAACGAAGTAGGCGCCCTGAAAGTATCGTTAGAAAAATCCTCGATATCCAGCAGGTATGGAAAATAGGCGAAATGCTTATGTTAAAGGCATAAGTACCTACCTACCTTAATAAGCAAACAAGAACATTTGGGCCAAATGCACGCCATCAGGATCCTGTCGTCCAGTGGGTGGATCCAATAGGTTTCAGGCAACCCCATGTTCAGGCTCGCGATTAGTACCTGATAGTACCTAGATGACATGTCCTTGCCCACATTGACTTTCAGTGTTCTCGGCAGGACAATTCACATTGTCCAACCAGTTATTTACCTTTAGGAAGAGGAAGAAAAAGGAAAGGGAAAAAAAAGCGGTCCGCAAGAAAGAGGATCCCTGCTGTCGTGATATCGCCTTTTCAAACTTGCGACCAATCTCCGTTAATTCCACCACACCCAAAGTTTCCCTTTCAAACTGGACCTGCAGCTGCAGCTGCACCTGCACATCACTACACCACGGAAAAGATTAGAAGGGGATAAGATGTTGTATTGTTGAAGAAGATTTAGAGCTTGGATCTCAGTGCGGAGATCTTAACTACAAGCACAGTGCTTGTCGCACCTTCCTATCAAGTACACTCCGTCTATCACCACCGCTACTCGGCAGCTTGGCATCCGGCTATTCGCCGATGTGACTTGCGCGGTTCTAGGGCGCGGGCGCGGTCACCACTAGGCGCTGAAGCACCTAGGTGAGCAATTGGGCATTGCCGAAGTACATAGATACCTGACCACTCGCTTCCAAGTTTCTAATATTCGCATACCTACATTTGACATCTTGTTATAGCTGCTATATAAAACTTAAATATGATACATTAGGTACTTAGTATAGAGGTAGGTAAGGACAGTCATTATGATTCGACGGTAGAACCAGCCGGGGTTATTGTTTGTGTTCTAGTAGTAAATAAAAGTTAACGGGTCGTTAGCACCTGGCGGCCATATGCTGGAATTAAGGCTATCGTTACCATTTGAGGGAACGGGGTTTAAAGATCATAGCTGAATCTGAATGCAGGTTATTTCATTGTAGGTACTTAAAAGGTTCTTCTCCGAAGCTACATATTTCACCGACCCATCAACTTATCCTTCCCCGGCCGGTGAGATCGCAAAGTGGGGTAAGTAAAGCAACTAAAAACTCGGAACGGGACGTTTATAAGCTACCCCGGTAACTAAACCTTAAGCTTAAACTTCCGCGTCATCCATTACCAGGGTTGGATACTTAGGTACATGTAGATTTACGTAAGTACCTTACTAGGTATGTATCAAACCCCACTACTCCACTTAAGCAGATGTGGTTCAATCTTTCGGGTATGTGCAATTTTTTTTCTTTAACTCTACGTGCAAGAAATATTATATAAACTATTCTCACTTAATACACATCCATGAGACCTAATTTGACCGACATTGCTTGAAAAGAGGATACTAAACGACGCGAGACTATATCTTCGTGTTAACTGGAAGCCGCGAGTTTGCTGGGAACCCGAAAAGAAAAGAAAAAACCTGGGAGTGTTACATTGAGGCTCTGCTGACATCCACATCATACAAGCAGAAGTTATATGTATTATGCGGTCGCTCGACAGAAATTCGTGGTCGTATCTTAAACATACCTACCTACTTATATAATAGATTATACGGAGAAGGTGCTTGGTAAGCGAATTGTGATAGCTTTTAACTACCTAGTACTCCAGGTTTAAATATATCACATATTTCACTAAGTCGGTATAGATTTCGGTGATACTACTAGGTCCCGAATTACTTGACAACCTTAATGTGTATGCCTTGCAGATATTTATGGCGCTTTCATATGCCACGGCCCCGGCCGACGGACAGGTCAAAGATCGGCAACAAAATTACCTTTGCCGGGTCTGGTCAAGTAAAGTACTATAGAATCGCTTCAAAATATGCATCATACGCCATAAGCTGACATGTGTATATATCTACATGATTTCACATTATGAGAGCTTGGAACTGGCCAGCTATTTACATCTGTAAGGACCAATTACCTGCTGATGAAAGTAACTTTTGAAGCTACGTAAATACGTATCGTGCAAGGCGATTTAATAGCCGGGATATGCAGCTAGAATCCGGAAGCAACGGCAGGAGAGAAGGGGCGGGCAAAGTACAACTGCCCAGTCTTCTGCAGTTTGCATCGCAGAAGCCGAAATATGACCCTGCATGAGGTATTATTGTACTTGGGGTACCTAGATCGTGATGTGTAAATCGAGCTAGCTAACCCGATTGGTTCGAAGTGAGTATTAATATTAGGGGGCAGATCAACTCCATAGAACTTGCTCAAGCCCTTGTAAATATTGGGTGTATCAAATTCTAGAAGCCAACCCTGGTGCTTGACATTAATCAGTGTAGACTCAATTCTTTCTAGCGTCGCGAGTACTTACCAATGTAACTTAAGCGTTCCAACTTTACCTTAGCCGAGGTACCTACATAAGGTCTCTATGTAGTCGGGCATCACGACAAAGTGACCAGCCCCACCTCTCCCGCAACTTTGAGGCCTAGGAAACCCCAGAGCCCTTCCTATCTAACCTTTCAACGATGGCATTTTACAAATTTAATCTAAGAAAGTCACCTTGCGATTATCAGACTACATCAACATCAGTACACAGTATAGAACATGAATCTATCGTCGACCCCCTCCTCCGACCTACATATGTCTCGTTACCAAGAATGCTTACCTACGTATAATGTCGCTCAGCAAATTCTATTTCTATTATATAAGTTGACCTCCGTTTACATTGACCAAAAGAATAGCTGCTTCCTTACTTCCTCTTCGGAAATGTGTGAGGTTTCTTTGGAGCAAATTTCGACAAGACGACGCTTAATGCTGGTCGTAGTGAGGCATGATGGTCCTGTGCCATCAGCCGAATTTTAGTTGCAACATTCTCACATTAAAAAGAATGCATAGTCAGGCTTCTATCTCTTTAACTCGCAGCTATCCCCAGCCACGGGATAGGAGGGAAAGTAGAATCTCAAAAGACTTGCCGGTTTATACCAAAATATCAGGTATAAACAAGACATGATTTTACATCCATTTTGGCTCGCGCCAGTTATGCCAGCAGTGCTTCGATCTACAAATGGTACTCTCGGTCGATTAGAGCCCATTTCTTGTGGGCGCCTAGGCGTATTCTTCCTTCCAATCCCTAGCTAGGGACAACTGCCAGTTAGAAGTGATAGACGATATGCTCGGTGTAATCGATGGCCCTTAGATTATGGAAAGCCAAGACAGCGTTTTTCAGCACAAAGCCTATTCGAAAGTCTTTGCAGCCATCGTAGCAATTACTAGGCCGGTTCCACCACCTTCGTTTCATCGGACAACCCGATTTTGAATCATTGGATCAACTATTAAGCATGTCAGATATAACCCTAAGTTCCTGTATATTGGACAGCTTTCCAGGGCTTTGTAGGGAGGTTCCTGCAGTATAACTACTTCCAAACGTAACATACATATCACGCAATCGACTTACGTATTGGATGTGTGCCTGGCTTCATCTAGGCACATGATGTCGTCTCGAATTGTTTGTCACAGACAATCTCTTAGATTAGGTACGTCGGGATGCAAGTCCCGATAGCCCAACTAATACTACCTTGATAACCAGCCTTGTTTAAGTAGTGTCTGTACAACCTCGTTGAAGGCGAAAGAGCAAGTGGATTGTCTAGCTTTCAGCGATATAGTACGTGCGTAGGTAGCTTCAACGGTATTGCAAGAATTCAACTAGGCCGGATAGATTTCCCCACGATTATTAGTTGCAACTGCATAGCGCCGGTTTCCGGCCTCGTCCACCATGAAATATCACTGGAACTCATATTAATGGATCCCAGTATGGTAAAATTTTCCTAACCTCTCATACCTGAGATGTGGTAAGTTAAAGCGATTACACCGCCGGTCACATCGGCTTCTAGTTAGTAATTCTCGCCACACAAGACAAACTGCATTTCTAAGCCCGTGGCAAGTGATCAAATGGGTTCGACATGTCAAAACTTCTTTATACGCGACGTACCAAGCCTTGGGCTGCGCAAGCACTGCCAACGGAAGTTATCTGTATAAAAAGTACCTAAAGACGGGGTCTAGTGTCACAAGGTAGATCACTTAGGTTTGGCTTGGGATATTATATTCATTTGATAATAAACGGTTTTGGTCCCGAGGTCCCTGAAGAAGAAAGAAGAAGAGATCATCCTTTGAAGGATAGATGTGTCAGGTAGATATAGCCCAAAGTGGACCCTGAAGGGTCCACGTGACCTCGGTCCAACAATAATCCGTGTAACATCTAGGCAAGTAAATTTGTTTCGCCTATTCGTTAAGAGCAAATTTCTTTGGAAGCTAACCTAGGATTGTTTTTCCACGACAAAACGAGCATTGCTCAAGTTGGCAATATAGAGCCTTGCGTGGCGAAAGTTCGTTCTCTAGGAGCACTAAGCTCCCGCGTTTATTTCAAAGCAAGTCTGGCTTGCCCCCATCTCTAGATTATCTTGCCCCAACGTTGCCGGATAGTGACCAAGTATCCAATATTCTAAGTCAGCATAGTAAGGTAGGGTTTAGACCCTGTATTACCATCTGTCGGATGTATCGTTTATTTTATCGCTTCTACTGAACGATTAGCTACCAGTAGTGAGTACCTTCTACCGAGATGATGTAACTAATATATGATGAATTTTAATATATCCTACCTAGTTAGTGGGAAGTTGAAGGATGAAATATGACGACCTCTTGTCTGTTGTTTCTTTTTTCTGCGCAGGATTAAGATTTTCAAACAAATAAACGATTTATTACTGTAAATACCATCTACCAGGTATATATAAGAAAAGCATCCTGCCGGTTAGATCGAGAGGCTTATAGATCTAGCGCAAAGACGCGGAGCAAACTGAACGTAATTAAAACCATGTGCCTTTCATGTCATTAGCTTATTAGGACCCTTAGCAGAATGAATCGTGTTTGATCTACTAGTAGTAGTTCTACTTCTAATCCTCTGGAGCCAGCTAGAGAGATAATATTATCTTGCCATCATACCTGATTTATGAATAACGGGAATTTGGAAATAGAACAGGTGCGATATTCAATTCGAGAAGGAATATAAAACATCCGACCGTAGTACTGTGGACCCGAGGGAAGGTTCACGCCAAAACCTAAAATATGCTGTGGCTGGGCTGACTGGGGTACTAAAATTGATTGGTGGGATTATGTAAAATCTCTCAAGGAGCTCGTGGAGACGTGATACGATAATCCGTACCTAGGTAGGCCGCCACACACAAAGAGCCGCAACCTTATTCTGTACCCAACTCCAAAGGGGCGACAGCTCTTTTCTTTCATAATCAACCTCCATCATTGGATCATCTCCTTCTGTACTCTCCATGCAGACATCATCAATATTCCCATTCCACTCATTGATATCCATCATACAATATTCTTATTGATCCTTGAAATTAGTCTCGTGCTGCTGCGGGGTCGCACTGCCGAGACTGATAAGAGAACAACGTGTCCACTTCAACCTGATGGCATCAAGCTATATGAAGCCAGCCCGGCATTCCCAAGACATCTCAAACACTGCTTTATCTAGTCATTCACCTTTCCAAAGTCTGGAGATTCCTTCCGGCTGGTTGACGAGGAATGAATCCACACCTTTAGCACCCTGGGTGCTTAATGTGCAATATTAGGACTCGCAGCCTGTAAGGTGGTGATGAATCTGACGACCTTTTCCATAACATAACAAAGGAAGAGACAACGTATCAAAAGCTGACAATGATCCAGCATGATGATATGAAAACAAACATCCAAAGAAAAGTCCAAAAGATCCCAACAGCGCCCTGCATCGCTTTCCAGCCTTTTTGGTATCTCTCGATCAAATATGACGCTCATACCACCTTTCTCAATCATCATAACACAGTAACAGTATCTCGTCCATATCATATCGGCCGACAAAAAAAGCGCAAATAAGCAGATACAAACAGAAAAACAAAAGGAATCGAAGGAAGAATCGCCCAAATAAGGAAAAGGAGAAGAAAATAAAATGAAAAGACTTGAAACCGAAGCTCATGGCATCAATCCGATGTGCCATGAGAGAGGCTCACTATGAGCTGACTGCGATCTCATCCATGTCTTGGCATGGGCAAGCTTGGCGTAACCCTGGGATATTCTGCCCCATTTCACCACCTTCCTTACTAAGTAATTAGCTGTTGAGTCAAGCAAAAAGCAAACAAACTTCGAGTTCCAACATAGTGGACCAAAGTGGTAAGGTAGATTAACGAAATGCGATAGCTTACCTTTTCGGGCTGCATAGAACCCTCCATACTAAAATCCTCCGCGCCCTCACTGTCGCCCCGCTGTCGCCGACGACCCTCCCGATGACGACTGAGCCCTGTCGAAGCGACCTCCAATACCTCTAAGCATTTCCTCGATCGAGCTCCGCTCATCACTTGAGTCATTATGGCCGGAACCTGATCCAGTTGTCGTGGATGCTACTGCGTCGCCGAAGAGATTGTCGATAGAGTGAAGTAGCTCTGTGTGGTCTCTTCGGGATGGTACACCAGGTTGCGAAAATGGTAGCAACGCCATGGTGACGCGGACTGGTGCAGCTGTATCATGAGTCCAGCGAGTGACTCGGTTGCTGGCATACTTAGCGGGTTCTACTAGTGCTTGGTTGGACCCGGTCCTGAATGATGTCAGATCGATGGCGGCGACGAGACGGCAACAACCCCGCGATCGAAAGAGAGCACAATTGCGAATGCAATACCACACTTACCCGACAGAGCCCTGAGCCGCTTCGTCAGATCGAGCTGGCGCCATGTTTGAATAGCCAGGCACACTAGTGTCAGAAGACGAGCGAAGCTAGTACAGGGAATGGTATGAGTCGCGACTTTGAATCTAGGTATACTGATCAAGAGGAGGATACCGCTAGTATATGGGCAACTAAATATAGTATATATATAATTGCAGGTGTGGAAGGGTGTAGCTTGTGCTGAGAATGGGATTTGGGTCTGGTTACTTGAAATGTCTTTTAGCAAGAGCGCGACGGTAAGAAGAGCTGGGAAGAAGGTAATTGAAGTGAGAAAACAAGTATGGAGGATTAGCTTTATAAAAGGTAATATAATAGACTAGGTAGTGTGGGTGCAATAAGAATTCAGCTTGTCTACCTGCAAGAATCCAAGAATTTGTGCGTTGCGAAGTTGCGAGTACTTTTCTGAGGTAGCTCGGTCTGCGAATGCGAGTGCCTGAACCTCCGAAAGGTGCTTGGGAGCGTAGGCGTATGGTCAGCGATCATAGTGGGCTGTTTCCCTACCTGTTATCGATAAGGGCGGGGTGCTCCAGTTCTAGGTTCCATGCCTATGGCGACCAAGGTGGACCTATAAGAACAAGAAATTGTTGCAAGGATATTCTACATAGGCCGTCTGGCTCAAGACAAGACTTTAGGAATACCGATTGTTCATTGCCGACTTACAATCACGGCGCCCAACTCGCTTCAACCGAACTGAAAAGCGACCACCTAACGCGATATCTATAAATTTCTTGCAAGCCGGTCTCACTTGATTATTTTATCGTCCTGTTCATGACAAAAAGCGAGGCACCCCGAGGTTATGTTTTAGAGACATTGCTCTATTGTTACACACCTCTCGTGCTCACAATGGCGCAGGTTAGTGAGTAGGCGACATGCGCGTGGTTCGCACGCTGCGTCAAACACGGGTGCCGTGTATAGGTAGGTAGGTTAAAGAATCTGCAGTGGCATGATGGTGGAAAATACGTACTAAATCAAAACGTGGGGGATTAAGCTGGTGGAACCTACTACTGCGTTATACATACCTAGGTAGGTAGTATATGTAGGTACATAGCCTAGTGTCACACTAGTATTAATCCGTTAGTGCATGCTTAAGCTCACTTCCAATTAAGCTTGTTTAACTGGCTTTCTGATTACGTGATACGCGACTTCTAGATGTTGAAATTGGGCGGTTGACTACTGTTTATGCACGTAACGCCAATGACGCAAATCGAAAGTACTAACCGTCAAAGTCATAAATGTAAAAATCACAAAGCTCATCAACTGCAAATCATAAGTGGGGTTACGGGGTCGAAGCATTTCTATTCCTGCGGCCCAGCCTTACGGAACATGTGTAGATGAATGACTATGTACGTGACTTTCCACCATACAATACCAATTCGGGATTCATTATCACTTAAAAGGGTGTCATGTAGCGAATATAAATATTTGTTACTTTTCACCGGTTCCCAATTCCTGCTCGAAGCCTCATCTAAGTGCACAATATGAACTCATCGGATAAATAATAAAAATAGCCTTGGTACCTAGTAGTATAATAAAACAAAAAGTAATTATACCCGTAATTACATTGTGTGTGGGCGTGGGTATTACATAAGAAAGAAGAGATCCCAAATTTCCGAAATTCCGAAATTCCGAATATGTTTAACGCATATATAAAGTAGTAGGTAGGCTTAGAGAATAGTTCGTTTTTTAACAGGTGGGAGCTGCGAGACCCACGAATAGCAATCAGTGATGAGTGACTAATCTTACACGATCCATGCAAATATCCATAACAGAGCCTCATAAACTCTGAAGGTACTCCGTACGACGTACCTACCTTAGGAAAGGATGACGTTCAACCACCGCTCAGCCACCTAAAAAGCCCAACTCTGCGAGCACATTAGATGAATATACTAACTCCCGGTAGACACCTGATATCTGACGATAGAATCATTATAAGCCGCTCCAAATTTTGCGTAAGCTAATGTTCTATTATTGACAACGGACTTTCGGCGTTTATGATATGTATGCCTTCAAATGTGAACCAACCTCGAAGCAATTAGTCCGACAAAAAGTACATATTCACTAAGCAAGGTTTATGCGCTAAGTGGAGCAAGAGTACGTACTACCCCAGTTTGTAATCAACACCGGGAAGCTGCGGGGTGTTGTACTACGTCCCGAGGTAGTGTCTATTCCGGATGACTAATCGTCCTAAAGGATGACCGTTATTATCTTATTGACGATTTCTTACATAGAGATAAACAACAGTAAGCTATGCCGGGTACCTGATGTTATGTAATATTCCAACTCCAGGTTGGTTATTGATAATTAAATATAGCAATATAATCCATTGCAACAACTCTAGGCCCAATTGCTTGTTGTAAACTGGGTCAGCGTGATACATCATGAATACTCTCAAAGCCGGCCTGCCTAGAGGCATGTTCGGCAGAGAACCAATGCGGATTCCTTGTCCTGGACCGTCTATCCGTAATCGATGCCATACAACATGCGCGAGGTCAATGGCAACCCAATCCCGGCCATCAATGGCCATCCTAGATGATTACCTAGACATCGCCAAGCCGCACTTCAGTCACATACCCGCGTCCCAACTATCCATCACCGCCTTCCACGACAGCCTGCCGGCCTTCAACCACCCAAACACCAGCCCCGCCGACAAGCAAGCCATCATCGACCGCCTGAAGCCCTTCACCATCATCTCATGCATGCGCGAGCGCACGCCCTTCCCGGCCGCCCTACTGCGCGCCCTGCCTAACCTGAAGCTCCTACTCGCGACGGGCACGCAGTTCGAAACGTTCGACCTGGCAACGGCCTCGGACCTCGGGATCCGCGTCGCGGCGGCGCCCGGGAGGGGGCGCACGGATGGCTTCAAGCCGTCGTCGTCGTCGTCGTTCTCGCGCCCGAAGTTGGATATCAAGAGAGGCGGCAGCCACCCGACGACGCAGCACGCGTGGGCCCTAATCCTAGCGCTCGCGCGCAACGTCGCCGCCGACGACGCGGCGATGAAGGGGGACCCGGGGGCGTGGCAGTCGCGGCTCGCGCTCGGGCTGACGGGCGCGACGCTCGGCGTCGTCGGGCTCGGCCGCCTCGGCGCCGCCGTCGCGCGCGTCGCGTGTCTCGCCTGGGGCATGCGGGTCCTGTGCTGGAGCGAGAACCTCACGCAGGACAGGGCCGACCGGAAGGCGGTGGAAGTCGGGTTACCTGCTTACGGCGGCGGCGGCGGCGGCGGGTACGCGGCGGAGGAGCAGCCGGAAAAGCGGCCGACTTTTGAGGTCGTGGGTAAGGAGGAGTTGTTCGCCGAGGCGGACGTGGTGAGTTTGCATTACGTGCTTAGCGAGCGGTCGCGCGGGATCGTGGGGGAGGCGGAGTTGACGCGGATGAAGAGCTCGGCGATGCTGGTTAATACTTCGAGGGGCCCGTTGGTCGACGACGGGGCGCTGTACGATGCGCTGGAGAATGGGAGGATAGGGGGCGCGGCGTTGGATGTTTTCGATGTCGAGCCCTTGCCGGCTGGGAGTCCGTGGCGCTCGACGAAATGGGGTACGCAGGGGAGGAGTAATCTGATTATTACGCCTCATATGGGGTATGTCGAAGATGGCATCATGCATACATGGTACGAGGAGACGGCTGAGAATCTGGAGCGGTGGCTTCGAGGCGATGATCTACTTCACGTTCTCAATTAGATACATAGATTTGTTCGTCACTACACGTATCTAGACTTGCGGTCGTATATATTGGCTGCCTGTAGTGTCAATTGTAGGGCAAGCCATTGTAACATATAAATATGAAGATAGTGACTACTATCCTTAGGCGATGGGTAGTAACAGAAATTAGATTCATCGGATCTATGAGAATTCCGCATTGGCCTAATCACTCTTTCTTTTACTAAGGACTCACAGCGACAATGCAATTCCCGATTTACTCTTGGAATATACCTAGGAATACCAATTTTGTGACGGTCCTGTACTTTTTGGCTTAAATTATTGCTTGTAAGAGGTGGTTTTTCGTACTCCCTATAGTTACATGTGTATACAAATCTCAACGAATGATATTAGAAAATATGATGTAAGATCAATTGCTAGGTAGTAGATCGTCTAGACTTATTTGACGATATCCGAGCTTCTATCCCATTTATAGAAGGGGCTCTGAAGGGAGCCTTGACTCACCTCTACTTTCTCTTTAGGTATCCATATACGAATTCTTGTTCCATTATGAATGTAGTGCATCGGCATCTCGGCTACTATTATCACAAGTAAAATGAGTCTTTCATCGCGATCGTATTGTGTATGAACGGTTGTGGATCACCAAATCACTCGAAATTCTCACCATAATCTCGCAAAATTATGCTAGTAAGATGTTGACAATATCATCAAATAATAGATCTCCCTGTGCAATTATGGAAGAAATTATCTATATGTAGTTGTTATCCATTCCTCCCAATCTCTCTACAACCTTCTCTCAAGCACCTCGAATAGAGAACCTCAAACCATCGTTCTCTTAAACAGTTATACCGACCTACCCAGCTGATATTAGCATCAAAATAACCAGAGGCTTCACCATGTCTGATCATCGCCGTCATCGACATCGGGATGGGGATCGACAGACCTCTACCCAAGGCGCAGCCACTACCCCCAGCTCCTCGAGTTCTCATCGTGGTGTTCCCGCACAAGGACAGACAGTGATCAATCTTCGATGGAAACTTGCGTGCATTCTTAGCGAAGACAGAACAGGACCAGATCGCCGACATGGTCGCCGCATGTCGAGGCGTCGGCGTAGAAGCTGCTTCGCTCCGACACGATAAACTGATATATTCCCTCAGAATGCTGATCGACCGGTGCCATCTCTTCCTGTCTATCCCAACACGAGATAAGCTGCAATACCTACAGCATCTAAGACAGTCTTGCCAAAACATGCTCGACCCTGATGGTAGCTATCGAAGAGCGGCACGCATCCTACCTGGCGTCGAAAATTTCGTGCGCAGTATTCGGACGGGCCAGTACAATGAGAGACGCGATGGCAACTGGTTCACCTGGTGGAGACGGACCCTCGCTGCCATGGCGCGGCAGAATTACCTTACTACGAGTGATCTACTGCGGTACGATCAGAATTTGATACGCCACTTAGTAGAGTACGAGATTGTCGATAACAACAACAGAGCCGACACCGAGTCTAACCAACTTCCGCCTATATCGCCATCTCGTCAAACGACTGGGGGTCCTCTTCCATCTGTTAATGAGATATTAAGACAGAGTATGAGTGGACGCCACAGCAACCCAAGCTGGGGCAGCTCAAGCTCCAGCAACGCGGGGAGTAGCAGCCAAAGATATAGCAGCCGAGGTCATAGCAACGACGGTCACCGCAGGCGCTGATTCTTAATTCTCTGCTTGGATGACCTTACGAAATACTTGGGGGTTTGGATTCGGTATGGCGTTTTGACTTTGGATATTGCTAGGACTGGACGGGCTTATTGATGAGGATTAAGGAGCACTGGATTTCCTACTATTTTTCGGGTAGGGCTTTGGAGTGGTTGGCCACACATTAGCAACAGATATTTTTATGTAGTAACAAGCTCTGGCTATTAATAAATTTTATCGAAAAGATATAACGTACTTGTAATCTCGCGAGCGCCTAAATGATTTTATTTACCTAGCAGCATAAAGGAAGGTTGATGTTGGTGTTTTCAAGGCAAATCTATACCAATTCCTAAACCTCCCATACTTGAACGACTCATCCATAAGCAAGATGAGCACATTATTAGCAAGGTATGGTAATGGCTGGTGAATTAGAGAAGTTCATTGAAAATAATAATAAAAAAGGAGTGATTCAATATGACAGCATATAGTTTCATGGCTAGGTACATAAATAGGCAATCTTTTTTTTATTTGCGACTTGTGTCAAGTGCTCACACCATAAAAGCACGCTATTTGGATAACAGAGCAAGTAAAAAAATCGCAAAAGCGCCCTCAATCTTAGTAATTAATTTGTCTAGACAATATTCATGCCACCTTTGGATTTCTCTTAGAATTAGAGAATATAATTATATTTTTTTCCCTATGTAGATTTATCTAGTAATCAAGGACCCTTAGCCGGTACCTAAACCCTCTTCTGCATTTGAGCAGACTCAAGCCCCTAATTGTCAGCTTCTAACTAATGAAGTATCGAGGTTAAAGTACTTATGGCAGTATTTGTGCTTCTATCTCACGGGGCCTTAATTTATCTAGAAGCATCCGGTCCTCGTCTAGAATTCTTTGTATTTTGTTACAGTCAACTCGTAAAAGGCCATATCTCCTCGAGGAATACCACCAAACGAACCAGTTCTTTCCAGTATTCGCAGAAGACTGGTCTTCAGAGGTAACATGGTCGAAAATATGTACTCCTGGGAGAAAATACGCTAGGTACAAACCGTCATGCTTTCCAATGTTATTGCGCCATTCGATGAGTTGGGTCAGGTATTGGCTCTGTCTAGCTAATGACATGCGCTTGAAGAGCTTGTACCGCTTGAGGATCCACCACATTTGGACTTCAAGAGTATCGCGGGTGAAAACGTAGTCGAAGACCTGACTTAGTTCAATAAATGCTTCCATCTTACCCTCCATGTTTAGTTTCTCGATCCGTCTGATTTCAGTGCACATAAAGTAGGCGCATGTTCTGGCTTGGTCCTCAGTTAGCAAAGCTTCGCTTTTCATTTTAATGATCGAGGTTATTCTTTGGATAAGTTTATGATGTCGATTGTTAATTCGTTCAAGAAACGAATGGCTTCTCGCCTCCAACACACGGGTGGGATCACTCATGATGTATAGGTAGGTAGGTATGTATTTTTTTTCTAGATGGATGGATCTACGGAAGGTCCTGAACGTTACCAATCTTTGCTTGCTCGTAACTTACCTAGTGATGTATCATGAATCTCTAAGCACCAAGTAAAGCAGTATTTCACGCTTAGTACCCACCTGATAACCTACCTAGCCAAAGGGAGCCCAACTCTCTTTTCCTGACTGACTTGAGGTAATTTTTATTAGATTCAACCCTTCCCACCTATTCAGGTGGGTGATTATTTTAAATAATAAAACCAGAAAGCCTTTGATGAAGTTGTACGAAGTCAACAAAGAAAGTGTTCAAATTGATGGGAGACAATATCATACCTCCATGTTTAAATAGATCGATAAGATGCATAACACCTTAATGTTAGTCAATCAAGTTTCTTGCCAAGCAAGTTAAAAAGAAACAGTCCAGAACAATAGGTTCTTTCTTTATTATCCTAACACACCCTCTTTGTCCGGCGTGCAACAACCTTTTTTGAACAAAATACAACCCCCTATTTCTCCACCAAAACTCACCCACGTCAATACGCCTTCAGAGATTCAAATAATGGGGAAAAAAAGAACACCTTTGATTGAATAATAATATTATAATATTATAGGTATTAAGCGGATATATAAATTTTTTTAAATGCCGATTCTATAATGGTGCGTGACAAGATGGAGGAATGCATTGTCTCGCGCACCATCGTTTCTAGGAGTGGAGACAGAATTCAGGGGATGCGAATCACTTCATACTCTTGCATGCGTATAACATGGAAGTATAATTTTATATCAAAGCTAAATCCGAAAGACTGACTGTAAGCCGCTTTTAAAATTTAACTGCATAATGAAAATCTTACGATTTTTCCGCGCTTGTGAAGGTCCTGCGAAATAGGCGAGTTTTGGTGAGAAAATAGGGGGCCTTCACACAAGACTGTCATGTACCTAGTAGATAAATGTCTTGCTTGTGCCACGTAAATCCCTGCAAATCCTTAAGTTCATAATATGCCAATAAACTGAACTAATCGATGTGCTGCTTACTTTCTCGAGGAAGGCGTTTGACGACCCTGTGAAATTTGCCCAAGGTGATATCCATCAGATTGTAGAATAGTTTAACCACGAACTGTCCCGGTCTTCGGCCGGCTTTTCGGCTGTATCGTCGTAAAACCCCTTATATCATTAGTTAAGCAGTTGTGAATTCAACCCTTTTATTAAAGGTACCTCTATTATATTTACATGTAAATGCTACTATACAAGATGCCACTGCCAATTGTTTCCTTATCCGTGTATCATGAGCTCGCCAACTCCAGTGGATGATCCTCATCGTCCTGCCGCCAAATATACATCTTAATATGCACCTAATGCGTCCTTTTCCGAACCCAACATCACATACTCAAAGGTGCGTGATCCACCCTCAGTCCCAGTAGCTAAATGTAATATGGCCCACTCCTACTCCTTATCACCCCCTCCAAATTTCTGCCTCTTAGTCAAGATCTCAACACACAACTTTGACGGCCTCTTGCGACCCCTCTCGCCATCTGAGAACTCGGCCCCCACGCTCGTCGCCGGAGTATTCGAGGAGCAGTTATCCGGCGTGGACCTGACGAACAGCTCTTCCGACGGCGCCGTCGACTCATCCGACTCGTCCAGGCCATTTCCCACATCCGTCATTTCTACATCATCTCCATCTTCCTGCTTAATAACCGTTTCTTTCTCCCTCCTCTCTCCACCACCGCCACCACCACCCCTTTCCACGCCCCTCTCCACACTGCCCCCCTTAACCCCCATCCCCTTAAACCTCGCGAGTCCCCACTGCGGCACATTCGCCTCATCAAACAAAGTCCCGAACCAGGCCTCCCTGACCGCGAGCCCGAGGGCCACGGAAACCTGTCTGGCGACGCTGTTCCCGACGATGCGCCACTGGTTCGCCGGCGACGCGACCAGCACCTCGTCGTCGCGGACCCCCTGCGCGCGGCGGATCTCCAGCACCGTGAGCGGCCGGTGCTGGTACCAGTGGTTCGAGCAGCCGATGCGCGCGTCCGTGGGCCCGCACTTGGTCGCGATCGTGCTGAACAGCTTGTTCGGGTGTATGCGGCCCCACCCCTTGGCCCCCTTCCGCGTGCGCTCCTGGCCGTCCGGCGGGTACATGGCGCGCTCGATGGGCGTCATGACCCGCGGCATGCCGGGCCGCCCGTGCCACGCCTTCGCGAAGTTCATCTCCCACGGCTGCGTCGGGATGGTAAACAGCTGCTTGCGGATAGGCGGCGTCACGCCGGCGGACAAGCGGTGGTCCGGGAAGCCCGGGCAATAGTCCGGCTTCCCGTCTTGAATGTCGGGGAGGTCGCCGATGGCGTCGCGGATGCTGACGTATTTGAACGGAGTTGAGATGAGGATCCGACGGTCGAAGGGGCGGCCGCAGGACATTTCGCCGAGCTTTTTGAGTCTTGTGCCGGGTGGGTGGGAGTGCGACGGGTTGGGCACTTTCGGCATGCGGAGGCCGGGGGCGCTGAAGCATAGGAAAACTCGGCTGCGGGATTGCGGCGCGCCGAAGGACCAGGCATCTAGGAACATGACTTGTACTTGGTAACCGAGGCCGACGAGAGCGCAGCAAACCTGGGAGAAGACGCACACGTCACGTAGTTTTGCCGAGTTCACCATTTGAGGCACATTCTCGAGTATTCCGTAGTAGGGGCGGTATAAGTCGACGTAGGCCGCGAAAGACGCGACGAGAGATTGGTTCTTCCGTTGATCATCTGTGGTTCTGTCAGGGGTGAGAAGAGAAAACCCAGGGCACGGGGACCCTGCGGATATGAAGTGAACATCACCAGGTCGGGGGATCTTATCGCCCTCGCCCAGCAATGCCCGAAGTAAGAGGTCATCGACCGAGCCAAGAAATGGGGTGCAGACACCCGGCTCGCTGTTCGCCATATAAGTGTGAATAGCCTCTCTCCAAATATCATTAGCCCAACGCATTTCGATGGCGCCACCGTCTTCGAGTCCGCGTCCAAAATTTCCGCCACCGCAGAATAAATCAAGCCCTTGCAACTTTTGTCCATGATGTATATTAAGAGGGTCAAAGCCTTGTCGCAGTTGGCGTACCAGGGCCATGTCGAGAGGAATATAGGCCATATTACCCACTTCCGTCTCGATCTCTTGATGTGTCATGAAGAACAAATCACCGGTTCCACCATGATTATAGGGGCTCGGTACTTCCTCCTCGAGATAAAATGCCCTGACCAAACAATGGCGAAAGATCCTACGAATAGAAATCTCAACAAGTTGATTCGTATAAACGACTTCATTCGGAGGCGACTTGGGAGAATTTTTATCGACGTCTCTCCTCCGCGTGAGTTTTCGTAGCTTAACATAATTCTTCTTTCTCTCGGTAAAGAATCCTTCTATGATGAAAACCTCTAGTTGAAGGGATTTGGGGTCGGTCTCGACAAGAACAACATCGCCAACTTTGTAGGATGTCTTCACATGAAATTTGTCCTCCGTACATGTCAAGTGTTCTTTCTTCAGGGTGGTCCATCGACAATCATCGGAAAGGTAAGTCTGACGAACGAAGAACTCGGCAGACGTAGAGGGATTTCCGAACCATTCAACACTATGCGTCGCAATAATTTCGTCAGCTTTAACTTTTGCTGTATTATGATGACAAGTACAGTTGTTCGATAAGAAGATCTCGTTGTTGTAGGGATACTTCATAATGCCGCAAGGAGTATCAATTGGTTGATACAGCCAGATGACGTCGAATGAACACCTCCCCTTTGGAGACTTATGGATCTTCTGCACGAGACCGAACCATAAGTGCTCTCCTTGGTAGTGTTTCGACTTCTGTTGTTTCCATTCCGTGTCTGTTCCTTCGTCATCCGGGTGTGTTGAGATCACATCTCCCACTTCGATCGAAGCAATGAATGCTGTGCGGTTCTGGTTGACTCGTTTGATTGCAGGCGGACTTCTTTGCTCTATGGGCAGATTTCTCTGTGTGAAACCATTCAGTTTCTTTTGGATATCGGCAGACGGCTTTACTCGTTTGAGGACGTTCCCAAACACCATGTGGGAGAACAAATCGTATATATACGGAGTTACGATAGTTGGCGGTACCTGGCCACCTTTTTGACGCTTCCCTTTCCTAAGGCCTGCTACCTCACTATCCTCGTCCAACAATGTTTGACCAAATGATAGATTAGGCTTGTAATGATTGAATGTCTTAGTTTCCCCCCAAAATTCATGCCAAGTAACAATTACTGGATCTAATCCATGGGCTTCTTTCCAGATGAAATTAATGTTCGCAAGAATGGCGCCTCTGAAATCGCTCCCTCGGTTTGCAGAGTACCAACGCCGAAAGGTAGCTGATTCGGTATGTTTTTGTTCCAGCCAAATATTGAACCGCGACTTGAAATCATATAGAACGGCTCGCTGGCGTTGGCTCATCAAGTAGTCGCAATAGTCAAGTACGTGCTTGGCTAGGTCCGCAATCCAAAGAAAAGGCTCATAATATCTTAAGTACTCGGCCGAGGGGTTCTTGAGTTTATAATAGACTTCTTCGTCCCGTCTCTCATTTAAGTCCGACCGTACCCAGATTTGGTCGCCGACGGTGTGTTCTTCGCTACCGTAATTTCCAATAGGAAGCTGCCGAAAATGAACCTTCCTAAGGTAGAACTTCTTCTCGCCGTGGCGGATTACGCCATCAAAGTAAAAATGTTCCGAGGCTGACCGGGTTGCGAGTTGCTGTAAGGGTCGAAACTCATGGGGATAAAGAGGACCATTTGAATATATAGAAAACTCTTCCAGGTCAAATTCAATATGCCCATCTTCTTGAAAGGGTTGTTGTGTCTTTGTGGCATCGAGAAGCTCAGCCAAAGCATGCCGTTCTCGAACTTCAGCAGCAGGTGGAATAAAACCTTCAAAAATTGACTTTGGATGAACAAGGGTTGATCGAGGAATCTCCACTGCTATCGGTCTCTCCCTAGGCGCACCAGTATTATGGATGTCAGGGACTGTGTCTAGACCTTCAAAAGGATTTACATTCGAGTCGTCGAAATTCGTCACCAATTTCGCGTCATTGTGGGCAAGTTGAAATGGAGCGCTCGTGTTGCAGTTTTCCGATTTTCCATTATCATCCTGGCCGTCCTTCTCAACACTAGAGATAAGCTGGTCATATACATATGAAAAATCTGACTCTAGCGGTGGCTCATCGCTACTTGAATCAGACGCGGTAGTTAACTCAGGGGTTGCATTATCAGAGATCGGGAGACGCTGCCAGCCGGAAATATTGGCATGGGCCATATTTGTATTTTTTATATCGCTCTAACATAAACTAGAACCATATGAGAGTTTAGTGAAGCTCTACACGGGAAAAATGTCTTCCATCGTTAGCTAGCTTACCAAACCTTCCGAGTGATAATCGGTTGCTCGAAAAAACCCAATATAACCCATCTAAGATAGCAATACGGTGCGAGGATATTTCAACGATTACATTAGAAAACAGGAATCTAGATGTAAGAATATATCATAAGAGAAGGCGACTTCTATGCGATTATATAGCAGTGAGATAATAAGATGATAATAAGACAACTCGAACCCCAAAATTCATCATTCATAAATCTCGAGTGGATAGGGTTTAGAGAAATGATTGATGGGTCATATTCGAAATTTCCCATAAATTGAAGATAGAATAGTCGATAGAGAAGTTCGACGCTGTTATAATTGAAGATCTCGGTTCTAGAGCATGAGCCGGACGTAAGTCTCTGTTCAACGGCGCAAAAATCGAATGCATAAACGCAGCAGCGCAGTAAGACATCAGAAGCGTATAGTATGAAGGAAACTAATGTGACCAATCCTAGCATGGGACTTTCTAACAGGGAATAATTGCTGGAATGAAGCCATTTTAGCAACCCCGCCGCTTGCGAAAGGGTTGGTAGCGTATGGGCACGACAGCCGGATGGGTCATGAAAGAAAACGGAGAAAATGGAGGAAAAAAGGAAGAAAATAAAAGGAACCCTAGGATTTCGAACGTGGCGCGTAGATCCACCGAGCTACTGAACCAATTGCCCAATAAGAGGGCGTCAATTTCGTGTAAGTGGACCTAGTCGTGACTTCTCCTGCCGCTTTCGTCAACCCGACAACTCAGCAGTAGCAACCGGCGCCGGGGCCAGGGAAGCTCCCGCATCTTACATAAGCGAAATCCGGATCAGAACCGAGACATATGGCCGTCGAGAATTTGCGAATGCAGGTAGCCCGATATGATTATTCGAAAAGTTTTATTCTTTTTATATAAATATAGGAGTATTTCTGTATCGAAAGTATACATTTATTTAAGCTGCTACTGTTCCAATTCCATTGTTTTCACTTTCTTGCTGAGATGCAAGGAACGCTTTGCCCGCAATCCTCTGCTGAAGTCGTTGGGAATGTCCGCGCCGGTCAGACTGTACGTAATTGTCGACATCTTCTGGAGTTGGCCATCTCCAGCTACCCGCAATACTCTCGACGTCTCCTATATGGGATATAATATCCATTTCTTCATCGTGGCTGAGACGTGAGCCGGCAAATGCCTGAAAGGCGCAGAGAGTCCTCACTACCAATGCCTGGCCACGGGTACCTACTCGTTCAGCCTCCTCATCGATATACGTCTTATTCCTAAGCATCCATCTTAGCAATTCTTTCATTGCTTCGGTGTCGTCGAGGAAGGCTAAAGTGCGCATATACGTATGTAAGTGCACGGGCTCTATGTTATGCATAAATCTGGGCACTTCGAGATCCTCACATTCTGAGCTTATCGTATCGACAGGTTTTCTAAGCTGGGCAAATATCGTCTTGAGAGTTTGCGAGATTGTTTCAAGTAGTGAAACTGGGGAAACCTCCTTTTTGCCGACGTCTAATGATGCTTCCCGAGACCCAAGTTGAGAGGCTGCAGCCTTTTGAGCAGCACGACAGAGATATAGGAACATATCCGGGTTTATCACCGTTCTGTCTTGCGCCAGTTGGATTACATCCATAGATATAGATAGAGCTTGGACATCATTATCAGCTTGAGTGCCATTCATGACACAAAGATGCGGCCGGGCTAGTGCCCTGAGGATGATAGACCAAGGCGATCCGAAACTAGATCCCTCAGTAGTCTCCACTCTTAGTCGCAAGCTACACAGATTGATAGCGTGGCGGATGAGATAAAGCTCATTTAAGGGTACTTGTTCTTTGTTTCGGCAATGGGGTTGCAACTTGCAGAGAAGTTGGATATAGCTCCGGAAAACCAAGAGAGGGATCTTCCGAAGGACTTCGTAATGAGCTCTTTTGAAGAGGGCTAATGCACTAATGCTAACCGGATCGAGCCCGCTGTCATGAAGATAGCGAGTTGCCTCCCCGAGAGAGCCAGCATTGGTCAATAGCGTGTGAAGGCACTGACCCTCCGGCTTTACACCGTGGTTGACCATCCGATCGTAGAGCTCACTAACTGAGGGGGGCGACAGCCTAGCCAACTCATATTCGGTATAATTAGCGTCATAGATAGGGAACGCTTCTCGAGCATCACCAGGTAACACAGTTGATTCTCGGTGAATAAGAGGAGCATGCAATTTGATGAACATCTCTGCATAAACTTGGGCGTTTGGAGATTCGCTCGTCTGGGAATTAAACTCGTTAAAAACTTTCCATGCTTCTTGACTATTACGAGTTGCTCGTATCGTGGCGGCCCAACGAGTTAAGAAATTTTGGGCTTCGTCATCACCTTTTTGTTCTTTGGGCGGGAGACCGCGGGTTTGTACAGTGGGGGAACCAGCACCCATACCACCAAGAGCATCTAGAGCTTTATCGTAGTCATCGTCAGGATATCCAGCTTCCCTCATAAGAATTCCGGCCCTCACGCTGCGCGAGTAGTCATCGTCAGCCGTCCTTTTCGCATCAAGGCCGTCAAAATCCTGTCGGTATGGGGGCCAGGATTTCGTATATCTTAAAGCTACCGCTTTCTCCGTCTTTGACTTTTTTAACCCGATCATGACTTCTCGAATAGCGCGGTAGCTGGCTTTGTTAATTATAAGAGGCTTCTCCAGATTGTCCGACATCGCAAGTAAGAATTTTTGCGCTCTCCAATTGTATTCCATATTGGTAACTGGTTGGATGACTGCTGGCTTTTTGAATAGCTGTATTGCTGTATTGAAAATTCTACACTTCTCGTGGAAATTATTGGCGTCCACATTCGATGGCATCCTTTGAATGTACTTGGCCGTAAGTCGGGCTAGTGTGACAATTGACCTCGGCCATAATCGTTGAACATGTTTGACAAGACGGCGAAGGAATAAGAGAAACTGAGTCACTGTCATGACCATTTTAGGATTTCGGAGATCCAGCGTGTGATTTGGTAATTGGATGTTGATATGAAAGTGGCGTCTGGACGCATATACCATGAGAGATAACAAGGTCTCAGCCTTGTGGATTCTGGCGTCGCTGCGCGACAGGATCGAGACTAGGAATATAGGTGTTGGTCTTTTGGTCGAAGCCAATCGTTGAACTTGATCGTCTCCATCTTCCCCAGATAATATCCAAATCCATTGATCTATATCTTCCTTAGACCATCCCTTAGTTTTTAGGATGTGAAAACGATCGGCCCAATCAGAAGGACTGATAGAGTTAATAAACAGACTGACACGAGAATCATTATGAGTATCCTCTCTAGCCATCCACGTCTGAAGCATCACTAGTGGGAGCCGATCAGCGCGCAGCTTGGCGGCGAGTTCGAAGGCTTTCCCATATAGTTTCTCCTGCCTATCGGTTCTGGTTCGGAGACGCAGGGCCACTATGCGACTAGGCGACAGTCGAAGTTTAGGGTAGCGTTGCCGCCTTGAACTAGTCAGTCGCGAGAGCGTTTGATTCCAGTCTGGTTTGGAAACCCATATTGAGCTTTGTTTAGTAGCTGACTTTGCCGAAGCTACTACATGTGAGACAGTCATGCTGCTATGAGGGAGATTGGGGAGAATCGATGTTGTAGCCCATTAGCTCAGGAGCTTCCGCTCTTAAATTGCACCTATGTGTGCATAATAGCGAAAGGTCTGGCATATCTCATCAAGCATATAGAGAGTCGTGTCATTGGCGTGGTAAGACCAACATTATATCAAAAGATGGTGATGGTGATAGAGAAGTTGAAAGTTAAAAGTTGAAGCCAAAATTCATAACGCACGGTGGGCCTGAACGTCAGTATGGATACTAGACACCCAATTATTCATTATTTCCTTATCTTATCACTGGGCATCATGCAGGGTATCCTATCGATATGAAGCTACGTACCCCACCACCACAGCCAATTAGTTACTTGACTTCAAACTCCAAGTTCTGATTTTATCGCAAACTTTCCCTCTCCCACACAGGAACAAGTCAAAATACGTTTGCGATCAGCAAATCGCATTCAGATGGCTCAACTAACATCATCATGCGCCCCTCATTACATAAAGTAGCAGCTCCCGCGCTTAGAGGATTGCATACCATAGTTTCCGTGCCCGCTCCAAGACCGCAGCGATGTTTTCACCAGACCACTTTCGCCTCTCTCCCACGCAAGCGCTACTTCTTCACCTCCAGCAGATTGTTGTCGGATACTGACAAGAATGATGAATTGATCCTTTCAAAGGATGCCGTCGATCAGTCGGACGCTCAGCAGCAGAATAAGACTTCGCCCTCCCCTAAGCGCAAAACCGCTCGAGCTTCCGCCGCCAAGACTTTGCGCCTGGGGCTCACTACGAAACAAACCAGAGGTACTAAAGATGCGAGGGAAGATCATACAAGAGATCATACTGGACCAGAGACAGATTATCGTAGAACTATCAATTCTATATGCGTTGCTCAGTCTTTCGATATGGATGCCGTACAGGATATACTACGCTTCCACGCATTTGAGCTAGATCCCGATGGTACCGAATTCGACCCCTCAGGTGTTGTACATGCGAGGGGCATCAATAATGGAGATATTTTCGTCTTCCCCTCCGGAACCATTGTAGCATGGTCAGTGCCAGCCGACGCCTTTAAGACCCTTGCCACCAAGCAGCTCATTCGAGCGGCCGAGCTTCCTCATCTTAACCGTGTCGAGATGGAAGAGCTTGAGTTCATACCAGACGAGACACGTGACACCAGTTATATGAAGGGAGAGGTCGTCGTCTTAGGCACGCGAGCGCAAGAATTAGAAAATGACAGACTAGACACGACTCTCGCAAAGATTGCCTTCTCCAGCGGGTTGGCCAGAAGTCCAAAACTAGCAGTGTTGGAAAACCAGGCCATTGAGCACTTCGAATACTCTAAGAACAGCTTAAATTTCATCGAGGGTGGTTTAGAGCATAAACTAAGACGGCGCGCCGTGTTGAAGATGACCGGTCAACTCTTGAGCCTGAGGTCGCAGCTGAATCATTATTCGGATATCACGGACCAGCTACCGGATATGTTCTGGGACTCGGAGTCGAACCTAGAGAATTACTACAATCAGATTAGTACCGTTCTAGATATCCGGCAGCGCATTGGTATTCTGAACAAGAAGATCGACTACGGTTTTGAGAACGTAAGCGTTTTGAGAGAGATGGTCAGCGAAAAAGTTGGACATCGGTTGGAGTGGATCATCATATTCCTTATTACCATCGAAGTCGGGTTTGAATTACGAAGGGTGTATCGTGAGGATATAGTTGAGTCAAAATCGGATCAGATAGTGAAAGTCTAGTCAAGAAGCAGCAGCTACAAAAACACTACTCCTTCACGTACCTTATATATGATACCCCTTTTTCATACAATATGATTTCGTTAACTTTTACTACCCACATAATACGGTCCTTAACAGGATAGGACCCTATCATATAGGGAATTACCCACGCGAACCCCAAGAGAACCAAAGACATCAAAAAGGGGAGCCAAGGACTCTAGAAGTAGGTAGAAAGAGAAATCTCATCAGGTTCGGCAACGTACCCTAAGTTGTTCATCGGTAGGTAATATGTTACTAATCAAAACAATACTATATGGCAATAATTTAAGAAAAAGGAACTTGCGATGAGGTAAGTGCCAATCTTAGAGCAGTTGAGGATATATCTACCCTTAATGTCAATGGCGTAATCAATATACTCGGAAGCGAAATTGCGCTTTGAAGGGCTCAGAGAGAATGGAAGACAATAGGAAACATAAATCTTACTGTCGTAGTCTATGGCAGTTTCCAGCTGCCACACAGAATTCGAAGCCTTGGAGGACAGCTCCTAACCTAACGCGCTACATAAACCAGGCAATCCGATATACCTTCATTTAGATTCTAGCTCCTTAGATAGTTCTTAACGATAAGCAAGTCACTAGGCAAATTCTATTCGGGTTCAATATATAGATTATAAATTGCACCACGGGTCTAGTAGTGACGTGCGAAGACGCACAGTTACGATGATTAATACCAAGACGACATTCAACTAAGAGGGGAAGCTTGCATGTCTTGTGCGTTTCGTCAACGTGAGTCTAGAAGCGTCGGGTCATCTTCGAGTAATGATATATCAGTCTGAGGCCATCACAAATACCTCCATGCAAAATACAAGGTTTGCGGCTCTCATCCATGAATGCGCGGGCATTATCTGTGTAGGTAAACCGTGAAAGCGCTGTATTTATAAGATTTTATACATTAATAGCTTAGAGTAATTGTTCTGTCTTGTAAAAAGGCCCTCCCCACTGCTGGGTTGGATCTTGCATTGATGGTCTCATTCTGTTCTCTAATTAATAACAACCCAAACGCGCCTTTATCCTATCCTTAGCCCAATCTATCTATTTACAAAAAACAATCGCTAACCATAACGCAAGCGTTTCCCAATAGACCTCCCGCGGGTCTCGAACACGGCCATGAGCTCGTTCTCTCCCATCCGGAAGAGGCTAGGCCAGGACGCGGGCGCGGCGTGGACCAGCGTCGGCTGGCTCCAGAATATCCTGCCCCTGTTCAGGCCCGTCGCGAAGACGACCTTGATCGCCGCCTTGCCGGGCCACGTCGGGTCCGTCTCCGTCTCCTCGTCCGTCATGAACACGACCGCGAGCCCCGTCTTCCCGTACCGCTCGATCTGCGGCGCGCCGGCGTTGCGGCCGTGGCGCGGCTGGTACACGACGCCGCGCGACCCCCACGTCAGGCCCTGGTCGTACGAGACCGCGTACTCGACGCTGTAGAAGGTCCCGCGCCGCGTCGTCTCGAACACGACGACCTGCGCCTCGCCGAAGAACCGGTCGCCCTCCGCCGTCAGCCCCGACACGTCGCGCACGCTGACGATGCTCTGCATGCCGTCGCGCAGGTTCACGTGCGGGGAGTGGCACCGCAGACACCGCGGCTGCGACCACGTCCTGCCCCCGTCGCGCGAGTCCACGCGGAACGTCTCCTGGTTATTGAACGCGAGCTCGCGCGAGTACGTCAGCTGCACCTCCCTGCCGTCCGGCCCGCCCAGCCGCATGAACGGCTCCCAAAGCCCCAACCCGTTGCTCGAGTTCGCGCTGTGCTCCGCCGCCTGCGAGGAGTACTTCCAGGAGCGGCCGCCGTCCTCGCTGCGGCACACGGTGATGCGGAAGTGCGTGGGCCGGTTGCCCTGCGCCGGGTCGCGGTCGTGGTTGCGGAATGCGGCCAGGACTACGGGGCCGTCTCGCGGGTTGGGGGTGGCGGGAGAGGGCGAGGGCGGCACCTCAATCATGAAGGCGTTGTCGATGTCGGCGGCGCCGCGGGCGATCTCGCCGTGCGGCGCAAACGTGTTTCCGCCGTCGATGCTGCGCGACACCTGCAGCACGTGTTCGCGGCCGCCGGGGCCGTGGAATCCGGTGGTGACGCAGAGCAGGCCGCCGTCGGCTAGCCTGGCCAGGCGCGGGTAGGTGCCGGGGATGGGATGCAGAGAAGTTTCGTTGACATCGACCTGCCAGCGGGCGGGAGACACGATGACATCCTGCTGAGCCATGGGATCGCCGTTCAGCAGGGCCCCCAGGTGACCGATGTGGCCTAGTATTTTCTGGGTGAGCCTCCCGGCCATTTAGATTCTGGCGGGAATCGATGGGGGAGAAGTCGAGGTTGGCTTGGAGGACACATCTAATTAGTACCTACTGGTTTTTTATGTTGGTTTTTCTTGACCAAGTGTCGTCGGCGAATTTATGTTTCGGAGTACTTCAGTACAAGCAACCTGCTCCACATATTAGTAGGCCGTAGTATGGAATGTAGGGAATGTTGGATATCATCCATATGTACTTGCTTAAGGTGTCTGTGTGTCCCCTTTTTTCCGGGCGTTTATGGTTTATGAGGTTGGGTGATCGTCGTTGCAGGAAACCCTCAAGATCGGAAGGATCTTCTTTTTATTGAACATTTATCGCATGAGATGTTGTTCGTAATATTTCATAATAACGACTTTCATAACGTTTCGAGCCAGGGAGTTTAAAATGTTAAAAACGGGTGAATGGCCCTGGCCCCTGATACTGACGGTTTGGCGAATATCTAACGTCACAAGCGCCTCCCTATAAGAGTACAATTAATGATATGCATCTAATTGTCGGAAATCTCCTCTCAAATGCCGTTAACCGAATCGGAATCATTCCCTGTTTCAAATTCTTCGTCATCGCCCTTGTCCTCTTCTTCCTCAACTCAACAATTACAATTAAAAATTCCAATTATTCCGATTATTCCAATTCCTCACTCACATAATCTATGAAAACATGCAATATAAATTTATATGATATATCTATTCACTGTTATACCGTGTTTTGCACGTTATGCACATTATGACAAACGCCTCGATCAGCATCCAGCGACAATCTAAATCTCGAAGAAGTGGACCGAACCACTCGAATTTGTGTATCCGTTCAACAAGAAATTTGCAAAAGTCGCGCTCAGGACGCTCGGGATGATGACATGTGTCAACGTTGAGTTGTCAGGCATCTACATCGGTATTACTGCTAAACACTTGCAGCTGTAGCGGCGCCTCCTCGGCAGTGACACTTTGACGCCCTCAGCAGGTGGACTTCGTCCTTGGCGATCGTGACAAATATGCGCGCATGGAACTTCTAGTGCCACTATCGACTGCAGGAGCCGCGGATTATTATGTCATCCCAGGTTAAAAAAATGGATTTAGAAAAGGGAAGTCGTTCATCTTTGCCTTTTCGAAGCCGCGAGCGCTTCTAAAGGCGCATACCGTATCTTAACGCTATCGTAGCGACCAGAGCGACTCAACATCGGCTGAAACTCAGCCGCTGGGGAACGACCCTGAGATCACACCCCGTCCCTGATCGGCCCGCCCTGGATGGTACTTATCCGTGAAGACAAGCTTTTCAAAGTGACCATAATATATTTCCTGCCTTCGATCATTGCCCAATTAAGGGCTGATGGACAAACGGAACCATGACGCCTGATTAGATAACTCGGAGGCTTCCGGCGCTGTCGGATACTGGGGGATGCTCTTGCCAGGCGTGCGAAGCGATGCCTCCAAGAAACCGCAACTAAGAGCAGCAAAAGGCAGACGCCTACTCCCACAGGCAGTTCAAAGTTGTAAGTTTAGTAAGTACGAGATTGTTATTAAGGTTATCGATCTTAACGCCACGAGGCACTCACCAACTTAAGGAAAGTAGTAGTGCAATGAAGGCGTATAATTCTATCTATTTTAGTTTTTTTTCATTATGGAACTCTCTCTACTTAAGAGGCGACTCATTTCCCAAATGCCAAGTATTGCTTTCTGTGCAATATACGTCGGTTGAGTTTCTGTCTCACGAGAGTTCATGAAGAATTGCATTATTTGTGTATCCTGTATCCTTTGGATATCATATAAAGCACGAATCTCTAATCCCGTACCTTTCTACCAGTCTTACAACGCACGCTAAATACACTCGCCAAGTTCCAAACACAGATCTCAGCGTACTATCTCCTACCATGTCTCTTAGGCTCAAGGCGGATTCTTTCCGCATGAAGATAAAGAACGTAAGGCACAAGCTCTCTTCCAGTCCCAGCGAAGCCAAGTCTATTGGAATCCAACCCAATGGGGTCCAAACCAACGAAATCCCATCCCAGCGCTTTTCTTTCCAAACGCCGTGCAGTTCACCCAGCGCGGGCTTGGGTAACCTCCATATCAACAGCGCGGAGAAACAAGATCATCGTCCTTCCCTTCGCGGAGGCAAGGTCAAGGAATCTGGGTCTGGCACGGCTTATTACCCAAACCAGGGCTTCAAGAGAAAGGACAGAGAAGACAGCCCAGCCCACTCGGGTGCTAGAAATACTCGTCCCACGAGCGACATTTCTAATGACCGTGCCAAGAAGATCCCTAAGATCACCCCTTGGCAAGAAACCCTCTTAAAAGATTCCAATTGTGAGCTCCTTGAAGAGGATAATGAACAAGCTGTCCGCTTGAACAAAGAGATGCTTGAAAACTTAGAGAGCCTATGGTCCGCGAAGAACGATGATCTGTATGAACCTGAAGACGAGCGACCAGATCAACCAAGAACCTGGTCCGGTATTAAATCCACGTTTGCGGATCGTGACTCCGATAGCGACTTAAGCTACTACACAGACAAGAATCCTATCGAGGACCACAAATTCAAGGAATGGTCAGATTATGACCTCGACCTTCAACGTAAGGTCATCGAAAAGTACAACAAAGGAGACAGACTCTGGACCAAGAGAGGACTTCGTATTCTCGAGGACGAGATTAAAGGGGGAAACTCTTCCATCGGTATACCTGCGTATGCTGGAGACGGTGAATTCGTCGCGAAAGAGGATGAGTATGCTGCCCCTCCAACCCACTCTTCAGTCAAGATAGACTAATGTACATAAGCAGCTTATCAGATCACAAGATCGTAGCGGAATTCCATGGCTACCAGGCCCTAGCATGCCCACCTGCCACCCGACCCGACAACATGCCGTACAGGTCCATGTCACTCAAAACCATCAAGTACGACCATGAGGATAATATGGCCGAAAGTGACCGTTATGTCTGGCGCAATTGCTACAAAAGGGTATGGAGGAGTAACCCGATAGCCTTCCAACTGTACTCGATGTTCATGCGGCTGCCTCTACCGCCCATCGACAAGATTATATGCTTCGACTTCGGCCCCATCGCCCTCAGATGTGACGAGCCAGGGTGTATGACGTCGAGGGGCATCTACCGCCACCTGGCAGCTCTGACGTTATTGGAGTGCCTGCGCAAGCGCTTCGGTAACTCCGTACGTCTGCTCGCGCAAGACCCCAAGTACCATCCAGACTGCGTCCGGATGCTGCCCGAGAACGGGTTCGAGATCGTGGGTATGCACGGCGCCGCCGGCCTCGCCGAGATCGATGACCGCACCTTGGTCTTCGCCCCCAACCCGTCATTCTGTCTGAAGGAGATCGTGGCCGATATCGCGCAGCCCGCGGCCATGTTCTGGAACACGGTGCTGACGCCTGAGGAGGCGGATCTCAAAACTAGGTCCAAGACCGCGGAATGTCTGAACGATAACATATTATCTTGTTACTTCCAGTACGTCTATTTTCTCTTTCATCCCGTATTCCAATTTTCTGGGTACACTTGGTCCAATTTTTGTATTCCCTACCTTATATCCCCGGTAGACAAACCCGACTTCCCCCAAACCATCCCTAAACCACGAAATCTGACGCCGATGTCAACGCTAACCTGTCAAACAGCACACCCCTAGCAGACCCCGACTCGCCGCGCGTGCGAGAACTCGTTCGAAATTACGACAAGCACCTGTTCCCGCTGAACAACCTCTTCGGCGATTGCGCACTGTACACGCGCTCCAGCGCTAGCGTCCCAAGGCCCGAGGAGAGCAAAGAGCCACTGTCTAAAGTGCCCGCGTCTAAGCTGCCCGCGTCGAAGAAGCCGTCGACTTCCGCTACTGCCGTTGTCGATTTCGGTGCTCCCGTCGATGCCAAGAAGCTGAACAAGTCCTGGAGATTCTAGGAGGACGAGGGCGAGGAGGTCGTGCTGCCTAAACACAACGGCATCGGCATATTTCAGCCGCCTCCGGAGTGGGGACGGACGCCGGTGAGCAGGGAAGAGAAAGAAGAAAAGAAAGTGAAAGTGGAAGTGAAAGAGGAAAGGGAAGCGGAGGAGGGTTTGGAGAATTGTTATCGTGGGATGGGGTATAGCTTCTAGTCTAGTCTCCGCCCTTTAAGAGGGCGTTGAGTTCGGATTGGGGAGTTTGGCGTTAGAATGCATGGGCTACGTTAGCCATCGAGGCTTACATCAATTAGTTGGTCTAGGCGTATAAATACCTAGGCGTAAGGATTCGGCTTTGCAGTCGTTAAAGCCTGTTGTCCGTAGACTGGAGGAGTTGGTCAATTAGAGAATAAACGAAGATCCCACTCCCACCCTCCTATGAAATTTAGCAAATGAATCGAAGCACTAGAATTGTACTCTGGATGAGATACCTAAGTCTACTGAATTCCCCGTTTTGGAGTTGGCTCAAGTTGTTGATTTAGGTTGAATAATACGGACGTATATCTCAGATCATACATTCATGTAACGTACGTACCTCTGCCTACATTACCTACATAGATATAGGTAAGTGCTACATTTGTTGCCCCCTATCCGTTAATCCGAATTCCCCGTCTCCTGTATGCTACCCAGTCTATATATCCTTTATGAGAAAATAACTCCAAATCAATAGAGCAAGATTAGAACAACGAAACCTGCGAATCGGAATTGAATAGTATGCTCAGTTTCCAATTGGATATAATCATATTCCGTACATAGGTAGGTACATGGCGTTATTTATGTCGTACCTTGGAGGACATCCCTACAACCAATATCAACGATTTATTCACCAAGTTACCTGGATCACCTAAGTAGACGCATGTAATTAGTGCAACGTCAAATCAAATCACATCAAATCACACGAACCTAAGTCAAATCACGCAACACCAAAAAAAGCACCATAAGCAGTTATTTTGGGGATCATCTGTATTGTATTAGACCACGGCTCACACCCAACCTTACTTACCAAGTAGGTGGGCAAAAAGGTGAGCACTGCTGGTAAGGCACCTCTAACCCGACAACACGCGCACGTAAAACAAGAACAAAGGCAGCGCGAAGTTATATCAACAACCATGGACCGACGCACTGCGTGCAGCATGGCGACATGCAACATGCAATGCGCAGCCGTCGATTGACTAAGCCAACTGCCAATGCCACTACCCCTGATCACCACACTGCCTCCACCCCTAGTAACCTTGTCTTCACCCCCTTATCTCGTCAACGTATCAACAATCCCCCTCAACTTCGACCATCTCTGTCGACTGACCAGTAACTTAGAAGCTTGTATAACGCGCCCGTTTATACACCAATTCCACCCACACTTCCCCTTATGCCACAACTGCCACGCACGCCATACCAGCAGCCGGCCTCGCTCAGCTAAGCTCAGCTCCAACCACATTGTGAATCTCGGTGAATTAAAAAAAAAAAAGGTGACAACGGTAAAGAGGAACATGTGGAACTTTTCTCTTCCCAAGCAGGAAAAAGCCCAGAACGAAGAAAAAATGACTTAGAAGCTTGCGAATCGAAGGAAAAAAAGAAGTAGCAGTAGTAGCCATCTACAATTCCTGTTCCGTCCCTTTGCCGTTGGGGAATAATCCTCCGTAATGATGTCCACTGCACTAAACTCCGATTCTCCGGTATCGTTGAACGCCCCTCTAAGTTAGAATGACGAACGTGTAAACAGAAATACGTGCTCGAGTCTTTTATATCGACAAACCCCTGCGCCCACCCTTTCCGTTTAGGGGGAAATCCAGTATGTTACCATTGGCTTCATAGTAACTTTCCCTGGCCGCCAGAAGCCTTACCGTCAGAATTTCTGATTTGCATTCTGCATTGCTTCGGCATACATTCGGCGAGCATCCTGTTCCGCATCCCACATTAGCAAGGCTGGGTCTATCATTACACTGGGTACCTCGTCAACAGTGAATGACTTGGACTCGTTTGACACCTGAGTTGTTTTGACCCTCTTGCGCGGATGTTCTTCATCGGAATGGCTGGATTCAAGTAACATGGAAGGCCTCTAGGCTTCCCTGCTAGGAGCTGATGAACCACCATTAGATGTCGGCACTGACGTGGGGGTTCCGTTGATCGCAGATGGCGCGCCCATAACCCTAGGCGAGTTAAGCTGCGGCTTTGGGCTCTGGCTGGTTGCGGGATAATTAGGCATGCCGGCTCGGGCAGCTGCGAGCCTCGCCGGATCCCCCCCTAGGCCGATGCCACCGAGACCAACCGGCGCACCGACTTGTCCTTGCCCTTGACCAGACATCGAGTTCCTGATACCCTCATTCGTCCTCTGCGCGCTCTTAGTTGCGTCGAACCGAGCTTTAGCTTGATCCATCGCCTGCTGGACTTGATGCGGCTGGAGAGATGTATGGAACGAGGAGGTGCCGGGGGTTTGCGAGTTCTGACTCTGCTGATTGTGCTGGTTAATTTGGTTGTTTGGCATGGCAGGCGAACCGGCATTCGGGTAGAAGCGCCGTGACGGGTCATTGTTAATGTTTGGTTGACCGCCATAGGATGCTTGTCTCACAGGGGTGCCAGTCGGATTGTATCCTGGATGGTGGGAGAGGGGTTGATGGTGAGTTTGCGGCGTTTGGTGGGAGACGTGCGGAGATGCCGTCCTCTGCGGAATGGGTGCAGTGCCGTTTGTGTATTGGCTGTATTGCTGGTGCGACGGGGTGCCCTGGAGTTGATGAGGTTGTTGCACCTGGAAGGGTTGAGAATGATGGTAATTAGGCGCCGGTTGGGTGGCTGGTGTGTAGGGCGGGAAACGTGCTTGGGGCGTTTGATTACCCATGTTAGGGTAGCCCGGCATTGGTTGGTACGGAGGCCGGACTTGTGTGGGGGTGTTTGCGTATGAACCGGGCTGCGAATATGGAGCAGGCGGTTTGTTGAATTGTGTGGAATAACCTGTACCGGGATACTGGTTCGGAGGTCGATAACCCGTGTTGGACGGTGGTCGCGGAGGATAAGCCGCTGGGGGCATCGTCTGTGGGGGACCTCGCATCGTAGGTTGAGTAGCCCGTACCGGAGTCTGCGCACCATAATACTGCGCATTAGGCATTGGCGCACGATTGGCATGGTACTGTTGACCATACTGCATGTTACTCGATGAACTTGACGCCCGATGCGTGACCGGCCGAGGGGTCGCCGTGGCAGCTTGCGCGGCTCTAGCGCGAGCAGCTGCCTCATCTTCTTCCATCAACCCTTGGTACTCATCAGTTCGCACTTCAATCTTGGTTGATATGTTTAGCTCGTCCAACTTGTCGGAGTTGAGACGCGCGACTGCGTAGGGTGGCAGCGATTGAATAACAAGAGCCAACTGCGCTTTGAGAGCCTGGTATGTGGCTAGCTCTTCCTCTCCGGGCTGCACCGGCGTTCCGTTCGTAAGCATATCGCTATGGGCCGGATCCGCCGCGTATCGGCTCTGGCTAGACGCGGACGGCAGGGTCAAGTTGCGATTCTTCTGATAAGACACTAGCGTCTGGATCATGTCGGATACCTCCTGAAGGATGTCATCCACGTCCATCTCCTCTTGGGGTTTCTTCGGACAACAGACTTGCTCTAGACTGGGATCTACCATAGTCTCATCCCAATTGTCTAGTACTTCCTTGATCAGCGTCTCATCTACCTCTTCAACGGGGACAGTATCAGTCTTGTCTGTTTCCTCGGCAGCATCTCCTAATAACTCGGTCTCGACTAGGCGATCGAAGCTACGTTGTCCCACCTTCTGCCACCACATGGTTTGGCTAATCATGCCCGACGATATCATGGCGGCAGAGTCGTCCTTGGAGGGAGCAAAACTACTGAATGCGCCGCGGAAAAGCGATTCCATCTCGGACATCTCAAGGTCGGATGAAGACGGTTTATTTCCGGCAAGGCTTAGAGCCCGCTCGCGCTGTTTAGTCATGATTTGTGACGGGGGTGCCGCGTTGCTGTAGTCCAGCCAGCGCCCGGTGGTAATATTCTGGCTGAAGTATGACCCAGCTCGGTACTTAGACTTCTCGGTCAACTCAGGATGGTGCCATCCGACTTGCACGCCCTTAATAGTGCTCTTCGGTGCCTTAGGCGGCTGTAGCGACGGTAAGTTGCGCGGAGCCGGGAAGAGCTCTCCGAGAGTCTTGGCCTTCTTATCCTTTTCGATAGGTGAAGAGAAGGAATACGGTATCGCCCTGCCCGTCTTGATACCGTTAGGCAATCCGCTTTCTCTCAGAGGCCGAAGAGGTATATCAGTCTCCGTGCCGTCGCGAGTAGGGATAGAATGCTGCAGGCTCGAGTACAACGGCTTTCCTCTCATTTGCTCGCCATTCACCACCAATATCATGTTTCCACTAGCGTTGGATTGTAGATCACTAATCGAGTTGAGTTCCTCCAAAACGCCGGAAGCACGAGTATTGTCTGGATATGCTATTTCTCTCTTGAATAGCCCATAAGCCTGTCGCTTAAAATCGATGATCTTAGCAATAGCTTCATCGTTCGCCTTACTATCCTTTCCGGGCTCAACCTGTCGCAATTCTTGCAGGTTGTCGGTGATGGACGCCTTGATGTCGACGATGATACTATCAACGTCGCCATACTGCTCCCGGGCCACTTTGTCGGCGATGGAAGGTGACGGGTTCCCATCGTCAGGCTTCTTCCGTTTCGCTTGAGGCTCATTGGATGAATCTTCGGGGTCGGGAAGGGGGCGTTTGAGAACAGAAGGCATGGGGTCGATGCTATAAAATCGCCAATAGTAAGTAACCGAAGATAGCAATGGATTGTATTATACGGTGAATTAAAAGAAGTAAAGGAACGGAAATATACGAAGGATGCGAAAGGAACGAGAAGGGGTGCGCATAAAGTCGACGTAAAATAGAAAGTGAGTACGGATGGAGAGATTGATTTACCTTTGAAGGACCTCATAATAGTTACGTATCGTGGGTTGATCGACCTTAGTCGCGCTGGAGGGAGAAGGAACGGTGTCGGTTGGAAGAGGACTTATGCGGCTGAGGTTGAGGCCATTCGGGGGTTTCTCGCTGGCGTCGGTTGATTCGCGTTTGCGCTTGATGGAGGTACCGGACATGTTTTGCGCGGTATCGATGTCGGCGTCGATCATGGTGTTAGCGTTAGGAGAATTAGAGGTGGCATTGGAATTGGCGTTGCTGTTGGCGTGTTGCACGGGCGTAGAAACGCCATTTGGAAATGCTATGGCTGGCGAGGCCATTTTTTCCCGTTAGTCCAGGCAACTTTTTATTTTTTATTGTCGTTGCTGTCCTGGTTGTGGTTGACAGTTTGACAGTGGACGGTAATGGAATGCTAAGCAAAATGGTGGCTCCGTCGCGCTGCACGGTTAGTCGGTCGCGATTGAAAAAAAGGGAATTTGGGACTTGAGATTTTGTCGTTGCTTGTTTGGTGCGACCGCGACACTCTGACCCTCTTTCCTTCTGAAGAGCCTCCTAGGCAAAACTCAGTGCTGCCGTGCTGCCACCTTCCACTGTGTCCAGTGCTCCAGGCTGCGCTTGACTAGGGAGGCTAGGGAGGTACCAGTTCGGACATGGAACTAAACCGCAATAAAAAACCTTCAATGTTGCAAGGGCGACGGGTAAGAAAGTGGACGAGATTCACCCATCCAAATTCCAATAATGAACGAATCGTGTTAAAAGCGGTAAGAAAATTGGAAACGAGGTAATTAATCTACCCAGGTCTACTACGGGTTGACCATGAGAAGATCTTAAACCGTCCGTGAACAATTTTGTTGTCGGGATGCACGCGATATCTTCACTGATAACTTTGGTTTCGAAAACTTCATTCATTGCAGAAGTCTTGTACCCAGTATTATGAGAGGGAGGACGGAGAAGTGCAACGAAATGAATCTGTCTGTCCTTCGACTCACCTGCAAATGATGGGAGACGCTAAGCTCGCTACTAAGCTTCTTACGGACTAGCGGTACGCGCACGTTCCATCATTTGTTCTCAGCACGTGATCTCAATCAAGCCATTCTTCGCCAACATCGTTTATGTAATACTGGGGTACCTATGTAATTAAGTGCAAGTTGCCTTGTCGCCAACGAATTGCGACGAAACAACACCCATGATGAGCTTACATCGATGTGAATGTTTGTATACTACAGTAACAGTGTACAATGATATAGCACTATATATACATATTGTATTTTAAGTCTATATAGTTGATAGCTACATGTCTTAACTTCCACTCGGATCGGAATGTTATTGATCTCCTCGACCAGAGCAGTAATTGAATGGACAGTCGGCAATCTTAAGGGATCTAAAAATCTCCAGCATGTACATTGAGCTACATTACTAGTAATTATCTTTACGAGTAACAATTTCACTGTGGCATTGGCAAGAAATACATCTCTACGGTACGAAGTATTGAGTTGTAACAAGATAAATAGTACGAAATTAACTAGACAATTTCACTTCAGAGTATGACAACTTAAGTAATCCGTAGATCGATAGAGATTCCTTGAGAAATACGTATGTTGTATCAAGCTAAACGAATACGTGATGTTGGGTAATTTACAACGGAGACTCAAGTCTCATCATGCTTCGCGACTAACACGTTTCGAGGGGAATACCCTAAAGGAAAAAAACACCGCAGATGAGGGTTCAATTGGAAATGCAATCAAACGCGTTGTCGCCCTCATATTATGATCGAACCCGTACAATACCCATGTTGCGTCGCAATCTCATCACAAGCATACAAGATAGTTCACAGATCTTCTCCCAAGGTCCCGTCAGCCTTCACCTATTTAGCCTTAGCCAGGCCGACGGTGCCCTTACCGAGGTCGTAGATGGAGTACCATCTTCGGAGGAATGCATCGCCGAGAATGGCAAGAGGACCAACAGGGGCGGGGAAGTCCATGCCCATGAAGGTCGAGATACAGCTGCCCTGAACCTCGAGGATGTAGTCGTAAGGTCCGATGGCAAAGTCGTATCCGGCAAGCTTGAAGCTGATATCAGGAAGCGAGTCACGGACAGAGCAGTCGACGGTGTACTGGCCGTTGAAGCTCTTCTTGGCACCGATCTCCTTGTTCAGGAGCTCGGCAAGGTCGCTGGGGAGAGCGATCAAAGAAGTACCAGTGTCGAGGATGACACCAGTGTTCTCGAGCTCGGCAGTCTCGTCACCGAAAGAGATAGAGTCGAAGTCCACCTCCCAGTAGGCCTTGCGGCGCAGAGGGATTTCGGTGATCTTGCCGGTGTAGTGGTCCTTGTCGACACCACCAAAAACGACCTCCGAGTCGTCGCCTCCATTATCGCCACTTAGGTAGAAAGCGAAGACGGGATCATCGATCAATTTCTGGTTAACCATCTGGTAGAATGGAGGGACGATGCCCTTGACGGAAAGGCGATCGAACCCCATTCCAAGAATACCATCGAACCGACCGAAGGCAAAAGCCAGACCAGGCTCGCTGGTAGCCTCAGCAAAATCTTGGTTCTTGACAGTGAGGTCACCGATAGTTAGGGTGTCCTGAGACACGAAACCACTCAAGCTACCAGATCCATAGCGAATCTCGAACTCAGTGCCGTTCTTCTTATATGTTGACGAGGACGAGGAGTCATATTTGGAGTGGAGATAGCAAGCAATACTGCCGCAAGATGATGAAGGAACCCAGAGGTTGGAGCTTCCCGTGTCGAGGATGACCTTGAAGTCTTGGGCCGGCGTACCGATGCTGATCTCAGAGAAGTCTATAGTTAAGCCATTAGCAAATGAACTTCTCAAGCTTTCATTATTAGCTTCGGGTTTTCGGGTTTACATACACTGAGCGTTCATGAAGTTGGAGATGGGAACGGGGTGATCTGTGTCGGTATGGATAGAAGTGTCTTGGAACACCGCCTGTGAATGAGTCTCGGGTCGGGGTCCCATGTACTTCTGGCCGAGGCCTCGCATTTGAGTCTCGATCGGGATGCTTTCCTGTAATAAACCATCAATATCGAGTCGCATGATAAGTCAAAAGCTAGCACCAACCAGTTGTTCCGAAAGAGGAATCTTCTTAAGCTTCATCTTGTGGACTCCGGCCTGGGCGGAGCCAAGCAGCACAGCTGCGGTTAGCAGAGCTCCCTTCATGATGGACGACTCCGAACAGTGACAAATTAATTAAAATGAAAGAACTCTTGATAACAATGTATAGAGTGGGAAATGATGTCCCGATGACTTTCAATTCTCTGATCCTCGGGATGGGGGGAAGAGAGATGAATGATGGCAGATGATGGATGAAGTGATAGATGTAAGTAGGAGATAATAGGAAGAAGAGATGGACCGATGATGATGTTGAGGGACTGGGAGATAAGACCGAGCTCCCTTTGATCAATCAGCGCCTAGAGTTGCTAGGGGCAGGTGCGAGATGGCGCATGCAGGCTCTTGCGGGAGTAGTAAAGTGGGTACTCTCGGTCTCGTGCGCGAGATACACAGCAAGATGTACAGTACATCAGTATTGCATTCAGGGTGAGTTGTTTCCTACTGCTGCTGCCTATGACAACTTTAGCTTGCCCTAAAAGGCCTTAGCGTTTCCAGTGACGCAGGTGTATATGTTTATGTGGGTCTTTATTGTTCCGGGCAACCAGATTCTAGAGGCAACAACCGCTGATGACACAAGCAGGTACACACTCAACGCCACCAATGCGGGTAAGTTTTACCCAATAGAGTTTCATGTCGTCTGATTAATCCGATTCGGGGCACTTCACAGGGTGTTCAGGTACCTGGAATTTGGAGCAAATATTGTACTGTACATTGAAGTATATTAATGAGCTTCCTGCATTTATGCGTTGTTACAGAAACATAACTGGGAATAACTATCATCTATCACAACCGTCACGAATCTTGAACTGTCAGTCGCATGTGACCAAATACAGGTGTATTATTCCAATTTGTCGATGAGGTTCATGCGTCCTAGTAATATACGAAAGAACTCTAAGACCACCTTGTTCTATCTCAAAGCTTCTGAATTATCCATTCACATGACACATAATCCCAGGTATTTGATTTCAATCCTTCTCAAGGGCGTGAATTCAATTCCAAGTTTCGGTAGCTCCGGTAATAAAGCTCTAAGGTTGTATTACTAATGAATATTTTTATAAGCGAGAGTTTTGCTGCACATGTACTGCATTAATGGTTGCAGAGCATGGTGCATAAAAGATTCGAGAGATTCGCCTCTCAGGAGAAGCCAAGCCAGAAAATAAGACTCTTTGAGTTATTAGAACCTCCCAAATACATTTGATAGTCGGTGTCCCAATCCAAGAATGCTCGAAATATCACTGTCCGATGGATTCGGAGAATATTGGTCCGTATACGGTTAGCCTGTAGATAGAACATACCATTCCAAGCCTCACGGCGGTGACAAGGAAAGGAGCAGGTTGGGTTTGCGTAGACCGCCTTGCGTGTAGGTTAGTAGTATTCTGAATAGACTTTGATCGTCCGGAGAACTACCAAAGAAATTACCCCTGAGCTTAAGCGTTAAATGTTTCCTGCCTAGTACCTACATTAAATACTCGGGACCTGCGATTAGTCAGGAACTGAGGCTCTGGGTTAGTCTAAAGACCAATCCAACAATTCCTAACTAACTAAATAGTCGTAGCATATAACTAGGAATGACACAGCCAATCAGAATATGCTGTAGCGATAGGCATATACTCTTTGTAGAAGTTCTCATGCCATTTTAGCCAATGAGATGCAAACGCTTCAGGGCATCGTCGAGAAATGAGTCCAGCAAATCGCTAGTTAGACTCATGGCTTGACCTCATCCAAAAGAAAATAAGAACGTTCCAAATAGAAAGCCTTAATAATAATCTTAGAAAGCATGATCCCACTCATTTTCAACTAAGAATTGACGCGGATTGAGATATATACCCACCTAGGTATATGTGAACCACCTATGGTTGTTAGATATTATCCTAAAGTCAATGATCTATAGCTTTCTAAACACATTCTTGCAATTAACTTTTCAACTATGTTTCATGATCGTCAATCTCAACTCGAGACACACTTGAGCTCTAATTCTTGAAGCTGAGAGTCGGAATGAGAACATATGTCTATCTTATACTGCCAGAGCTTCAATGTTTGCGGCGATTTGATAATGGCAAGTTTGCCCGCAGCGAACTTCCATGTTGCACGTTCTTGTACACTCGGAACCTTGATGGAAGGTTTGATTCGCCGACTTCGGTATGGGTCTACCAATGGAAATACAGAACCCCAAAGCTACTCCGTTAGTTACTCCGGATCCTAGCATAAGCACAACCAGCAAGGACTAGGAAGGAACCAACAGCTCGTCATCACCCCGCCGTTAGCATCTGGGCCCTTTCTTACTTAATACGAACCCCACCAATCAACTAGAGTCGAAGAAAAATTATTATTCTCTCCTTCCACTCTACCCTTCTCCATCCTCCGCCTTTTCTCTTTTTCAATAAAAAAGCTAAAAAGACCTGAAGTCCGCTGGTGAAATTGTAGAGAGATTCTTCTTCACAATCTTTCCCACCTTGTAATTTGAGCAATACTCTTTCATCCTCACACAATGGCCGCCAACGGTACCTACGCTCTTTCTCAAGAGCACAAGGACGTCAGTAATACCTAATACCCTCGTGAAGCATCTCGCTGACACACCAACAGTTGCTCGAGAGATCTCTCGTCGAGTCTGACCCAGAGGTTGCGGAGATCATGGTAAGTGTCTCGCCCGAAGCCAATTGATTCGAATTGATCCAACGTCTAACTACCTTGATTATAGAAAAAGGAAATCCAGCGACAGCGAGAGTCCATCATTCTGATCGCGTCTGAAAATGTCACTTCGCGTGCCGTCTTCGATGCCCTAGGCTCTCCCATGTCCAACAAGTACTCCGAAGGTTACCCCGGCGCTCGATACTACGGTGGAAACCAACACATCGACGAGGTCGAGCTTCTTTGCCAGAAGCGTGCTCTCCAGACCTTCCACCTCGACCCGGAACAGTGGGGTGTCAACGTTCAGTGCCTCAGTGGTAGCCCGGCAAACTTGCAGGTCTACCAGGCCATAATGGCCCCTGGAGGTCGATTGATGGGCTTGGACCTCCCCCATGGTGGCCATCTGAGTCACGGATATCAGACTCCTTCCAGAAAGTAAGTTTGTTTCGGATAATTCGGAGATTTCGTTACTGACTCGGTCACTTGCAGGATCTCGGCTGTCTCAACTTACTTTGAGACTATGCCTTACCGAGTAGACCTCACCACTGGTATCATTGACTACGATAGGCTCGAGGAGAATGCCCAATTGTTCCGTCCTAAGGTCCTTGTCGCCGGTACCTCCGCTTACTGCCGCGAGATCGACTATGCCCGCATGAGGAAGATTGCCGACTCCGTTGGCGCTTACCTTGTCGTTGACATGGCTCACATCTCTGGTCTGATCGCCGCCGAGGTCATCAAGTCTCCCTTCCCCCACGCCGACATCGTCACTACCACTACTCACAAGTCTCTCCGTGGCCCTCGCGGCGCCATGATCTTCTTCCGAAAGGGTGTCCGCAGCACCGATGCCAAGACTGGCAAGCAGACCTTCTACGACCTCGAGTCGGCCATCAACTTCTCTGTCTTCCCTGGCCACCAGGGCGGTCCCCACAACCACACTATCACTGCTCTCACCGTTGCTCTAAAGCAGGCTCAGTCTCCCGAATTCAAGGCGTATCAGCAGAAGGTTGTGTCCAACGCCAAGACTTTGGAGAATAAGTTCAAGGCTCTCGGTTACAAGCTCGTCTCCGACGGAACTGACTCGCACATGGTTCTTCTTGACTTGAGACCCCAGTCGGTGGATGGTGCACGTATTGAGGCTGTGCTTGAGCAGATCAACATTGCTTGCAACAAGAACGCTACCCCTGGCGACAAATCCGCGCTTACTCCTTTTGGTATTCGTATCGGTACTCCTGCCATGACCTCTCGTGGCTTCGGTGAGCAGGACTTCGAGCGTGTTGCTGGTTACATCGATGAGAGCATCAGGATTGCCAAGGAGCTCCAGGCTAGCCTCCCCAAGGAGGCCAACAAGCTCAAGGACTTCAGGGCTAGACTTGCTGCCGGTGATGTTGCCAGAATTAACGAGCTCAAGAAGGAAATTTCTTCGTGGTCTCAGACCTTCCCTCTTCCCGTCGAGGGCTGGAGAGTGGATGCTGGCATTTAAATTGCCACGTGTATGATTGAATGACGAGGACGAAGAAGAGGGCGAGGAGGTGTATTGTTCAACATATAGACATGAAGGCGAAAGAGGGGCAACTCAACTTATCTCTGGTTTGTGGACATACGGCGGGCTTCATTCTGGAAAATGGGATGACAAAAGTGGACAATTGCATGCATTCATCAGGCGTTGCAAATATCATGAGCTCTGGAGTTTGGTATAGCTCTCAGGGTCTGGGTCATCCGCGGCACTGCTTCAACGCGGTAGATTATAGGGAATTGATATCCATTACAATGATTTAGTGTAATTAAGGAATTAGAGAGCACCAATGAGGACTCTTAATGAAATCCGGGCTACATATTGCGGTTCTCCATTGAACGTTTGATGGACAGAGACTGGAGGTGACGAAAATGATACGCTATCCCTAATTACTCAACACGTCATCCGTAAACGGTACACGAGGGGATTCGTTCCCCCTAATTACAAATCAACAAGCATTTGAAGCTGGTGCCACCTTCATAAGTAGGACGTCTAAGTCGACTTATACTGTTCGGAGCAAAGTCAGCTGTCTTTTCTTTTAATTTAATTCTCGTGGTAATTTTGAACCCAGATTAACCTTCAAGATGGCTCCTCCCGATGCTGATTTACATCCCGTCGCAACGGGTCTCGCCAAGAAAACGGTCGACGTACGTCCCAAATCCTATTCCCCCCTTACCCCCGCCAAGCTTTTTCAACCCAGTGATGGGATGTAGAAAAGAATATACCTGTCTACATTAGTATGTGTTTAAGCATATAACACTCACTTTTTCCATGCAGGATCACTCGGCAGAGCAGCCCCTTAAGCTGTTCGCGGGCTGGTTCTGCCCGTTCGTGCAGCGGGTGTGGATCACACTCGAGGAAAAGGGCATCCCGTACCAATACATCGAAATCAACCCCTACCACAAGGGGCCGGAGCTCCTGCGCGCTAACCCGCGCGGCTTGGTGCCGACTCTGGAGGTCGCGCCGGGCAAGGCGCTGTACGAAAGTACCGTGCTGTGCGAGTACCTCGAGGACCATTATCCGGAATATGGGCCGCGAAGTGAGTTCTTGCTTATCTCTTACCCTTCTCTCTTTTCTTCAGGTTTACGAACGAATGAAGGAATGACTGGGTAGTGGATGTGTGATATAGCGCTGACTCGCACATAGTCTTACCTCCGGCAGGCAAGGACGATTACACGCGAGCGAAGGCGCGCATCTGGACCGACTTCGTCACGTCCCGCGTCATCCCGGCCTTCCACCGGCTCCTGCAATTCCAGACCTCCTCGGCGCACGCCGACGGCGGCGCGGCTCGCCTCGACGCCCTGCGCCGCGAGTTCAGAAACCACCTGCTGGAGTTCTCGCGCGAGGCCGACCCCGAGGGCCCCCTGTTCTTCGGCCCGGACTTAAGCCTCGCGGATATCGCGCTGATCCCGTGGGCGGATAGGCTGTGGGTTTTTGAGGAGTTTAAGGGCGGTTTGGGGGTACCGGACCCCGGGAAGGGGGGCGAGGATGAGGAGGCGTGGGGGCGGTGGAGGAGGTGGGTGGGTGCGGCGACGGGGAGGGAAAGTGTGAGGAGGACGACGAGTGAGAGGGAGTATTTGGTGCCGATTTATAGGCGTTATGCTGACGATACGGCGATGTCGGAGTTGGCGAAGGCTACGAGGGATGGGAGGGGTGTTCCGTGAGGTTTGGTTTGGGAGGTTAAAGGGGGGTGGTGCTTGGGCTTCCTCACGATATGCCTACGTCACGAGATCGCTTGATGCAGAGAATCAACTTAAAGATATTTTCAGTCGCAAAGGACTTTGTTTTGGTTTTCTATAAAAAATATTCATTCTATCTTGTTCATGGGATTGTCTAGTTTTTTTTCCACCTAAAAAATTAGATGATCACAGATCGCCAACTGTCTAGGAATTTATAATCTTGTTCCAAGTTCGGTTGGGGTAGAGATTAGCGAGAAGCCCAATGTATGCATCGTGGATGGACACAGAGTCGTCGCTCAGAATCCTTACGAGTCCGATACGCTCTAACTCGGGGTACAGCTCAGGCATCTGACTTGAGAAGTCAGCGATGTTTTTCCCGATCGCATCATCGCAGCGCTTCTCATAGCGGGCTAGCGCAACCTCATAAGGACAATCAACCACGATGGCGAGATCAAGTATGTCCTTGCCGAAGACCTTCCTGGAGGCCTTAAGGTCGTCCACTATTCGTGGGAAACCGTCTAAGAGGATAGCCCTGTAATTACCTTCCTTGGCGACCCTCTCCATCTTCTTCTGCAGAAACGGGAGAAGGATGGCTAAGGGGGTCGGAAGGCCATGTTGGTGGCAGTAAGCAAGTACGACTTCTACCGTCTGGTCCATAAACCCACGTTTTTTGACATAATCACAGAGATCGGCGGGGATGATGCCCCCCTCCATGATGTAGTCATAGATATACCGCTTTACGGTCTTCGTGCCGCTGAAAGGGGAATTGCTCAACGACGTGAGCAACTCTGGGACGAATAAGTGGTATAGGTTAAACTGCTTGGAAAGCCTGGAGCCTAGCGCGCTCTTTCCGCTCGCCAGAATTCCGTACAAACTAATAACAGGAAGCATTGTGGTTTTGCTGATGATAGTATGTGAGGGGATTGGTGTGCATGGCGATATTCACTCCGGAGGAGTAGACCATTAAATACTACATACCTACCTATAATTGAAGACATACACAAGTCTTTTTCTAGCCGGCATGACTGTAGCATGGCAACCTCATAACAAAGCTAGTGTTACAATATTATTATTTTAGAATCATTACCTTGTTGTAGTCCTCTACGAAAGAAATGTGACTGAAGAAAAGTCCTTGTCCCATATCTTAACTGTTCTATGGTGGAATCACACACAATGTGACAATGAGAAACAATGGACGAAGACAAAAAAAGCCTGACGATAGATCTCTTCAAGGACCAGCCCAGATCCTGGAAACCGGCTCCTGGCTACTGCACCCGCACTGTTAGATATTCTTTGCTATCCTTCTCAAGGTCCTAAACGATGTGTGTCCAATTGTGAAGTGTCGCTGGGACGAGAGTCGGCCACTCAATTGTGGCCTTTAAGCTTCACACTGTTGCTTGGCGGATTGACTACTTGGGTGACTGACTGGCGGTAGTTGCGGTGACGTGAGATGCGAAATACCCATGACATAGAGCTCAAAGGCACACCAGCAATCTTGTACCAGGTTTCTTGTGTGGGTGAAACAAAGCAACTTGAAACTTGGATATAGAGGCTTTGTTCCTTGTTCCCAACTAAAATAGAAACGAATCTGCAATGCTAATCTTAACTATAATGTCTATCCCTGTGAGGTAGCACATATCCTTTAAGCTTATCTCTAGGTAGATTCTATTTACGAGGTGGCACAGGAGCGGCCACTCAATGTAAGTAAGATACAGGAGCTCATCATTCGCATTTCCCGCTGACACAGCAGTGGGGTTATGCGCGTGGGACCACGAGAACGTTGTTCGGGTAACTGCGTTGACTTGAAGATATTATGTTTCTTCCCCGGAAACCGACGTCAATCTATAGGCTGCGAGGGTATTCCTTGTTTCCGCTGCATGGTCATGTAGGCTGGGTGCAGCTATATGTATACAGTTACCGAAACCAGATCGGTCTGCAGTGAAGATATTAATTACCAAATATCTCCCTTTGCCTCCGCCATCAGACGATCGGGTACTATACCAGATGACTGCATTTTGTTGGTACTATATATATGTTGCTTTTTCGCGAATTATTAATGTCGTGACACTTCGCAAAAGAAAATCACAAGTCGGGTTTGTGATAGAGGCGCTCGAAGGGCTTTGAGTGGAATGATTTTTGGTGTTGGTCAGTATATTACAAGCCAACGTAAATTCTACACCTAACTTGATGAGGTGCAAATCTAGTATAAGACCATGAGATTCTTGTAGAGACGTGGAAGAAAACCCATCTCGTCTCACCTCTCGAACAGCCTATTTGATTCCAAACTCAGATTTATCCTTTTCATCTTTCTCAACACCTCACAATGCGCTTCCTACTCTGCCTCGCTGTGACTTTGGGGACAGTCAGCGCTGCGCCCTTCGAGCTGATCTCCAAGCGCGAACTTGGAGACCACGAATGGACCCTTAACAAGAGAGACGGGTGCCCGGCCTACCTTCAGCCAGGCCAGTTCGAGTTCCCACATTACATCACGCAGGTATCTGCGAAACAGCCGAACCGAGCCTTTGGCCCCCAGTACAGAGGCCGTATCACGCCGAATGACATCTCTTCTCTTTACAGCTTCGATATTCCAAAAGACCGTGCCAATGCCAACTGTACTCTTGAGTTCATATTCCCTCGCCAGGACCAGCTGAACCACTCTTACTATAAGTATTCGGGACCTGGAACATTTATCTTCAAGGGATACTTGGCCGGTAGCTGTCCCGGACCGCACACGACCTTCAACAATCAGCCGCGGGCTGGTCAATTCCCCCCTTTCCCGCCTATCCACATGGAACCGGGTTTCGCGTACACCATCGACATCGGCCCTTGCACCTTTTCGGCCGGAAACTGCGTATCTGGAAGTAAGTTGGATCCGCCCTTTTCAACAGGAGAAGGTTAGGAAATACTAACATGAGTGCAGTGCTTTCATCGGCTGACACCAGCCTCGAGTACTTCCAGGACCAGGAAAACTGTCCGATTGGAATCTACAATACGTATAGCTATGGGCTACCTTGCCCCACGGATTACTGTGGATAAGGTTGGAGATTTATACACGGGGAATGCACTGAATCTGCCTTTTCAATTTAAGGGTTGAATCTGGCCTGTGTATATAGCAACCCCTTATTGAACTCGGGGTTTAACCTGGCAATTATGGAAATTCAGTCGGTACCTACGCCGAGTTCCTGCGTGATACAAGTTCGTTAAGCGCCTGTTCTTCTACGGGTCTCTCATATTATGCCAATTCGGGCCAATTCTTAGCTAATGAGAGTACAGTAATATTGCCGCCGATGTCATTGTGTAACCTTTCCTAGAGAAATTTCGTTAAGGTGATCTGTGATAGGGCTGCCAGGCTTGCTTGCCGGCATTCCTTGGCTTGATCGCCCCCAAATGGCTCACTGTGTTCTCGAATATGACTGGCTGGTGGTATGTACCTAGTTCAAAGCTCCTCAATCGATTGCATTGAGATTTCGGTGTGTCTGCACGTTAAATCTTTTTCTGTAACCAACACCATACTGATCGAGCGTGAGTGGGTGAAGCTAAGGGAAGCAAGGGAGGCATACAACCGCACTCAAATGCGTGTAATCCTCATAGTGTTTGGCCATAAGTTCTGGTTCACACCTAGTTATGGCGTTAAAAACTTTTTCTCGACATTTTCTTTCCCCGTTTCCTTGATCTACGATGTGCATCGCTCAAATCTGCAATCATAGGCGACCTGTTTCGTTGAATGTACCTACCTACTAACAATTCCTGACTCACCGATCCGACAATATCACGAGGCTCCTGGTGTATCCATCTGAGTTACCGCCCTTTTTTGGCAGCGAAGACAATGCCCTGAATCAATTCTGGAGACCAGGATGTGGATGCATTCGTACAGCCAGCTGAGGATTGAGATAAATATGAAGGCTTGCCTGTATCTATCGGTATTAATTCTTAATGGTGCGCATTTCACAGTTATAAGCTGTCAAGCAGAAGAATAGCATTGAATAAGCTGCTTACAATTCCAATAGCTGGGTTCGCTGTCGCAGGCTCTTGTACCACCTCGACTATTTCCCTCGCGACGCAAGCCGCTGCCGCCACCGGTGTTCCAGCCAGCAACAATGTCGGAAATCAGATTAGTCTCGAGATCACAGGCTGTGGTAATCTAACTGGTTTCCCTAGCTTGACTACTGTGGCCCGTGTCAATCTGTACAAGAATAATTTCACGGAACTCAACCTGACCAACCTCCACATCACGGACCAGATTCGCATTGCCGGCAACCCGAATCTTGAGACGCTCATACTTCCGGACCCGAAGCCAGGTCAGACCTTATCTCTTCCGCCGACGGGTACGGATGCGCCGCAGTGGACGGTAGTTGAGATCGTGGATAATCCCTTACTAGACACCGACAAGATCCAGTATCAGGGTGGTACCAACTTTTGGGATTGGGGGTTGCGCAACCTGTCACGGTTTACTTTCTCTGGCGGGAATTTCCATTCTGACTTCTTGTGAGTAGATATCTCCTGTCCAATATCTCCTATCCAATGGTGTAGCTCATGTAGCCCGAATTATACATACCCTTTACCCCTATTAACCCCTAAAACCCCCCTTATCTTATCGCGTAAAACCTGCTAATCCCAAGTGTAGCTACCCCCTATCATCAGATGACCCAGAATCGGGCCACGTATACGTAACTGAGAGTTTCTTTCTGAGCTCGACGGACTCGACGTATGATTGCGCATACTTGAATTCGCTGAGATACCACGGTTCTTTCAAGGGCAATTACACGTGTCAGGGTAGGACGGTTGTTCCAAGCCTGGCAGATAGGACGACAAGCTCTCATATCAATCTCTTGAGTGGATTGGCGGCAGCTTTTCTCTTTTTAGGCTTGCTGTAGTGGTGTGGAGGAGAGATCAGAGATAGCAGGAATCTCAAAGATCATTCGCAATTATCAATGTGCAGTGACTCTGAGAGGAAAGTGCAATGAAGTTGAGGTTCGGTATGACAATTAAAGTGCGACAGAACCACTAAAGCCAATCGATTGATTATTCTGAAAGGGTAGCCCTTCGCTAGGTATTGAGCCAATATGATTTAGCGTCGCTGGAAGTTGGAAGTTGAAGTCGGAACTGATAGTTATCTAGGTACACACGTAGCAGGCGCAGAGAGAGAATGCATGGTACCTACCTAGAATTAGATAAATAGAAGAGCTCCTTCACAGCTTCTTACACATGAACCCTAGACACGCTCAACCTCATCATTGATAATAACAATTCTTTAATTCAGATTGCATGAGCAGTTAGTTGATATTTCCCTTAGTGTGCCCTCACCTAAAGGAGCTCTACAAACAAGAAACGCTGGGTTCATACTACCGGGGTAGTCAATACATAGGCCACTTTCCCTCTCTCATTTCTTTTCTTAAGGAGCTGTTCCCGTATGTATGTCGCACCTCGTGCGCGAATAATTTCAAACTCCTCACGTAATAACACCATCGCTTCCTCGTATGCTGGGTCGGCCTCGTGGTAGTCACGAAGATCTTGTAAGAGATAGGTCTACCAACCCGGGGATTATCGGAGATAACCCTCTAAGTCCCCTTGGTATCAAGCCACCCACTCTTCACAGCACCACTAGGCTTATCTCGGTTCTCTGTATATCTCCATCCTTCACACATTGCCCGCCATTTCCAATGAAAGGGTGAACGACAACTCCCAAGGTTATGATATGTTGTAAATGTGATCATCAACCCATGAGCAGGACTAATCCACTCTACAGAAGTATCCCAGTCGGTCAGGCAATTTTTGCACCACCCTGTGATGTGAAGGCCCGAGATATCTACCGATCTTGAGCCGGTAGAGTGTACGTTGATGACATCCGAAAATACTTCCCAAATCATTGTGTGCATACAGACCTTGAGGTAACTGTGCAGGAGGTAACTTTGCAGGGCTCCGTTATCTGCTCCTGAATGCACCCAGCTGCGTGTGGCGGATAGGAAGAGCTCATCTCCCACCATTTTAGCTGCCCATGATTCTTTGTGGCATATCTGGGGCGCTATCTGCAGGTCCGCGAGGGAAAAAAATGTCAAGAGATCATTTTTAAAGGAGAACTGATAGTGCAAGGATGCATCGTCTGGGTGTCGGGTAGATGAGAACAGAGCATCTGGTTGCTGGTAGGATAAATGCGCTGGGGGTATCCCGTGCTGCGGGCCAAGAATTTGGTAGTTCGTCACGAGCCTTGCTCTGAAATAAGGCAGTGTAAAGGTCGAGCCAGGGAAATGTATCGAATGTAGAATAGAATGGTATAAAAATAAGTCTCTCTCCACACTATGCAGGTGTGTAGTGGGATTAATATGATTTGATCCCGTACCGTCTTTGTAAAATCTGACAAGTGCTTTGCAAAAATGACAATAGCACACCCAGGGTATGTCTTTTTCTAGGCGGCAAGAGAGTTCCTCCATGGTGGATGGCTTCAGCTGCTTCTTGCTCTTAACCCCCAAAAGGAAGAACAGATCCTTGCAGGTTAGGGCGAGGCAAATCTTGTCTCCGTCGGGGAGGTGATCTGAGACGGCTAGGACCATCTCGGCCGGTAATTCCAGTAGAGGGAACATGTTCTTGGGGGGTTCACCTCTCGAGGCTGCCTTCGAATGTGGCAGCATTAAAATATTCGAATCCGCCATGTCATAGGATAATGACACTTTCCCCGAGTAAATAAAGAGGAAAGAAGAGTAGGTAGAAAGCATCTGGCCCGAGAAATGAAAAGAACTCATAGATAATTATATCAAATTCTAGTACTAACTTTTGAATGATCCCCTCGGAAATAGGTTTAACTTTTGATATCATTGCACTTTAACTCCCCTAGAGTCAATTCCAAGGGGCTCGAGGTTTGTTAAAAGTTTCACGTCTTTTTACGTACTTTGAAGGCGTTGGTTATTGGAAACCTTGGTTGTGGTGGTTTGGCCATTCCGAGATATCAATTCAACAATGCCAGAAGTTAGGTCAACTTTATGAATCCTTGGATACCTAGGTATGCGTATCAACTTGACCAAAGGTAGGTATCAGTTAAAGTAGACCTTCCATACCGACGTGATTGAAAAAAGGGGCTTGCCTATTGAAAGTATGTCTCTTGGGCGACGTTAAACTTTTAGTAAGCAGCCATATACGCCGCGACGCTCTAGGTGCGGCAGGGCGCGGCAATCCTTTCAAATAAGTTATGGGCTAAATAACAAAGTCCTGGACATTATGATCAATGATGGAAACAACCATACGATGGTATCGGCCGAAACTCTTACGTCTGCTCATCGGTCAAAAAAGGGGTAATTTGCAACACCGCGCTACGTGAGGCGTTATTCTGTAATGGCTGAGCTCTCTAGATTGGAGCGGTTACCCACTAAATTTAGCAGAGAGATCGCTATTGTAGATCTTGGAAGTCTTAGCTTGAGGTCAATACAGCAATGAGTAATTGCTGACCAAATCGCGCACTTGGCAAGGGTCCTGGTCCCTAGGTAGATAGATATGCGAAGACTCCTTAGCTTGATGTGCTCTTCCGGCCGTGCCGAACACGGTACGGACATTTCTGATTGACCCACATCGGTGGTAGGTTAACTAGGTAGCATACGGAAGAGCAAACGGAGCTACTGTAGGTCCGGATATCTATCCATGTTGTGCTAAGAGATGCTGAGCTTCTTTCCCTTCCTATACCTTCCTAATCTGCTCTTATACCTGCCGTGATTGGTTACCGTTCCAGCTTCGGTATCATTAGCGTTATGCTAAGTAGCCTGTAAAAAGGAGACATCTAGAACTGCTGCAATCGCACTAGGCAAGGATATGGCCGGCAATCGTAGTCCATTCCTAACACCAAAGAGGATATTTATGAGCGTTCGACGCGACCTGGGCAGAAAGCCAAGGAAACATCTTCGTCCCGTTCTTGATTGTGTCCGCTTGGCCTCTCCGTAGCGATATCACGTCAATGCAAATCAGTGCCGATCTCTATGCCGCAGCGGTATCTCGGGTTCGTATTGTCGACGTATAAATCATCGACAGATCCCGCGATGAATTGATACTCGCCGACGTATGTTAGATACTTTCCCCGGTCTCGCTCGTCTTCAAAATGCGCATCTCCACTATCTTCGCCGTGGCTTCGGCGCCCCATATGGCGCTCGGCGCTCCGGGTTGCGCCAAACCGGCGGAAACCTCCCAGTTCTGCACGCGAATCACGCCAGCGCCCCCGCGGGAGGTGACCGAGGCGAGGTTCAACGAGTTCGCCTACCTGTTCCTGGTCAAGAAGGATATCTATGCGGCGTTCCACTATATCCTTCCCGAATACATCGTACGTCCACGAACCGACCGGTGAAATACCATTCTGCGCCAGACTTGATAGCTGATTATAACCTGCGTAGAACCATAACCCGGCGGTCGAGAATGGTGCTCAGAACGCGCTTGACTTCCTCGGCCCGATCTGGGCAAACCAATCCATCACCGTCTTGCGCACGAAGTTCGAGGGCCCTATGTCGTGGCTTAACTACCAGAGCGCGTTCGGTACGATCGTCGATCGATTTCGCTGGGAGGATGGCTGCATTGCTGAACACGTACGTGGTTGACCTGAAGTGCGGCGAAATAGCCAACGACTGACATCTTTTGACAGTGGGACCAAGGGGAGCAGTTTCCGGACTCTTAGAAGCTCTTATACTTGAGCACGTCGATTGCTTCGGACGAACTCAATGACTTGCATACGTCATGTCGCTTCCACCAACCTTGGGCTATAGAAGCACATCGTGAATCACCCTTTCTAGGCGCAGGTCCAACTTCGCCGTGTAGGTTTGGGGAAATATCTTCAATAGAGTTAGGAGAGAATTTAGAGGACTTATGAAGACTGAGTTCCTTGCATTCGTCATGCTTGAAGGCGCATAAATTTTGTGGAATATCATAATAACCTACCTTCACATGTGCCTGCTGTGCCGCAGCTTTGGTCCCCTTGATGCATCTTTGCCGTAATGCCAAGAGGCTCTTCGATCTCCACCACGAGTTCCATAACCACCACACCGCGATATGATTGCTCAGCAAAACGAGGATGGATACCACTCAAAATCTCCATTATAGCCTATGACACACAAATGCAGATCGCAGACATATCGCGACAATGTGCGAGTACAGCAGCAACTACATAGTAAGTGAAAGGAAATCGTGGACGATACTCAACGTGCTGAAGCAATGGACACAGAGAGACACAGAGAGGGGCTTTCACTGCCTATTTGGGGCTGAACGTCGATGTTAGCGCAGATTCGGTGTTTATTTTAGGGGCTGGTAGCTGAAGGGTCGGGAGTTGATCTCCTAAAATTACTGGCCCAGGTGCTTGTTACTTAGGCGAATTGCTTAATGTGACTTAGAAGCACTTTGCGGCTGAGTTTCAGGCACGTCTCACCGCACAGCGGGATCATTAGCGATGAGGCGTAGAATAAACTAATTCCCGTTTCACTGGTTGATTCAATCGGCGAAGTAATTTCATTGGAAGATTCGAACTACTCACTGTCCTCATTTGGATCAGAGCCACAGGCCTGCCTAGGTAGTCAAGCGTTCCTACTAGGAACTTCCTAGTACAAAACGTGGGTCTATTGCCAGCAATACAGCTGCAATGGTCTATGGTTGTGTAGATTAGAGGAGCCGTGAGAGCTTCTTTTGGCGTTGGCAGGAATAAAAACAGGGGTTTATAACGGGCTTCTTCAGCCCTAAAGGCGCCTTTCGTGGACCCCAAAAGCGACATTCGGCCAAGCAGGGTATGAATTGTGGAAAGCCAAGAGCCCTATGCAAGTTTCGTATAGATTAATTTGGATGTACCGACCATTGTTTGATGGGACTCTTTGGATTCTCAGATCCTTCATTAACCTCCCGCAAGCGCCTGATACGCGAGGGGATTACACTTCTTCTCTCTTTCGTCAATATACAGCGGCGACGGACCGCCTCGAATTCAACGCCAAACACCATGACGCGGTCGCTCAGATCGGCTGTCGCTGCGTTATGTCTTTGGGGTATAGCAGGAGTTAAGGGGGAGGACGGTGTAAACAAATTCACATATCCCGCGACGGATGGCCTCCTATGGAACTACCGCGACACAGTTATAACGTCATACGAAGGCAACATATCTGCGCCGTTGTTGTACACGTTCTGCAAGGATTCTAAAGGGACTGTCGAACGTGGGTTTTAGTGAATGTTGGAGACTGGATGAGCGATGCCGCTGACCAGAACGCAGAGGAACGGCTCGACCATGTTAATGGCCCTAATACGACGGCGTCGATAATTCTCGATTTCGTTGTTGCTGATCCCATAGCGACGTGCTGGTTCAACATCAGACTCGACGAACCCGACAGTCCTGTCGGCGCCAACAGCGCAAGTTTCCAGTACAACTCAACTGAGGGAGACCGGGTACGTTCAAGTTCATACCTATATACCTAGGAATCACGATCCAATGGAGTAGACGAAGGCATCTGGACTCCTTATCCGACACGGGCCTTTAGTGTGATTCGGCCAAAAGCTGGGCCGAAACGAACTTTAGGAGTTACCCAATGGCTTTCCAGTTTCTCGTCCGGATCGTCGACGGAAGGATGCAAGGGCTAACCGAAAGAATTACCAAATAGAAAACGTTTAGTCTCGCGCCGACCTCCACCTCCGCAACCAGTTCCCCAACTTCGTCTTCGACGCAATCCGGGGTCAGTACTACCAACCCCGCAATAGCGACGACAAGCGCGACGACCCCGTCCGCTAGCGCCTCCGCTAGCCACACCCCCGGATTATCGCCCGGGGCTTCGGCAGGCGTGGGCGTTGGGGTAGGACTAGTCGGCATAGCGATTGGCGCAGGGGCCGCGCTTTTCTTCTACCGACGGAGCAGGAAGCGGGGAGATGATGATGGTCAGGGGGAGATCGCGCCGACGAAGCCCGAGTTGATGGGCTCGTCGCCATATCCGCCGTCGGCCGGGGGTTCGCCAAACGTGTCGGTTTCAGAGTATCCCAAGTCGGGCTACTACGCGCAAGTCCCCAATAACGAGATACACGAGGCGCCCGCGTTCCAAGACGGCGTTGTTAAGAGCGAGTTAGGAGCGCCGCACGGCCCGTACAACGATGCAGCCGCGGAATTGGAACAGCAGAAGTTTCGCGGTACACCACCTGTTGTTGCTAGGCAGGAGATGGAGGCGGCGCCTGTGATACATGAGATGCCGTAGAGCATAGAATAGGGACGGTTATGGTCGCATATTTTAGAAAACTTATAATGTATTAATAAGGAAGTGAAAAAAAACGAGATTGTCTTCGTCAGACAAACTTACCTTACCCAGCTGGTTTTACTATGTATGTATGTATAATTGGACGGGTCTTGGTTTAATTTGCCGGCGGTGAGAAAAGGACTGGGCAGGCAGGCAAGTATGTAGGCACCTACTACGTAGTAGGGACGTAGATAGGCTGGTAGGTAAGCAAATATATTCGCTACCACCGTATCAATTATCCATCGTTTGACGCACGTCGGCAGCGTGGGACGTAGCCGAGGTCATATAGCTGACTGGCCGGGAGCTTGCCGAGACCGGGAGTACGTATGCGTATTAACATTTAGGGTATCATTCACCAAGCTCAAGCATCTTTCGTCTAGCCTATAGTTAGACAGAGAGCTTGCGGAGGACGGGTACGTGCACATGGTTGCAAGGGGACGGGTTACGCTCGTGGATCCTTTCCCCAACTTCCAAGGTTTCCCTGGATATGTAGTGTGATCTTCAGCCCATATGCACGGGTGTTCTTTGTCCTGTTCTGTGCTGTTCTCCCCCCCAACGCGGAGATTGGAGATTTCAGGCTATGCGCGTCATTTGCAACCAAGAGGGCAGCAAGCCATGAAAGCCCTACCGAGCCCAGTAACCGAGTCGCGGGGGGCGAGAATGGAATAAAAGCATTGTGGTTTCCCATTCTTAGATTCTTTGATTGAATCTATTCCCCGATCGCCAACTTCGATCTCCCCACGTACCAACTTACCTATGCTACGTACTTGCCGCGGAGTTAAGGATTCAGATAGGTAGAGAAGCGAAAAAAGAAAAGCCATGGCAGGCTGGTATTCTCTTGGGATCGCCTTCTTCGCCGCCATCGGCACATTTCTCTTCGTACGTTTGTGTACTTCCTTGCTTCCCGGGCTCGATTCTGAATAGCTTTGTCATTAACTAGTGCTCTCTATTATAGGGATTTGACACGGGCATTGCTACTACCAGTAAGTTTCTTACAGAAAGACGGAGATAAAGTCTAAATGCCACCAAGAATGAGTCACGGGCTAAATCTTAACCAGCCATCGCTCACGAAAGCTGGATCGATTACATGCACCACCCCTCCAATGGACTCACCGGTGCGGTAGTAGCCGTGTACATCGCCGGCGAAGCGATCGGCGCTCTCACCCAAACCTTCATAGGGGATAGGCTAGGTCGTATCCGGTTCATGCAGCTGCTCTGCATCATCGTCACGATCGGCACCACGATCCAGACCGCCTCCGTCAACATCGGCATGTTTCTCGCGGGCCGCGCCATCGCCGGCATCGCGGTCGGCGGCATGGTCGGCACCGTCCCGATCTACCTCAGCGAGATCTCGGCGCCGGACCAGCGCGGGCTCATCGGCGGCATCTCGGGTTGCGGCATCGCCTTCGGCACCATGGCGTCCAACTGGGTCGGCTTCGCCTGCTCGTACGCGCCGTACGGCGCCGTGCAGTGGCGCCTGCCCCTCGGCATCCAGATCCCCTGGGGCGTCATCATGTTCGCGGGCCTGTCGACCTTCATGCCGGACTCGCCGCGCCAGCTGCTGCGCAACGGGAAGGTCGAGGCCGCGCGGCGCGAGTTCGCCCGCGTCCGCCGCGACCTCAAGTCCCACGACGAGGAGTTCGCGCTCATGCGCGCGCAGATCGAGTTCGAGATGGCGCGCGAGATCAAGTCCTACCGCGAGGTCTTCACGCTCTTCGGCCGCCGCGCGTTCGTCTCGATTATCGTGCAGACTATGACGAGCTTGACGGGGATCAATGTTATTCAATACTACCAGACTACGTTAGTGCTGCTATAATAATCCTTTGCAGGTTTTTGCTGATCGTGTACTCATGAACTTACAGTTTATACAAGTCGTTGGGCATACAACAGGAAACGATTCTCGCGCTGGCTGGCGTGTACGGCACTGTGGCATTTATTTCGAATACTATCACGACGCGGTTTTTGACGGACCAGTGGGGTCGTCGGAAGATGATTATATCGGGCACGGCGGGTTTAATATTGATCATGATATACTCTGCGGTGATGCAGCGCGAGTTCCAGAACAGCAATAACAGGCTTGGCAAAGGTTTCTCAGTCTTGGGTATCTACCTGTACGTTGCGTGGTACTATGCCATGGTTAACAGCACAACGTGGCTCTATGGCGCCGAAGTGTTGCCCATCGCGCTAAGAAGCAAGGTGATGGGACTCGCGGCGGCGGGTCACTTCATCGTCAACGTCGCCGTGACGGAAGCCGGGCCCAGCGCGTTCGCTAACATCGGCGAGAACTATTATTACGTCTTTGTCGGGTGCACGTTGGTCTTCCTGATCATCGCGTATTTTTACTTCCCGGAAACGCGCCGGAAGACGCTCGAGGAGATTGCGCGGGCTTTCGGCGATAAAGTTGTGCTCGTTGACGAAGGTCCGATCGATGGTGAACACGTAGATGGGCAGGACGAGGAAACGGGCAGCGTCGTGAAGGGTGAGAATAAGGCTACGGCGTCCACTACTTCGACTATTCCTCCTAGCCACGGGCCCACCCCGTAGTAGTAACTCTAAATCATCTATACCTATCTAAGAGAAGTTTGAATCATGATAATTACACGAGAGCGAATCCTAATGATGACATAGTACATCGAAATCGTAATAAACACCCAGGTATGGAGTCTCACTCTAGTGCTTTCGGCTGCCATGTGCCAATGTCATTGTATTGGACTGTGCGCTTTACTATCCCCTATACGTCCGCCAATGGACGGTAGGCTCCAATTACACAGCAAGGCTATGTTGTCATCTATCTATTTGCTAGATATGTATCTACATCCACTTCTCCATTCCCTTTCACTTTCAAACATTGCACATAGGAAAAAAAAAAGGTCAGACTAAGCTTAATTATACCATGGAACCACAACCCCCCCCTATTCCAAAATCATTTTGTCGGCAGAGTGGAATGACCCAAACCACCGAGAACCTCGATGTGAAGTTTGTCATTGGAATAGCAACTCTCTAGAGTCTTCTGCTATGTGGGATCTCTTTGACAACACGTTCGGGCAACTTTCTACCATACATAGGTAGGTAATTGTACTTGCTGCCGTCTTGTAGCTCTTGCTGTTACTTAGGCCCCAAACCTCTTCAACGGGGGAATCCCTCCAAGTCGAGACGAGAGGGTCTATGTCTCAAGCGAAAAAGACGGAGGACTTTTCATTATTCTTTCTTCCAAGGGTCGCGGAAGGGTGGTTCTATTTGCTTCGGGATACTCCAGCTACCGCCAGTACACAATGATACCAAATCATATGCCTCTTTCTTCTGGGCAAAGACCAAATCGAACCTCATCAAGAATGTTGTCAACCGAAGAGCACCGACAGATCTTCTGTCCCTACGCGTCTTATTAATGTCAAATCGACTGGCTTCGGCGGAGACGTTTATCTCGACGAAAACGGACCTAGCGGATCCCGATATATCGCGCTCAGTAATTGCTGGGTATCTGATATACCCACCTGCATAACAACCGAGTCTGCATTGCCCGACTGTAAGAAACGTATACTATGGGGCATTCTACCCAAAACTATCCAGTAAGCCTTGATATTTACCCGCCAACTGAAGATTCAATATTTATGGGTCGACCGCCTCTGCATAATGCAAGGAAATGAGGAAGATTGGGTGCGGGAATCCAGGCGAATGTTCCATGTCTATAGGAACTCCTATGTAACCCTAAAGGTTAGGGAGGGGAGCTAGAGAGAGAGAAACCCAAGTTTCTCGATCCTTCTACTTTCGAAGAGGGGTCGGCTTCATAACTATTAGCACCATGCTAGATAAAAGTGCCGGAACTTCAAAACCCGGCATAGAACATACTCTTCTCGTTTATGTTGCAGTCGCCAGCGATAGAGATGATATTCTGAGGATAGTGATCGAACTATTTAAAAGTGTAGAAATTATTTATGATTATTTTCGAATAGGTAGATAAAAAAGTATAGATCATAGGTCCCCTTTAGGACATTATCCCTTTAGTTGGCATAAGACTACAGCTCCACGACGATTAGTAACTGTACTTCCATCAACCCCTGAGCTCCACTGGCACCCACAAAATCCTACTTCTAGTTGGTTAGACGCCTCTGAAGATCGCTGTGAGAGCCTCAACGCTTACAGGCTTGAGAGGCCTGCGCTATCGCCGATGTACAGTTACCGGTTTTATGGAGACTGTAGTCTTATGCCAACTAAAGGGATAGTTTTTTGTTTGTATTGTAATTGAAACGCCAAAAAGAGAAGATAACCTCAACTCTATCTACCTAATCAACGATATTACAGATTATCTTCTTCCTGCTCAATATATTCCAAAGCCAACATTCCTATGTGGCTCATGGACCTCTCATACAATTATCATTTGAATAGGCTCAGTTCGACTTTTTGACACTACGTTGCCCTGATTCCGAGCGAAGCTATCGGATAGCAAGTTAGTTGATTACCGGTAAACAAGGACTAATGTAAAAGTAAATCGTTTTAGTAGTCAAAACTTACATAGTACTCGACCCCAAGAGTATTCAAAAATATCGCCATCCATCCCGACGTGCCGAAGACAAAGTTAAGAGCGGCTGAGACTTGGACTATGTTCTTTCTATTAAACACGGATGCGAGCACGGCTATATGTCGGTTGGGATCCTCTCCAGAGAAAAAGGGGGCGCAGTCTGGATATGCTGCCAAAGTCGCATTTTCACCCCTTAACAAATAATTGATCTTGTCGCACGGCTCAACATAATAGAAGCCCCCTATAAGAGATATGATCACGACCGCTGGCATCATCAGTATTCTCATAGTAACGATAGAGCCGCCCTAGACGGAAAGGAGTATTAGCAATCCATCTATATATCATACTTGAGATCTCTATCGATGGGTAGGAACACACATAAACCCAAGCGCGTAACATCCAGGCTCGATGCTCTGCGATCTTATGCTTCTTGGCGCTAATGCAGCCACGAGTCAACGCAGTGAGGAACATAACACCTAGCAATGCCACCATGGATTGCGTATCGACACCGCCGCCCTGAGAGCGTGGCGCGATCATCACGGCAGTAATAGCGCCGGGGACCGAAAGGGAGACTGTGATCCAGCCAAAAATCCTATGCAATCCCATCGCCTTGCGTCGAACCACAGGGATGAATTGAATACATGCTAACAAACTAGCGGGCAGGATAACCGCTAGATGCGTGATGATTCCGATTTTGTAGTACTCCTGATTCAGGTAGTAGAAACACTCGCCGGGCACCGCGAGATCACGACCGCCAGGGACTGAGCTGCCGCAGAAGGTGCCGTAGAAATCCAGATACCTCAAGCGCGACAAACTGAAGCCGGAAAAGATACCGCCGAGAACGAGCCAGAGCCAGAAGTTATACCCTTTGGAGAACCCCACGGCGCCATAGAGCTTCTGAGCTAACGCCGTTAGGACGTTCTCCGGAGTCTTAGTCGACGCCACCATTACTGAAAATAAAAACACAAAAGATTTTAAGGAAACAATGTCAATGACAATGTAGGTATTGTGAACAAGAATTGCACCTTGAGCGCCGATAATAAAAAGAATTTTACAACTTCGCAGATCCTCTACTTTATATCAAGTAGAACAACATGGCTTTGGGATGAAAAACTCAACTACACCCCTTCTACAAACGTACGATGCGCTGACGTGGAGAGCTTTGCGAGAACGAGAGCTGGTTCCTGGGAAGGCCTGTAGCTGGCGCGGCGCGGAGGAATGGGTTGAGCTGGACCGGACCAATGATGTGGCCGGGATTGATCATATGGCCAGGGGTGCATTCGCTTTCGGATAGGATCCGTCTCTGACAGGTCAAAATCAGCGCCCCTTTAAACCCTGTCGCCGACTCACTTGCCATAAAAAGATACGGACCTCAACCACTGTAATTGTTGGGTACTACCTACTAGGTAGGTACCTATGTAAACGCCCTAATCCGCTGCAGGTGATAACCAAAAGTTCAATATTTTTGATACCTTGTGTCTAGGTAGGTACCTATGTATGCCGATACGGAGTCTGCATGTTCTTATGTCCGGCTAAGGCAATGCATAGAAAATTATCGCCGAATGATCCGGCATCCAAAATACCTGCTAGATTACGAAACGTGATCATTTGCGTTATGATTCTTGTGATATAGGAAGAAGAAAGAATGGCGTGTGTCTAAACCATTTGCGATACTTGAAAGTGTGTGTGTGCGATAGTAGCAGCTATTATTACCAACCCCCTTTTTGAACAAGGAGTTATTCTTCAACTAATAGCTGTCTACAGTCAAGGATTAGAACACCTAAGCACCCACAAAAGTCGGTTCAGGGCACTGTTGGTACAAATCATAAGAGGCAAAATAGACATAAGTATCGTTCATAGTCTATTCTATATCTAATTCATTAGGTCATATGAGCTATATTTTGCCTCCTGATCCCTCGCTGTAGACGGCCGCTACCCAGTTAAAGGGGTATTCTTCAAATTGTACGGTAAGCATCCTATCATACAGCTCAAAATGGCTGGCGCCACCACCAAGTTTAAGTTCGATCATCATGGTAAGCTTATCTCATTCAATTTTATATATTAAACAACTCTTCTCTCATCCTCTTAGACGGCACAAGTAACCTTCTTTACCAGAGGATCAACCAGGTTACACCAAACAATGTTACGCCTCCCCCTATTTTACAATGAATAGATGCAATAGGAGCACTTACTTAGGTAATTAGAGACTGTGAGCAAATTTATAAATGATTATAATCTCTGGGCCAGTGTCTTTAATGACCTAGGTGAGTAATACTCGAGGTAAGATTGTATTTAGGTGATAGATGATCGCCCATATGTTCAGCTTCTCAAGAGTAAGCATGAAACCCCCTATTTTCTAACCACATTTTATATACTGCGTTCAATTAACAGAACCTAGCAGGAACCTAGGAATCGTATCAGTATTTTTGTTTGGAATATTGGCTAGAACATAAAGTTGCTCGATTCTATAGGTACATAACCGAGATCATAGTAGCCATTATTCACCGCCCGCAAACGATCATGAGAAATTTACATAGAAAAAAGCCTTAGATTGCTTCTCGCAATGACCTCACTTCAGCTGGTACGGGGCATGTTTTTGATTAGTCTGCGTCAATTACAGGCTGAAGGAGAAAATCGTACAATGAGAAGCTAAAAGCCCAATCAGGAAAACAGGTTCTACGTAAGCTAATAGAACCCTTACGGTTTTTGAACCTGCAGTAGTTCAGCCTATCCTGGTTTGGCGAGGCCCAGGGTTGCGGTCTCATGCTCGACGAAACCTGGGGACTTAGCCGCAACATCTTCCGGACAGAGTTAATTGGGTGAAGGCTATCTATATATGGTTCTAATTTATGAACGTCGTCGTAAGATTTGATGGAGATAATATAATGTATGCATCCATGAATAATTCGAGCACTACGAATATACGGGCAACTACTCTCATCCTCCATTATTTAACTATTTCGTTATTGGGGTTACGTGGACTCTCGGCACGGGTAATTGGAATGCAACGTGACCTGAATATTGAACATAATGAACTGAAAATATAAGGATGTCTATGTCAGCTTCTGTAAGCGTTACAAGAGACCTAGGTAGTCATTCGCTGTCGATGTTTGAATGACTTCCGGAGCCTAAGTACCTCGAAAATTCTCAAGATGCTCGCCCCTTTCTTCTTCGTTCTCAGTGCTGTGCCATTGAGTTTGGGGCTCTCGTCAATTAAAGCTCCTGCTTCAAATGAGCAGAAAGAAGACGAATGTACCACCATAACTAAGCGTGTATCATGGTTCGTGTTCCTCCGCCTCTAGCCAATATTGAGATGCTCATGATGGTTGAAGGAGAAACCTTACGTCAACCGAGAAGTCGGACTACCTCAAGGCGGACCTGTGTCTCATGTCGTCCCCGCCGAAGGATGGCATAGAAGGAGCAAAGAACAGATGGGACGAGTTGCAGTATATCCACATCGTTCAAACCGACTACGTCCATGGCGTCGTAAGTCGAAACCAAATCCGCTTGTATTCCACCATCCTTCTTAACTCTCATCAACTAGGGTGCATTCTTGCCTTTCCACCGATACTTCATGAAGGTCCATGAACATGTCCTCAGGACCGAGTGTAGTTACACCGGACCTCTGCCGTAAGAGATTAAACCGTCTCCTATGCGGAGTCTAACAGGCACTGATAGTTAAAGGTACTGGGATGAACCTGCCGACATTGGGAACATCATTGGATCTCCCCTTTTCGATATCGAAACAGGATTCGGAGGCAACGGCACAGGAACTCGTGGCTGTGTTGCCGATGGACCATTTGCCAACCTTACCCTACGGTTCCAGGCCGACCTGACAATAAGCGAGTATTGCCTCTCGCGATACCTCAACGATCGTGCGCTCTCTATGGCGACCAAAGAAAACGTTGACAAGTGTCTTGAGAGAGAAACTTATGTAGAGGCGTGGAACTGCTTGGAAGGGCTCCCTCACGGAGCCGGACACGGAGCTGTAATGGGAACTGTAAGTCTCCTTACCATGGATTGCATCAATCCGCGAGAAGATCTGCACACTAAAGATACTAGATGATCAACCCTTTTACATCGCCTGGTGATCCCATCTTCTATCTCCATCATGGTTATCTTGATAAGCTGTGGTGGGACTGGCAGTCGCTGAACTTGACGACGCGGTTGACTGAAATAGGAGGCAACAACACGGGTCATGGCTTTGGTCCCGGCTTCGGTGGGGCTCCAGGTGGAGGTCCCGGTGGCGGCTTTCCCGGCGGTAACGGTAGCTTTCCGTTCCCTGGATTCCCGCCATCTAATGGGTCGGATCCCTTCCCATTTCCCGACGGGAATAAGGAGGTCAACCCAGCGTTCACGGACTACTTCAACGATGGCGGAAATGTGACGACGTTGAACCATACTCTGTGGTCGGCAGGTGTCATGGACAACGTTACGATTGCGGATGTCATGGACCCAAGTGGTAAATTCATGTGCACCGAATATCTATGAAGTGTGTAACCATTCGGGCCAAAGGTGGTTGTATGTATTTCTAAGTGTTGCACCTAAAGTGCGCACACTGCTAAGTTTACCTAAGCTGGGCAGGGCCCCACGTATTCTTGATGACTCATCTACTAGCCCATGGATTTACCGTCTTTAATCAATTTCTGTGTGAGAGATGACGTAATCAAGGAGAGTAAAGGAAAACTTTTTAGTTTCAGGTTGAACTTTGGAACCTAAGGGATACAACATCATTTACTCCCTCGACACCATGAACGGACACCTGCTTGCTAAGTTTGCGACTGAAGTGGTGACACTGTGGTCAACCGTTTACAGGTGAAAAAAGGATGATTCATGTTGAATGAACCAATTCCACACTCGCACTTGCGCCATATACCTACTCTCCTTGATTAACCATAGAGATGCCCGGAGTGCCACAACTGTTGAAGTTGAAAAACCAATATAAAGCACGTGGAGAGAAAAATAGCATGCGATGAGGGACATAATATTAGCCAATCTCCCACCTACGTCGAAACCCCTCGTCTTTTGCCATGAGGCGGCCAGCTGTTGTTCAGCTCGTCGTCTAGCCTCGCGAAGGGTCAGTCATCAATGGCCTAAAGCCGAGTATGATACCCTCGCAGCCCGGCGGGATATGAGACTCGTAATTGGTGATGATGACGCTCGTCAACTCGTAGCCGGGGGGCGCGCCGCTTTTCTTGATCGTGGCATGCCTCGCATTCCCATTTTCGATTGAACGACCTTTATTGGTGACAAACTTGACTTTACCTAGCTTATGGCCGTACGTGACTTCGAACGATTTAATCCATTCATCGGCCCAGAGGTCGAGCTGTTTCGGCGCGCCCCCGGTGCTGGATCCCTGCCAACTACCCCATGACTGGCCCTGCTTGATCTGCATGCCGTCGATATCGTCCCATGCCCGCACAATCAACGACGTGATGGGCGAGCTGCGGTTGTCGACGCGGGGCGGCGTTGAAGGGTCCCATGAGGAGTAATACGCGTAGCGGCCGAATGGACCGTAGAATATCTCACGGTCGAGGTTTTTCATGGCGGACTCTGTCATGGACGCGCCGGTCATGAAGGGCCAGAGCTCGGCGTAGTTGAGGACGTTCATGATCATGCTTGTATCGTACTCGGCGTAGGCTCTGTACTTGCCGGCATCTGCGCCCCCTTTATCGCCGACATCCTCGTAAGGCTTTACTTGGTAGCGCCCTTGAATGTAGATTTTCTTTGCGTAAGAAACGTAGTCCACATCGTCGTTGCTATCCTTGGGGCTCTTCCCGGATTCAAAAAGGTCTGCATAAGCTTCTTTCCACGTGTCGATTACGTTGGCTGGTATGCCCAACGCTGGGCCTGCCTTGATGGCATTCTCTAGGCAAGACTTCTGTCGGGATAAATCCTTGTCATCCGGCATTCTGTAACCTTGTTGGGGTGATGTTTTGGCTCTGAACTGTGCCTCCATGGCTTTGATATTCTGAGGAGAATACCCCCACTCTCTGCCCTGCTTAATACCGTCGACTAACAACGCAAGATATATGTTAGCCACAAGAGCAAATAAGGGAAGTGAGACCACCGCGAAACGGTCGAGCTGAAACTGCGGAAGCGCGGCCAAGACCACGCTGCTAAATGCGACGTGAGAGGTTTGAAGAGTTCTCGCCGCTTGCTCTTTATCGGCCCCCGTCGCATTTTTGAAGTCTTTCAAATACTGGCGGTAGACTTTCATGTTTTCCTGGATGCCCTTGATCCTCTGCCTCAGGACCTCCAAGTGGTATTGCTCAATCTTGGAGTCGATCAGTTTCTCGATGCGCTCGCGTAGGCCCTCCCAGATTTTCTCCATCGACATGGGCGAAGAGAAAAAGATTGCGCCTAGGAGCGAGGTAAACGCCCCCAGGACGCCTCCAATAACGGGGATGAGCTCAGCGCCCAATGCGAGGATAGAGATGACATACTGGCCGACTTCATCACCGTCGTTGAAATCTATGCTTATGCCGCTTTCCGCGGCTTTCATCACTTTGGTGAGAAGGTCATTGATGAATTTGTCGTTGACATTCATTTTGGAGTGTCTTGTACTCAAGATAAAAGGGCTGAGTGAGCAGTGATTTCTTGCATAAGACTTTTAATGATAATTAGTTGGAGAGAGTGTATATAAGTGGTTGGTAGAGTCACTTTTCTGGCCGTGGGAAGAAGGACTGGTCGAACTCCTTTATACTTAACGGGTACTCCATCTCCTGTTTGTAACAGCACGCTCTCCGCAGTAGGCACATCCGTGTGCTAAGAATCGATTCATACTGCTAATCTACAGGTTTACGGACCTACAGATCTACAGTCCTATTGGTTGACTGATATACTGCATTTTACAGATCTCTACAGATCCATTGATCTACTAACCTTGGTGTAGCAGCGTATCACTAGTGAGTTGTTCTACGGTTGGTTTTGATGCCGTTGATGCGTGGATAGTGTACTAGCACTAGTTTGTGACGCTTCCTCGTGCCTTCGGCACTGCACTTTAACTAGAAAACGGGCAGTAATCAAGATATACCAAAGGTTAGCCGATGTACTGAAATTTGGTGTAGTTCTTATCTTATGAAGATCCTTACTTTTCTCAATTTCTTGTGTGCTTATTAGAGAGATACATGATAGTATAAGAGACGTTCTATATATAAGAGAAGTATCGTCGTTAATCGCTGCCCGTTTTACTAGTTAAAGCGCAGTGCCGAAGGCACGAGGAGGAGTCATAAGCCAGTGCTAGTACGTGTGTTGGTGTCTGTGTATGTGTATGTATGTGTGTATAAAATTCGAATGTTGCAAAGTGGTACTTAGGTTGTACGGAACTTCAATTTATCGTTGACCTTGTTGTCGCATAGACCACCTGGCTGACAATCTACCTAGAGAACAGGTATCTTTTAGTCTGCCAGCTACCTGCCAGCTACCTTATAAACGAGTAACGCTTGTTGTCGTATCTAATAATTATTTAGTTTTCTAATGACTCTCTAGCTTTGCTATTTCCTGCTACGAGGTAATTAACCTGGTTATCGTTACACTTATTTAGCTGATGTTGTACCTAGGTACCTAGTTGCTACCTAGTACTCGTATAGCCTTGAGGCAGGTGTATCGGTGGAAGGATTAAAAGAGAGGATACTTGGCTTGTATCTGCTGTGTCGAAGCTGGGATAAAGTAGTGCGCTAGAGTTGCGGCACTATCAGTACGTAATGTCTCAGATAGTTGGCTACAACTGAGCACTTTGAGTTCCATTGTGCACATTAGACTGCCAATTGAACATGTTTGAGAGTATGACGGCAAAGTGATGCTCATTGAGATAATGCGTCTAGAACAATTGGTTGCATCATACATTATACGGCACTGCTCTGTATTACTGTTATTATTGGGTTCCAATCACCACTTTCGATTAGATACATCGAGGATCAGAGATACCAGTATCAGAAGTCTCGTATGTGAGAGCTGGAGACCGCAATGCTCCTGGGTGGTTTTATAAGGACCTGTTCGCAGTTTGGCCCTAAGGCCTTAGACAAAGGGAGGCTTATGTATGCATGCCGTGTTCTTTGGCAGGGGTTAGTTTAGAGCTTCCTGTGCAACAAGACATATATTTACTAATCCTGTAGTTAGGCCTTGTGATATTAAGGAACGTTTAAAGCTTATAGTTTAGTCTGTAGAATGTATTTATCCTGTGTTTTTCGTACTATATTGGATCTCATCTGCCCTCTCCTGTACTCATGTTCCTTCCACTGTTGAGAAGTTGATATCCATTTTCTTTCCTTCTCATGCAGAGAAACTAATCTGAGGTTGAATGGGGAGAGGACCTTTTCTAACGGTATCATATTTAAGCAGAATTTGATTATATTGAGAGAAATACACAGGAAATCAAACAGCATATCCAAAGTCAAATAACTTAAAACATCTTCAACTGACAAACCCCTATTCCAATTGTGGAGTCATTCAGGGGGATGCTTTGCTTAGTCATCAACTTCGTGCTCCGGTCGATTTAAGGTACTTCCGAAGTAGGCAACTCCGACCACGTCCTACGCCCTTTGAGTCTTTGAGCACCGATCCTTCCCCGGAGTCAATGACTTGCTGTTCGGCGAATCAGTTACCTTGAGAATAACGCCTTCACGATACGATAAGATGCGCCTGGCCCGTGCCCTGCATCGACATCTATGGACCCCTGCTGCTCTTGCTGACCGTATTTATGGCCGACCAACCTTTGATGATGATCAAGATGCATTTTCCTGTTCTTCTCTTACTTGGGGTGTAGTAGAAATATCTTGGACCAACTTACTAAATATAATCACTCAACCCTGGTGCGCATGAGAACGTGATCACGTACCCACCAGTGCTCTGAGAAATTTTCAAGCTGAGCCAACATGCAGCTCACCAGCTTGCTGCAAAAGCCCTCGGGCTATATTCTGGCCAGTGTACTCTGCTCGCTGGGAGGGTTCCTTTTCGGCATCGATACTGGTATCATTGGCCCCGTCACCGTAATGAACGATTTCACCAAATATGCTGGTAATCCGTCCCCTACAATCCACGGTCTGATCGTATCGTCTATTCTCATACCTGCGGCAATTTCGTCCTTCTTCGCCGGTAGAGTTGCGGATGCGCTTGGCCGCCCCCTCGGAATTGCCATCGGCTCTTTCATCTTTGGCACCGGAGCTGCTCTCGAAGGCGCCTCCGTGCATATTGCTATGTTTATTGTCGGCCGCGTCGTCGAAGGAATTGGTGAGGGGCTTTATCTTAGCATGATGGTGGTGTAAGTTCGCGCCTCATATCCGCCTAGACATTAACTTAATTCTAAGTCATCCCGATCTAGTTATATCTGCGAGATTTCACCCCCTCGCTACCGTGGCGCCCTAACCACGGCGCCCCAACTACTCACTACTCTTGGCTTGGTCACCGGCTTCTTCACATGCTACGGCACCGCTAATATGCAGTCGTCATTCTCCTGGCGTCTACCCTTTATCCTGCTGGCTGCATACTCGGGCGCCTTTTCCGCCTCAGTCCTCATGTGGCTCCCGCCCTCCCCGCGATGGCTCACCCTCCACGGGAAGACCCAAGAAGCCTCCGCGGCCTGGGACAAACTTGGCGTTGCTGCCGCTGACAGGGAGAAGATCCTAGACCAGTACGACGCTACCGTCGTTGAAAACGCCATCCCGGACGCCAGTGGCAACATCAGCGCCGGCCACGTCGCGTCGACCACGATCGCCGTCCCGAAGTCGAAGAAAGCCGAGATGCTCGACGTGCTGTCTTCGGACGCTCGCCCTCGTCTGATTCTAGCCGTCTTCCTCATGGGTATGCAGCAGCTAAGCGGCATCGACGGCGTTCTTTACGTAAGCCCACCCCCTTTTCCCCCTCATCCTCCCCCCTCCATCACTTCACCCCCAAACTAATAACTCCCCCAGTACGCCCCGCTCCTCTTCCAACAAGCCGGCCTATCCTCCAACGAATCCACCTTCCTCGCCTCCGGCGTCTCCGCGATCCTGATCTTCGGGGTAACCATCCCAGCGACCATCTTCGCGGACCGATGGGGGCGTCGCCTGAACACGATCCTCGGCGGGCTAGGCATGACGTTGACCATGTTCCTCATGGGCGCGCTGTACGCCTCCTCGTCGGTGCACGCGGGGACCGGGGCCGGCCGCTGGGTCGTCATAGTCTGCATCTACGCCTTCGCCGTCATCTACTGCGTGTCGTGGGCCGTCGGCATCAAGGTGTACGCGGCGGAGATCCAGCCGCAGCGCACGCGCGCGAGCGCCACCTCCATCGCGCACGGCAGCAACTGGCTCAGCAACTTCCTCGTCGCTCTCGTCACGCCGACGCTGCTCGCGAAGACGAGCTACGGCGCGTATTTCCTGTTCGGCGGCTGCACGCTCCTGACCGCGGCCGTGTGCTGGGTCTTCATGCCCGAGACGCGGGGCATGAGCCTCGGCGAGATTGACGAGGCGTTCGTGACGAAGAGCGGTCTGGCTAAGGTTAGCGGGGTGAGGGAGTGGGCGAGGTCGTTGCAGGGAAGGGTTCGGTGGAGGAGGCCGGTTGCGGTGGATGTGGATGCTTGAATGTATAGGTACGTAAGAGCCAGGAAAGGGTCTTGTATTGGATTTTCCTGTCGAGTGCCTAGGTAGGTGGCCAGCGTGCTAGATATATACGAACCGAGATTAGTCATAGCCATATGTAGTGCCTTACCCTGGTTGGTGGGTGGACTTTGAAAGCATCCCTCAGAAAGCAAGTACTCATCAATCAAATTAAGAGGTCACTTAATCCATGCTACAATACTTTTACTTGCTAGTGAAGAGTCTCTCACTCATATTGACAAAGCGCATAATGGTATTCGAACCAATCATGGATGAATTCAGTAGGGTTCTATTGAATACATATAGCTCGTAGCGCTATGTCCATGAAGGTAGGACTGAAAGGGGGGTTTCGTGCGTGTGCGCGGAAGGGAGGAGTTATGTACATGGTATGAAGTGGAACGTAGCCGTCTCGGGTTTCCTATCAATCCTCAACCCGTGACAGACTTATCCATATGCCGCCCTGTCTCCCTCGTCGACCTTCGTCCCGTCCATCCGGTTATATGCAAATCGTGCCAAGCATCATTAGCGAAGAAAAGGAAAAGCCAATGAAAATAGGGAGTAATGCCCGCCATGCACGGAGGAATAGGTATTCGTAGACATCCCTCCCAGAAAACGCCCCCATACCACCACGATAAGCCGCACGCCTTCCCCCCTGCCTAGGTCCAGAGGGAAATGAAAATAAGGTAAAAAATAATATCCCGTCAATAGGGTATAGATTAGGGATTGTAAGAATTATTGAAATGCGCCGAAAAAGGTTGCGAACCCTACAGAGTTATAGAATTGGTCCTATCCTCGTTCTATACTCTCTGGGCTCATCATGCCGGTATCATCCTTATCCGTCTGGCTATTGTTGCCTTGGCTCTGTGTACTTCCGACGCGTTCCATCGGCGGGGCGAGAGGCAGAGAAGCGACGTTCGTTGGTAGGGTTCCTCCATTCGGCATAGATATACTCTTTGCCTTCTTCGGACCGCCTTTCTCAGGACTCTGATTTGCTGCCTTGCTGGCTTCGGCTGCCTGGGCTTCCATTTTCTTTTTCTTTTTGTTGATGGCGTTTTGTTCCTTGGGAGGGCGCTTTTGAGGAGACACGATCTTGCCAGTTGCACCAAGACGCGGTCGAGGTCTTCGCTGCTTGACAGGCAAGTCTTCATCTTCCACCAAAGGTGTGTCGCCATTAGCGTGCAGCTTAGCGAGGAAGAAGTTCTTGACAAGTCCGATTTGCTCCTGGATGTTCTCCTTGGTAACGGGGTCGGGAGGAGCAAGATCTTCGAATAGGACAGCATCAGAAGGACCTTGAGTCGGGTTCTGGACCTGGTACTGGTTGCGAACCCTAGACTGGAGGAGATGGAGAGGAACAGAGAGCATGCCACCCATCTCACCAGCGAGGCCAAGTTCCTTAAATCCAAAGAAGTCCTCGCCCAGTTCTTCAGCGAAGTCACCTCCGATAAACTGTTCACTCCCGTCGTCAAACGCGGCGGCACCGTCCGGACCTCCTGATTCCATCACAGCAGGACGTAGCAGATCGCCTAAATGTGCCTTCATCCGTTCGTGGATACCAGTGAGCTTATGGCCGAATCTCTCAACTTCATCCTTGGCATAGCTCTCCAGACCCTCAATAGAGTAGCCCATTTCAGACAAGGTGTGTAGTAAGGCCTCCTCGTCGCTGTATCGGGGTTGGGCTGTATAACCACGTTGAACATACTCTGGAGACGGGTCTTTCATTTCGATCTCCGTATAGTTCTTGAACGTAGTGACAATCTTCCCGAAATAATCAGCGGCGATGTCAGTGATGGCGTCCATCGCAGACGGCTGAAACTCTTCAAAGCCTGCATGGTAAAAGATCTTTGCAACGGATCGTTGCAGACCTGCTCTGCAAACCTGCGGTGCCATCACAATGTTGTCGCCACATACGACGTGCGGTTCAGCATCCTGCTCATAAAACGGCTCTGGGTTGTACTTTGGAAACTGGTTGGCGTAAACCTAGAGGATGTTAGTTAAGAGATCCTTGTGCGTAGTGTGATAAGATCATACCTGAGTCTGGAGCTGCATCTGCTTTATAACCCCTATCTTCGAACAAATCTTCCTTGTTTCCTGCATTTGCCGGATATTGGCATCGAATTTCTGGGAGAGGGCACTCTTAGGAGCAGTAAAATAACCCGGTGGTAGAGTATGGAGAAATTCCTCGTGCTGGTTGATGGCGTTGCCTTCCTCGTCCTCGATCCACTGGAGTTTAGGTGGGATATCGGGAATAATGCATTGAGGCTCGTAATAAAAGGGGAGGCATTTTTCTTCATCTTCCTCCATGCCCTCTGCGAGAGTCTCAGAAGCCTTTTCCTTGGTAGCACCTGACGAATCCTGAGAACGACCGGCCGATGCAAAGGCTTCTGCCTTTTGGCGGTCACGCAGGTAGCGACGCATACCAGCCCTGGTTCGAAGTATTGCAGGTTCATCGACGTTTAGCTTATTCTTGTTAAATAGCTGGTATCGCGCCTTGGTAATTAGAGCACGGTCTTTCTTGGTCACCTGCTTCCAGATTTTATAATCCTCGTCCTCGTAGGCTTCCTGAGCAGCTTCGTTCAACGCCTGTCCCAGCACCATTCCATTTAGTTCGGGATCATCAATGTCCATAGCGTCAACATTGCTACCCATGCCTGAATGGCCATTGAGCCCACTAGGCGTCATAGAACCACCAATGGGCGGTGTCCCAAAGCCGTTGCTGCCGTCTAGTTCGGAGCCTTCACGATGAGCTTTTGCTAATAATCCGTTTAACTGTAGCGTCGGCTTCTGTTCCATGTTAGGTGTCCCCTCCTTTTGGTCAGAGTGAGTCTTTCTCGACTTCGTTCCTTTGGCACCTCCGGCGATTCGGCCGCGAGACGACATTATCGGCTCGTCGTCAGAATCATCGCCTCCATCATCGTCACCACCATTCTGTTTACGCCTCTCCTCGGCTTCAACTTCGGCACGGGGACGAATAACCAGGTCGGGGATTAAGGGAATGAGTTTCTCGGCTTCCTTGCGCATACCATTGGCCATCCGCCTAAGCGGGTGATTCATGTCTTGATTATAACGTAGACAGTTATCCCAGATTAAGTTGAGGTCGGTGACGAAATCGGCCTTGGACTTGTAAGTTAAGGATTTGAGCTTCTTCGTCATGGATCCGAGGTCCATTGGCTGTTTAATGACTAGAAGAGCGTCAGCATATATGTAAAGTTATATCATCGTGCAACTTACAATTATAGTAGTCGGGAGCATCTTTCTTGTTCACCCTTTGAAGGAAGGGGGTGGAATATTCGGTATGCGCCTTAAGCTCAGTTAAGACCTTTTCTAATGCTTCGTACAACTCCTCCTGGTTGACGTTCTCTTCGCTAGCCCACTTGCTCCTATTCTTGCGGACTTCATTCATAAGAGAGCGCAACTCAGCGTCCGATGCGCGCACCATGTCGCGCTTCATATCTATGCGCGCAATGAGGTGCTTAAGGGTGAGACTGGACGCGCCCAGGTTTGCGCTGCTAAGCGACCCATGGTTTTCGCTAGAGGTGGCTCCGCTGGCATTGTTATTGGTATTCTTGTCCATTTCAGCTTGAAGCTGTTTCTCCGACTCCTCGAGCTGTTGCTGTTCTAGCATAGCAGCTCGATCGTTCTCCAGGGTATAAAATACGGAAAAGAAGCTACGCTTGGCAGCTTCCTCGGTATCTTTGCGCGCATCTTCAAGTTGCTTGCGCGCGTCTTCCAACTTGTTGGCTTGCGCCTGCGTTGCTTGCGATCCCTGCGACGCATCTTCCTTCGCCCGATCGTATAGCTTGTCGGGCGACGGCGCGGAAGCTATAGGAGAACTACCTGACTTGGAAGGAGAAGGGAGAGCTTTCGAAGCGGCGACAGCGGCGGCTTTGGACTTTAGGGAGGATAGATTGGTAGAGTTAGTGTCAGGTTCATCTTCGTCGTCATCGTCGTCGTCATCATCATCTCCGTAATCATCTTCGTCGATTACTCTCTTAACTCTTTTAGGGGGGCGTTCTTGTATGGCGGAGTGATCAGTAGTCGGGGGAGGGGCGGAAGAGGGAGTCGAAGGCCGTCTCCACGATTCTAAAATTTCGTTGTTAAGTTCGCCATCAGGGCCATACAAAAGCGCAATCTTAGCCTCGTTCTTTCGCCGCAATTCGGCGAAGTGAGCTCGGAGGCGTTCCTCTTCATTATCAGATGCCTCAGGCACCGACGCGGCGGAATTATCGATAACTTCGCTAGATCCGGTGGTAGAATCATCAATATTGCGAAAAGGACGCTTCCCTACAACATGATGCTGTTGTGGAGGTGGCCAAGAATTTTGGCCGTTCATGATGGACATGATAGCCTCGTAGGCGTGTTAGAGTGATAGGCGGGTGGCGGTAGCCATACGGGAGGAAAAGACAGTCGCGTTTCTTGTTGAATTAGGGCGTCGGAAGCCCCTAAATTGACATAGGTAGAAAGAGCGACATCGAATTAGATGAGAGAAGTAATTTTGGAAGGAAAATGGATAAGGATGGTGATGCCTCGATGGGTTGCATTCAAGGCGATTTCGCGTATGTTCAAAGGGTGAGGTCTGCGAAGTGAGGTTTTAGAGCGGATCTCTCCCACTGTAGTCTTGCCAGTAGTGCCAATAGTTGATCACTGTCTAGTCGCTCTGGTCGCTGTGGTAAATCGCACTACCACATGTACCCTAGTACTTGCTATACTTTCCGTGGCGTCATGTCTAACGCCAAACCTCACCTAACCTTCCTAACTTTAATGTACACTATTAGTGTTCGGATGTATCCAAGTACCTACCATTCGCTACTAAATGCAGTCTTCTTCCTTTACAGGGGATATCAACCTGTCAGTGGACTGCTAGCATCCACTATAAATTGTCCATTCATACCTATTCGGGACCTACGCCGGTCGCGTACCTTCCTTATTAATTCAGCATTCGTCGCGTTGACATCGGCTACATTTGAATTTGTAAGGTACAAGTGTCAAGGCAATCGCAAATAATAGTACAAAGGCAGATGCGTTTAGCTCTAGCATAAAACGCCAACATATTGAGTTAAAATCTATTATCTTTGTCTATATCGTTTATTACTGTCGTTTTATGAGATTTACGAGGTTTCTTTATCGTATTTGAGTCTTCTTCAAAGTGCATCCCCATATTGAATGCTTCCTTGGCTCTGTACTTGAAGTCGATATTCCTGACAGAACACATCTAATAGAAAGGGCCCCGCAAACAGCGAACTTCCAGAATCGAATGATCCGAATCACAATAGGTATCTCCCAAGTCACGTGCCATTTGTCAAGTTTACAACTTGAACCGCACCAATCCTAAGCGCACAGCCACAATATCAGATGGCTTTCAGTAGTTTTTTATAAATAGCCTCAGTTGGTTATCCGTCACCGCACAAAGGTTGACAGAAACTGTGCTTACACAAGCATGTAGATACAAAATTGAGTCGATTTCTAAAGTTTAAGCCTCAATTCTAAATATGATAGAAATACGGCTAAACCTGCATGTTCCGAAATCCGACGTCACAAACTGTGGAGAGTGCCTGAATCTGATAAAGTGCGATAAGTTGCTAGTGGATCTAGGTAACCCCAGGCGTGCCAGGCGTGCCAACTAGGCAAGACGGCCAGCCGCAGATATGTATGTAATGCTGGGTACATCAGTACCTCCAAGATTATGCATTTGTTACGTAATTATATAGACATTTAGGTAGTAGATACCTAAGGCAACCAATCCAAAATCAAAGTGTGGGGCAGACTCTTTCAGGTGCAGCTTAGGTAATTCAGCTCACACCGCGGCTACGACGTCGGGAACTTTGTAGGTACTTAGGTACACGTACTCGTGGGCTTCAAGGGCTCTAGGCTCAAGTGTGACGAAAGAAAGAAAAAGGTGGGACCTCCGTACTATTCCATCGTAGGGAAGCAGCTGCTTACACCCAAAGCTTACCTACCCTTGCAGCCCTGGCACCAGCTTCTTCGTTTCGCCGTTTCGGAAACAGATACACACCTCTACAACTTTCCCCGACATATCAAAATTCTCCTTCACAAGAAAAGTGTACAACAATCGGAATCATGTTCATGCAAATCATAACGGCCTAAGTACCCACCGACTTGAATATGCGCATTCGTCTGCCCTTTGCAGGTTAGTCTCGCCGCCTTCCTCCTCTTTGTTGCTACCGTCCATGGATACGCTGTTTGATAGGCAGCATTCTACAAGATCCCCAGACGTGTGACGATGATCTTCGGGATTAACTTACCTTTTACATCCATGCCTGGTCTGGAGAACCCCTAGCTAACAACTACACTCCCTAGGTGTATTTTTCCTGCTATGCCTACTCGCAGGCTACGCAGGGCTTTCGTCCCTCCAACTCGACACCATCGTCAACGATAAAGTTCTACACTTCATTACCTTTTTCCTCCTAACTGTCGCCTTCTACTGGATCATCGACACCAACCGCCGCCGAACTCTCAATCTGACCGCCGTAGTATGTACGATATGTCTCGGCGTCGGTTCCGAATTCCTCCAAGGCTTTCTGCCCAATGGCCGGGAATTTGATCCTTATGACATCGTCGCCAACGTCGTCGGCAGTGTACTGGCCCTCGGACTATGCTCCTGGTACCATCTCCGGATGCTGGAGAGAAAGCGACTACGCCGGCAGTACAACGCCGTACCAGGTGAAGACGTCGAGGACCTCGAACTCGGTGAAGGGGTTGGGCTTCAAGAAGAGGGCGTCATTCCGGCCGGTGGAACCGAGCGAGCCGCTACACTAGAGGAGGAAGTTGACAACTGGGACGAGAACGCGGTAGACGCCTGGGACGATGGTGAAGACGAGGGCGACCTAGGAGTTAGCAACGGAAATGGGAAGGCGCACGACCAAAACGGAGGAGAGGTGGCCGATACTAAAAAGAGAGTCGACTAGGTACGCTACGAGAATACGATTGCAACGGTTGGACGGATTGAATGATACCTTTTTTTCTTCCTCGGGCGTACAGTTAGGTTCCATTACACGGCGTGAACTTCATCCGCATGTTGGCACCTTCTGGGAATCATCATGGCATATGTACGGGTTAGGATGAGATTGGTATGTGATTCATAGGCTACAAAAAAACGCAATTGCTGGTTTCTCCAATATTTTTTCTCACTTGGTGAGATATTAACTACAACACAGTTTGTATTTGCTTCATTCTGATCGGTCGCTTAATATCGCCGACGCCTAGAAAGGAGCGCCTACCTAGGTTCTATATACGAAGGCAGCATACATGACAGAGTGAACTAACTAACTTAGAACAATCTACCTAACTAAACCTCTTTTAATAGCTCTCTATTTCGATCTTACATTAGAAGTTCGGCAAGCACGCGATCGACGTCAAATAATGATCCGAGAAAATAATCATTCAGTGGGGTCTCGGCAAATACATGCGACATAGAAGCCTCTAGACAGAATGGGAAGTCCGAAAACGCTGATAGATAGAGATACGTAAGTCGCAATGTTCAAATGAGTAGTGAAATTGGGGTAAGAATTCTCTAGTTCATTTTTTACTCTTGTTCAAGATTTTTTGGCTTGGATAGACTTATTCAACATGTCCTCAACTACCAAAACGAACGGCGCCAAGCTTGGTGGGGAACCCTTGTTAAGTAGGGCAGATGAAGTTGAAGATGTAAGTCAAACTCCCAATTCAACAACACCACCCCAATATAACTTATATACTTGCTCGATATTACATAGCTAACTCATCTCTAGCTAGTTGATGCAGTGAAATCTCTCATCGTGCCATTTATCCGGGATGCGGACAATGCTGCCTCGACTCGAGCCAGCGGTTCTATAGGTCCTGATAGCCAAGGGGCTCCAGGTCGAAATGTCTTAGTAGATTTGCAGAAGCCAGAGGACTTAGTGAAGAAACTAGGATTCTCAATCCCCGAGGACGGGACCGGAAGGGAAGGATTATTAGACGTTATCCAGACCATCCTCCGCTACAGCGTGAATACATGGGACCAGGGGTTTATGGACAAGTTATACTCGGCCATCAACCCGGTGCGTTACCATCTCACCCTCCTCTTTATGCCAATGGCATCTAGTAACTACTTACACAAATAATAGGTTGGCGTAGCATCCGAGCTCCTCCTAACCGCACTAAACACCAACGTGAGTCACTCCCCCACCAAACCACCATCCCCCCTTTCCCTCCCCGGAATTCTAACAAAGCGCAGGTCCACATCTTCAAGACCTCCCCAGCCTTAACCATCATCGAAAAGACCACAGCCCGCAAACTCGCCAACCTCTTCGGGCTAACGGGGCCCCGGGCCGGCGGGATAAGCTGCCCGGGCGGCAGCGCCTCGAACATGACGTCTCTCGTGATCGCGCGCGCGGCGCTGTTCCCCGACACCAAGAGCGGCGGCAACGCCGGCCGCGCCTTCGCGCTGTTCACCAGCGCGCACGGGCACTACTCCGTCTCAAAGGCGGCGACGACATGCGGCATCGGCGCCGACGCCGTGGTCGCCGTCCCCGTCGACTCTTCGGGAGCCATGATCGCATCGGAGCTGCGCGCCGCGATCCTCAAGGCGAAGGACGAGGGCAAGACGCCGCTGTACGTCAACGCGACGGCCGGGACGACGGTGTGGGGGTCGTACGACCCGTTCGCGGACGTCGCGCGCGTGTGTCGCGAGTTCGGGGTCTGGATGCATGTCGACGGGTCCTGGGGCGGGTCGGCCGTGTTCTCGGCTGCGCAGCGCCATAAGTTGGTTGGTGTGGAGCACGCTGACTCTGTCACGGTTAACCCGCATAAGATGCTCAACGTGCCGATCCCGTGCTCGCTTCTGCTAACTAACGACGTCGCCGTGTTCCAGCGCGCGAACACGCTGCGCGCCGGGTACCTGTTCCACGACCCCGGCGCGGACGAGGAGGTCTGGGATCTGGCGGATCTGACGCTGCAGTGTGGACGCAGGGGCGACGCGCTGAATCTCGCGCTCGCGTGGGTGTATTACGGCGATAGGGGGTTTGAGAAGAGGGTCGATGGCGCGTTTGAGACGGCGGCGTATCTGGCTACCCTTGTACAGGAGTCGGATGACTTTGTCCTGCTGTCGAGTAACCCGCCGCCGTGCCTGCAGGTGTGCTTTTACTACGCGCCGGGCGGGGCGCTTGCTGACGACGCGGAGGAAAATACGCGCCGCACGAGGGAGATTGTGGCGAGGCTTGTGCCGAGGGGGTTCATGATCGATTACGCGCCGGGGGAGAAGGGGAGCTTGTTCCGGGTGGTGGTGAACTGCTCGACTTTAAAGAGTACGGTGGGGGGTTTATTTAAGGCGCTGAGGGAGGCGGGTAGGGAGGTTGTTCCTTTGTGAAATCGTCGCGGAATTGATTTACTAGACAAACGTCGATGATTCTGAACACCTGAGTTTGTGTGTATATATGCATATGGTTGCCCTGATCAGGATAATCCAGGCACAGCTCAGCTTCGCGTGTGCTGAGCCGTAGCAGGTGGATCAGATTCGCTGAGGGCTTCCCCGCAATCGTCCAAATCTAGCACGATACTTTTACAACAGGCCTCAATTTGTCAGGAGGTTAAGTACCTACTTATGTATGCATCCCTTTTTGTGTTGAGATATCATCCCACTTCCAGATGTTCAAGACCTCGATTTATGATGCTTTCCGTACGAAATTCAGATCCTAGGTATATTAGTAGCGACACTTTGTAATGTCTATGGCGAATAGAACACGATGGACTCATCAACATTAACCTTCTCGCCAGAACGCTGCGCGGACCTACACAATCAGCTCCTCGCAAAGGCAACCGAGCACAGCCTAAACATACAAATCGAGCAAAATCTTGCCCCTCGTTTTTTGGACATAGCGCCTGAATTCGCTGAAGTCCCCTCCCTGGACGATATGCCGTTGTACCGCTTTTTAAGCCTGCTCCATACCACGCCACCGGCCGTGAATGGAGTCGTGGATCTGCTGACTCCGTTCGTGTACCAGCCAGACCCAAGGACGTTCTGGACCGATCGGGTCGGTCACGAGCCGTATTTCATTCTGCTTTATGGTCAAAATAATGGTGGTTCGCCTGTTGACGGCGGAATCTATCTTGACATCCAGTCGTACAAGGCTGTCTGGCATAGTGGAAACTCCCCTCGTTTTCCACCTCCCGACCAGTGGCTACCACTAGAGGTGATATTGCAGAAGTCACTCGATGCGTGGGCCACGGGCAAGTTTTACTGGGATGTACAAGAAGCTGCCATCAAGGTCAGAAGCTGGACGGATCACGACGTAGAGCAGTCCGTCGCAGCCTTTCATCGCCTTGTTTCGAGCATCGAGCTCCGCATGCCATTCAAAGGCGATGAAGCTCATTCTCACCGCCGCCTAGAGCCTCTGGATGCCCAAACCTTAGCGCCATTCAAGATGAGCGCCTTTGCGACCAAATTTCTAACTACCGCAAATCGGCCGGACTTCCCCTTTGTCGCACCCGGAATCCGCGTGTTCACGCCACACCTCCTTGACGAAATCTACGGTGCCGAGGCCTCAGAATCGACGCGCCGGACCCACTGGCTTGGAGACGAAGAAGACTGGCCGACACTGATTCTGCCCGGCATCGACTCCGTACCTGACGACGTCGGCCAGAGCACGAACCACGATATCAACTCTTTCGACCAGAGTTGGGGGTTCGGCAAGTTTACGGTTAATCGCCGAAGCGGACTCTACATAATGCCCGACATAGGCAACTCAGACTTAGTGCGTCTCGTTGCCGGCTCCGGGCTCTGTAGCGCTTGCGAGTTCCAATCTCCGTGTCGATGGGGTCCGCCCAGAGAACCTCGACTCGCGGAAGTCTTCGACCATTGGACGGCCCTGGTTGAGAACGGCACGTGGTCGGTTGATGCAAACGGCGTTTCTACTGACCATGCTTGGTTTACTGAATACACGTTTGTGGCTAAGCCACCGCCCGTACTGTAATCTAGCAGATCATATAATTCGATTCGCTACCTTAGGTATCTATTTCTTTGTTTATGGTGGTTATGGTGGTCATCGTAGACTCATGTATAATGGCGATAAACATGCGCCCAAATAACAATTCGCCTTCAAACGTGGCTGTGGAGTGACTTGTTTGTAGATGTCTTCAACAAGTAGGTCTTTATGCTGAACCTAATATCCACTATCCTATGTTAGTACCTAGGTATGTTTGATGACAACTGGCTCGTCTATTGCTTCTTCAGCTGACCGTTTTTCTATTTGTTGTCTCACGTATGCAACATTACTTCAAAGACAAACGACAATTTGTCCCTTAAGATGTCTCACTCCATTTGGCAGGAATTCTCTTAGCCTATCATCCTTATATATGAAAAGCACATTTCCCAGTTACTACTTGAGCTCTGGATTCCTATTCCCTCAAGCATTCAAAATTTGTTCAACATATTCTGATTTTTCATCCCTTATCTAACTTCGATTTCTTCCTGTCTATGATAGGATTACTCATAATATATTCTTGCTCTCATTTATGGCTCCAGGTTAAATCTAGCTTTTCCGTCTGTCAGTCAAATTGCGTATCCTTTCGTAGGTAGGCAGGTAGGATATTGACTTCAAGCGGAATCCCAGAGGTTAAAGCCCTTCACCTGGCCATCGGAATGCAAACTTTATCTTGTGATTGGCTAAGCTGACTAACTTTTACCCCACCGCACGCACAGTTTGGGTTATAGTAGTTGACATCAGCTTAAGTTTCCATCGCCGGTTCATCCGGCCCGGTTAGCTCAATCGGTAGAGCGTGAGACTCTTAATCTCAAGGTTGCGGGTTCGACCCCCGCATCGGGCTCAATCCCCGATGCCTCTCAGTAAATGAGAGATGCAACGATTTTTTGGCTTTCTTTTTCTTCCCTTTTCCATTCTGACTCACGTGATGGCTCTGTTTCACTAACCCTGGTTTGGCTAGTCCCTATTGTGGAGTGGGTATTCCAATTCATTTCGAGTTTTGAATTCACAATCTATCTCATCTTGGTATCTCATAAATCATAAATCCTTAACCCACCGCATCCGACCTTCAATGGCCATCTTGGTACCATGGACCTCTGTGGCCCTTTCGAACCCATGAGGCAACCCTGGGAATAGATGAAATTCAACCTCAACATTTGCTGCCGCCAATCGCGCCGCATACATTGCACACTCATCCCTGAATAGATCTAATCCGCCAACGTCGATATACGTGGGAGGCAGTCCTTCTAGGCTTTTCGCCCGTCCTGGGGCCGCATACGGGCTCACATCCGCCTCGTCTTTGCCCGCTTTATCCTTGCCCACGTAGCTTTCCCAGCAGACCTTGCTCATGTAAAGCGGGAAAAATACGAATTCAGCTAGGGCATCAGCCGATGAGGCATTAATGGACCTATCGTCTAGCATAGGATACACAAGAATTTGCTTTTTGAGCGGAGGGTCTAGAACTCGATCGCGGGCGAGGAGCGCCGTTCCTGCAGCAAGACCGCCACCAGCGCTTTCGCCCATGACAGCGAGTCGGGATGGGTCAACGCCGAGCTCCGCGCCATGTGTCGACACCCATTCAAGACCGGCGTAACAGTCTTCGACCGGTGTGGGGTCCGGGTGTTCTGGCGCAAGTCGATAATCGACGGCGAAGTACTGAACGCCTGAAGTAATCGACAACGTAGTTATTGCTGGCGCAAATAAATCGACGCTTCCGATAACCATTCCGCCCCCATGGAAAAATAGAACCGCTGGTTGCAGCGTCTTGCTGGCTGCCATCTGCTCCGCGGTGGCGAACCGTGTTATTTCGATTTCAGCGCCGTCATGGGAAACGCACGTGTACTTGGTCCTGATGATTCTTGGCTCCGGTGGAATGTTCGCCAACGCGATGTTCGTCAACCTGTCGCTAAACTCCCGGAATTCAGGTATCGACTCGAAATACGGCACGTGCAGCTGATCTTTGAATGGCTCGCGCCACTTCGCGTACTCAGGATCGAATTTTAGGGTCTTGCCCTGCATGGTTCTTTCAGCACTTGTGTACTACGCTTCAGATTGGTCTTGGATTTGACTTGAGCGACAAAGCTAATCTAGCAACTTAGTCAGGGGTCAATCCGGTACGAAAATTAGGTGAGTTTAAGGTAAGAATGTCGTTGAATTCACGAGTGGTGCATGAATGTCTAACCAAGGTGGTCAAATACAAGATGGCACTGTTTTATATTTATTTGACCATGGCTAGGGTGCTACCTTGAACTCAAGTTGTACAACTACTTGAAACAGCGGCGTGATGACTTATCCTTACTCCAACGTTGCTACTAAGACTCCAACAGGGTTCCAATCTTGCTTCAACTCCCGGTAAGGTAACCGATACTCCGTCTCCAAGGATGTTAAAGAGAGCGGAATCTGGATCCCACCGATTTCCCGAATATGTCTCCGCACCAGTCAAGCTAAACAACATCCCTTTCCACCGGAATGACTAAGATAACATTGATCACTTGGAGCTGTCTACCCTAGGTATATTTAGGTGGACGTCGATCTATTTCCCCTTTCAGAGACTTTTGGTTTTCAAAATGATGCGGCTTATTGCGCGTTGGATGAGCTGGACGACGTATTGCTCTCGGCGTCCAAATATTGGTCCGTTTTTAACTCATCGAGACCCTGGTAATACTGCATGCTCAGACTATGGACCGTAGGTAGGGTTGATAAACTCCGTGTCTACTCGATGCTCACATGTCTAAACGGAATTAGAACTTAATCCCATAACTACTTTTTTGTAGCATTTCTTACGTAACCTACCAGCCTTATTCTAACATCTATTCAACCCTCAATTGTCGAAATCTGACTTGAACACGGACTGCTTAATCTGATAGTATCACTAATCCTAGATACTACCCATATAAGTGCAGCGGTGTCTAAGGCTATCGACTTATGGCATTCAAATCACTTAAGTCCTCGCTCGAATCATACGATTGGAGTTTATGTTAGATGCAAACGTCATCTTTAAAGCTCGCCTGGTCCGATCTATTCGGACTATTTATTGATAGAAGCTAAGATGCCCAAGGCAATACGATTGCTGAGCATATCTCGTATTCGCTAACTCAATTGGCTCTGAGGATTTATTTGTGTAGGACTTCCCGAACTACCTACTAGAGGCTTTCGACGACGTATCAAAAGATACCATTGATATGAATATCTACGCGATTCCAACGACTCTAACCCGAAAATCGCTTAGAAAGGGTCTAGAGTCTTTCCAAGTTAAACTACCTGTACTTTCCTTTTTACCGAGAAGCTTTTACATACCTCAGCTGATAGCAGTGGCAGACTTCTGGGAATTGACATCAGTGAAGCTAGTGCCAGAACCGCGAAATCAATAGAGGCCATGATGAAGCAGCTGATCACCCTCGCCAAGAATGCGGGGTAGATCTATTCTGGACATTGAGCTTTGTGATTGCAAACACGAGCTAAGGAATTACGACGACGGAGTTTACCCCAGGATTTATGTGCATGGATGCAGATCTTAGCGGCGCTAATACGTCCATTAGCTCTGGAGTCGTGGGGGGTTCATTCACCGAGGAATTGGTCAAGGTAGTCTGAGAGTATCGTCGGAGGCCATATGATTCCAACGAGTCAATATCCCAGGTTCTTAGCTGAGAAATCTACTACTACGAAGGAGAGGCTATTTGAACGGTGCATGAGCACTAATTTACGACGGCATGCACCACTTACCTATTATCTGCTTACTCGCAATTGCGAATCGAAGTCTTGCGATAGATGCTGGGTGGTCTCTTGTGCTGGTAGACTAGTACGAGTTACGGCACGCACCCCAGGCCCAGTCAAGTACAGGCTATTGACAATTCCACTCGGCCCCTTACAAGAAATATCCAGGAACGCCTTGGTTACTAAAGCCATGAGTCGAAGCATAGAGAACCTTGAAAAGTCAACTACCAAACATAGCATCCCACTTTGGAATAGCAAGCCAGCCAGCTGGACGCTAGCAAGTATGGAAGATGCGGGGAAAGGGACCAAGGGTATTTCTAGAATGAATAGGCCTTCAGAGAAAGCACCGTCCGAAAACCCATGCCTTTCAGGAGACGACTTCGTCTATTTCATTGCCGAGCCTACCTTGGAGAGTACATGGAGTGAACCCCTCAAGAACCCGATGAAAGCGCTGAAGCAGAAGGGCGCAGGAATATTAATGTCTTCGGCATAGAAATCGTCGTGCTACATCGAATTCTTTCACCGAGATGATTTTCCTTAAATGGCAAGAAAATTTTCTTCTATTGCAATCTGCTCTACGAGGGAGTGAGGCAGATAGACCTAGGTATGTTATCCTGAGATCACGTGGCTCCCCGAGAGCCCCCTTTGGCATTCACATCTATTCAAGATCTAGGAGATCGTTTAGTTATATAGCTATATAGGTATATATTAGAACTAGTCAATCAACCCGCAGTCATACTATATAGAAAGGGTTCCTGCGGTCTCCTAGATGATCTTCTGCTAAGTTGAATCCTTCATCCCCTATTAATATCTTCAAGCCATGACTCCAAATCCTCTGAGACGTCACAAGGTCTCCACACGTGAAGCTTTCATGGACTTCATCATGAGAAGAATTATTTATAAGCATAAGAAAAAAAAACAATAGGCCTGAAGGGTGTATTAAATACCTATGTGTTCTGACCGCATAGTCCCGCAGCCAAACGATCAAGGATTTGCGCCTGGGATAAATCTTACATTGGAAGATCATTGAAAAGGTACGGCCCGTGAGTAGCATTACGAGTTCATCGGGGTCCAACCTCACCTCGAAGTTTTTGGGAGAAGGGATCAAACGGGGAGCCGGACGCCATTCTCCGACGCTCTCTTACATCCCATTCGATGATAGCATGCCTATGAGCATCATCCCAACTCGCCTTAATACTTATTACCTAGGCAGAAACTAGTATAAACGCTGGGTTCGTGTACGGGACTATCAGCCTGTCACTTGGTCTCATAGTACTTGGTGGAAGTATATCGTAGTCGAAGGAGTGTATCTCGACATAAACCAGGCAGGGCTCGGCAGGTACCGAGAATGAATTCTAGTTTGGCTGCAGGGAGATGAGCCTGAGAGCTTTCATCCGGTTTCAAAACGATATTCCAGTCGTACCTACCTACCGCAACTCTGACATATCTTGGAAGGTTGAGGTATGCAGGTGGCGGATAGGGGACAAAGCTTGATGCCCGATGCCCTAGGCCTGGAGATCGCACCTATGGCGCAGTCCATCATTGGTGCTTGCGAGACGTATTGTCCATGTGCTGTTTCCGGTTGTGGATGTTACGGAGTTGAAAGCTGCTCGAAAGCTCTCCAACGCCTAGATATATCCAAAGCAACAATTCGTCCAGCTCAAATGGCCCATGAACAACTTATACGATTTGAAGAAGTGGACTCATGCTTGGGGCTCCGAACTCGTGCATGAGGAACCTTCTGAAGGACGGCCGACTTACTTTCTCGCCGTAGCATTTTAGTAGAGACTCTACGATCTGAATTTAGGCCGGAATACTCCTGTCCAAAATTTAATCCCTTTCTACGCGCTTCGCCCTCGCCTTCCAGCTCTTTCGGGGTATGCAGCCACTGGGTTTAGACGCCCTCACCCAGTCGTATCCATTCAACCACCCTTGGCACTCGCATTACCGAGAGCCCGACGCAGCCTCATCAAACTCTCCAACAGCTCGCCTCTTCTCCTGAGTAAATCGCCGTCCGTTTTGTCAAGAACAGCTTCCCGCGCTGCCCCCCCTCACCCCTCCCCGAAGCGGGAAGAATACAGTAGCTGCAAGAACGCGGCCTGGGCGCCTTGTAGCTTCTAAATGGTAGAGTAGCGCGTCCACGCCGGCCATTTAGCGACCGGCGGTGCCATCTCTTTCTGGTGAGAGAATTGCTTGTACGCAAGATCCTCAGAGCCCGCGCGGTGCTTCTGAGGTCCTTTTCGCAGCAGCACTCCACGCGATCTTGCTGTCTTCCCGCGTGTGTTGGTATATCTAGTACAAGATGCACACCTGGGTGGTATTTTCGAGAGATTCATTTTGGTCAATGCATATCGCGTAGACCCAATAACAACGGTATCAGTCACACCACCACGCTTACCTCGCGGCGTACTCACAGCTTTGGTAGGCTTGCGTTACTCGTCGTTGACACATGTATGCGATATGAAATTGACTACCCAAGCTATAAAAGATGGGATGGTAGGGCAGAGCCTGATACGGGATGAAGGGAATTACCTACTTAAGTGGCGTACGGCACTGACAGTCACTTTGGGATTTTAACAATCTACTGGACCTCAGTGAACGGATGAAGCCTTTAGGGTCGGTGAGGGAGTCTCATTGAAAGTCGGAACAGTTCTGAACTAGCCTCAGTCCGATAGAACAGGTTACTTCATGCGGAGCACCCATGAATACCTAGAACAGTTGACATAGAGAAATAGAACGTACGTAGGAAGTTGGAAAGTAGGGACACCCAACATTTCTTGCGTAAGATCCCCCATTTATGCGGGCTGAGGCTTGCTATTTCATCGTTAGACACCGATGCGCAGTTAATGTTAATGATTACCTAGGTATGAACGTTGTTATGTACATAGATTCGTCCTGGGAAAAGGGGGGAGAATTATCCACTTTTGGCAGGATTTTAGCCAATCAGAGCGCGGATCCAGCACTCATATCTTCCACGTCGATTCCAGCCCCTGAAATTTATTCCGCGTGAGCTATACAAGCAGCAAACATGCGACTTATTGAAATGGATAATATGTGAGTTGTATCTGAACATCAACTTCGTTTCTGCAACTTTGAAAAGATATGTTTATTAAGGATAAGCGTTCCATTGCAAGCTTGTTCCATCCTGACATGGCTAGATTGAAGGAAACTGTGTACTTCGCTACATAATTTCGGATTAGTAAAGAGACCTGAAAATTTAACGAGACAAGATGGTTTGTTGCATATGAACATTTGGACTCTAGTCATGACACGAGTACGAGCGCGCGGTTTGCGCGTGGTCACGGGGTTCACATGCTCCCAAGGCCTCATCCGAGGCACCTAATCGCACGTAATATTCACTCTTTGTTAGAGTGAGTAACGGTGAAGTCAGGGGGGCAAATTCCCAAACTTAGAATCACGC